TGTACCCTAGTCCTGGCTGTTGTGATCAAAACATGTCAGGAAGACCTTGTCGATTCGTACAACTTCACTTCAAGATGTATTAATGATGCCTTGTTACAGACAAGAATTGGAAATCAAGAATAAGATTTATTATTCTATATAAGCCGCTGACATCGATGTTTTCCATCCAACCGAAAAATCGTTCCATTCAGCTTAATGATCAACGCGATGATATTCAAGATCTTGTTCCAAATACATTGTATTACAAACATGAAGATTTCCAGGTAAAATGTCGACACCTGACATAAACTTATAACATAAGTTGGATTTTCGGAAATTAAGGTTTCTGAAGACTGCGAAATCTTCATCGAAATGGAAATATTCAATGTGAAGTTAGGTATTGTCGATGAAATTTGGTAATTGTTGTTTTTAACCCGTACGGTTATCACTTGAGAATATGGCTTTTTTAGTTTGATCCCTATGTGGTTTATAAAATTTATTTCGAACAGCTCTGATTACCCTCCGTCTTAACTTAGGTTTCAATAATTAAATTCGTTAATAATATTGACGAGTCCTAATAGGACGAAAAAGCTGTATGACGCATTGTAATAAATCCTTTGTCTCAACTACGTCTAATTTTTTTTGTTTGTTTTATTTTTACAATTATTAATCTTGATGTCTTTTTATTTACAACTATTGACCTTGACTATCATTACAGGTGTCTTTAATGAACCAGAAACATTGTTACCTTCAGGAACAAAAGTCTATGTCTTAATATTTTATTGTTTATAATTTGTTTGCATTCGTTGCATCTATATTAAGTTTGTATTAAGATTCTGTTTAAATGTCGATGAATTCTTGTTGTTAACAGGTTTTTATAGTATCGGAATGGTAACGAATAATTCTTTGACTGATTTTAAAATTCTTCATGGATGAGCAACGAAATGACCTGTGGTTACGACGGTGACTGTATAGATATATGTCCATGTTATGACGACATATATCATTTGAAAAAAAACCCCAAAATACTAATCGACAAAATCATGAGTTTTGTAGACACTGCTAGTGTACTTTAAGTCCCCGAGGTTTGCCGTAAACTGCATGCTACGTTTGAATCAATTCCAAATAGTGGCACGGTTCAGAATATACACACGAAGTTGCCGCTGTTCTAAAATTATCTGATATATGAAAATAATGAAATTTATATAATTATCGGACTAGTCGACTCACCGTCTAGAGTTTTACTTTTCGTTTGATCATTTTGGATTTTCCTCAGTCGCCTCCCAGGCTTCACAATTTAGGCCCTTAGCATCACTGACGAGTCCTAGAAGAACGAAACAGTTGTATGACGCAGTTAATTCTTTGTTTGGCTCCACTGTATCTAACTCTAAATTTTTATTTGGAGATGCTATTAACTTGTGTATCTTTTGTACGATATTTTCTTTTTATTTCTGTTGCAAAAATGAACCATATGTGATTATATCCCTCTTATATGCACTGAATAGCACCGGAATTTATATATATATATATATGTGTGTGTGTGTTTTTTTTTTCTATGGACGTCATTTTAAGGACGAAGTGCTCTACGTAACCGTCCGTCAGACCAATTACAGCTTCGCTAATGTTGTAGAAGCCATTTAGCAGTCTTTCCACAATGGATAAGATGCAGACAGACATAATTGACGTCCTGGCAGTAACTCCAAGTCATTTCAATAATAAATATTATTTATTATACACTACCTGTCCCTGATATGAAAAACATCATGGACACAGTTAAAGCTCTGAAGATGTCGTAGTAAAAGTGAAGTTAAAACATTTTATTATGTAATCTTTCATTCAACATCACGTCCGAAATATTCTTTATTTGTTTTATTGCATTATAGGATTTTATTTCATTTCCTACAAATTAACGTCTGGAATATCTTGGTTTAGCGCAAAAGTTAGTAATCCAGCTCTTACTTTGAAAGTAGACTCTTCTGTATTGATGATTGATGAGTCAACGGAGAAACTTGGCATATAGTTTGGCAATGGATTGTTACTCTTTTGGCCGAGTAGATTGTTGGAAAATATAAAGAACAAAAGTATTTCTTTTATATAAATATAATAAAAGATGGCTTTATTTAATCTATATTTGATCTTAACACTTACAATGCTTGTTTCTGTACGATTAATTGTGGTGGTAAATTACATCAAATCAATTAGTTTTCGTATGACAATAGTTTGTGGTGAAAAGTGTATTTTCTAGATATATATTATAGGTTAAATAATTATGCATGACTTTTTAAGTCAGTCTGTCCTAAAGTAAAACGATGCTATTTTATATTCAAAAGAACGTAAATTTTATCAGGATGGATAGCTATAGAAATGAAATAAAAGAAGAGTTAATGTCAAGCAAATTTAATGACAATACATACATATATATATATATATATATATATATATATATATATATATATAAGACATAGAAATTTATTTTTATCCCAATAATACCCTGATATTTCTGTCTGAATTTATATACTTTAACAAACCATAGCCCAACACAGTAATCTTCGCTGTCACATATCTTCTCCAATGCTATCATCATCACTTTGGGATTTCCGCCCATGAGTACAGACAGTTTCGTCTACGGCTAAAATGTCATACTTTCAGGATAAGGTCAATACGTCATGTAAATGTTAATGGAAGCATTTGTATTGAATATACGACGTAGTTTTATAACTAATATGTCATTATCACAAGGTTTCATGACAGGAAGGATTTTGCAATTATGAAATTTTATTCACAATGTCGTCAAAATGACTTCTGGTGAAATGACTTCATTCAAGCTAATGTAACACGTTTGTTCTTTTCGGTACGAGAGCTTTCTTTCTGAAGAAAGGTAAAAGGTGATACAGATAATATCAAATGGTTGTGAACTATACTTATGGATATTTCTGGTAGAAAAGAAAATCGTTGAGTTTGGTTGTAAGCTCTACTAATAGACTATCGGTATACATATGGGATCGAACTGCGAATCTCTCTCGGCTGACTTGTGTTGTATTTATCGATGATCTTATCAAAACAGGTCAAAATGAGCTTAAGTCTTTCGATTTCGCATTTTGTATACATTGATTACAGAGATGTATTGACTATGTCCATCATATTTACCATCAGAATAGATCATCTATGTCAAGATAGATTTTTCTACACTATCCGCTTACCACAATGAACCCAACAAGGAAAATTTTCCACCAAGTTTTATGATAAAAGTGAGGATTTGATTTTCCCTATTGTGAAAATTTCCATTCCTGAATAGCAACATTCCTGTATCCCCAACCCACTGTCCTTACATGTCGTGAGGTCTTGTTCTCGACCGCACGATGTCAACATCTAACAGACAAACAACTCAGAGATGTGGGTTGCAGATTATGGTGACAATACTCAGTACTCAGCGAGTTAACCTCTTTTTGTGTTCATATTTTGACCTCGTTTCATCGAATTAGAGTTTTACTTCTCTTTTGACCTTTCGGCATTTCCTTTGTATTTTTCCAACCAGAACGTGGATAGGAGATACTTCACAAACTTTTGATGATACCAAGATATATAACCAGAATATCTGTTCGGCCCGCAAAAATAGGATATGGCCTGCATTGAAATGTCATTGTTACTCAAACATATAATAATAGCAAATTGCCTTACTTGGTATTATTGCTGTTTGGTACCCTTAACAGGGTAGGCTGCTAACCCAGTAACATTAAAACGGCACTGTTCTCTAAAAGCTATGACTGCCAGACTATCATTCGGAACGAAGTGAACCTACACTTTGTAACTCCTTTCGGTTCGCAGAATGATATGACCTGCATTAAAAAACAACCCTATTTACTGGGTATTAGTGATCTTTATAACCCTTTACACGGCTAATCGAGTTACTTTAAAACGACACCGTACTTTAAACGCCTCGACTACCAGACTATCATTAGGAACGCAAAATTTATTTTATTAAACTTTGATTTTGATTTACTAAAGTATACAGTAACGTTTCGCCTGTCTTCATAAGACAGATGAAACAGAGTCAAACAGTCAACTAGAAAGTCCGTGAGTGCACACGTTAAACCCCTAGTGGGTACTTTCAAAAGTATCACAATTCGACTTCAGTGTTTGAATGATCGGTGGCTGCCTTTTGATTATAGATATAAGCATTTACAACAGGCGTACACCGGGTTAATAGATAGCGAAGTCTGTCTGTCGAATGTAACACGGTCGCTTCAGCTAGATTTATCTTTTTGTTGCTCAATCTATCGATCTCGGCGTGTTTCAAGTGAACTTCGCCTGCTGGTGTTTCTTTTCAATAAATCATGTGAACATAGAAGGAGAAAATTATTAATTTCTCAATAGACAATGTGGACAAACCACGTCGGACCTAATTACACTAGCCGACGTGGTCAGCCTCCACACCACTAAGAACAATATGACATGTATATTTAACCCAAATAATTTGCTTTTCAAACTGGATTCGAACTGTTTACAAAACTTTGGAAATAATTAGAAAAGCCACTTAACTAGGACTCTTTTGTTTTACGTTTATTTGTCAAAACCAGAGGATGTGAAGCACTCTACTGTGGTAGTACAAACGATATATCTGCGTTATACTGATATACTATGACGCTGTCACGTCATCAACCTTGGAGGTTTCCCGTTATATTTGGCGATATCTACTTAACATTTAATGGAATTAATAACTACTGCCTTCATATCCCTGATTCAATATCAACACCATACCCCCACACATTTTAACGTCGATGCAGTCAAAACAGCGACTTGCTATTAACCGCCCCTCCCCCCCCCCCCAAAAAAAAAAAAAAAAAAAAAATAAAAAAAATATATCTAAACTAAAACGACATGAAACTATGTTAAATGATATTTAAGAAGCTAGATGAAATAAAATTAATAACCATATGTTTCCATTAACTAATTGAAATAACACAGCAAGGGCCTGATAATTGTTTTCTTGTTTCAGATGACGTGTAGGTGGCCTTGACGTCATGATGATGCTTAGTAGCACGGCTGCGGGGGAGTATCTTAATGTCGGGGATTATGTCGCCTTATACTCCGTTGAGACAGAGGGATATGTCTACAGCGTGCAGTCAAGGTTAGTTTTGATGTTGTTATATACTCCACATTTATATAAATTAAACAAATATAATATCAGAGGGCTGTATATGGGACCACCGGAGGTGCCTGAGGTTTATCTGAAAGAGGCTGCTGTAATTTTCGAGCTTACAAACATGTTCTATAAGTTCACATGTAAACATTTGAAGCAAAAAGTAATTTTTCATTTTATATCTTGTTCTCATTTGAGAACGTAATATTACTTACTTGGATTGACTAAGATTGGCAGGTGTCGTCGATAAACCAGAACACGCTTAGTGTTCAGTAATATCGTATTGTCTTTACTTCTTTAAGAACCTTTGTGTAAATCTGTCTTTTGTAAATATTTTATTCAAGTCTCAATGAATTTAAGCTGGATAATGATTCTTTTTTACATGTTGGTTCATGTAAGTTCATCTTCAACTACAAGAATACACGCTAAGTATTAGTTTATTGTAGCTACCTTGTTTCAGAACCAGACAAGATTACACGCTAAGTATTAGTATTTTGTAGTTACCTTGTTTCAGACCCAGACAAGTATACACGATAAATATTAGTATTTTGTAGTTGCCTTGTTTCAGACCCAGACAAGAATACACGATAATTATAAGTATATTGTAGTTACCTTGTTTCAGATCTAGACAAGAATACACGATAAGTATAAGTATATTGTAGTTACCTTGTTTCAGATCTAGACAAGAATACACGATAAGTATTAGTATATTGTAGTTACTTTGTTTCAGATCTAGACAATATTATACACTAAGTATAAGTATATTGAAGTTACCTTGTTTCAGCCCCAGAAAAGAATACACGATAAGTATTAGTATATTGTAGTTACGTTACCTTGTTTCAGACCCAGAAAAGAATACGCGATAAGTATTAGTATATTGTAGTTACCTTGTTTCAGATCTAGACAATATCATACACTAAGTATTAGTATATTGTAGTTACCTTGTTTCAGAACCAGACAAGAATACACGATAAATATTAGTATATTGTAGTTACCTTGTTTCAGAACCAGACAAGAATACACGATAAATATTAGTATATTGTAGTTACCTTGTTTCAGATCTAGACAAGAATACACGATAAGTATAAGTATATTGTAGTTACCTTGTTTCAGATCTAGACAAGAATACGCGATAAGTATTAGTATATTGTAGTTACCTTGTTTCAGATCTAGACAATATCATACACTAAGTATTAGTATATTGTAGTTACCTTGTTTCAGAACCAGACAAGAATACACGATAAGTATATTGTAGTTACTTTGTTTCAGATCTAGACAATATTATACACTAAGTATAAGTATATTGAAGTTACCTTGTTTCAGCCCCAGAAAAGAATACACGATAAGTATTAGTATATTGTAGTTACGTTACCTTGTTTCAGACCCAGAAAAGAATACGCGATAAGTATTAGTATATTGTAGTTACCTTGTTTCAGATCTAGACAATATCATACACTAAGTATTAGTATATTGTAGTTACCTTGTTTCAGACCCAGAAAAGAATACGCGATAAGTATTAGTATATTGTAGTTACCTTGTTTCAGATCTAGACAATATCATACACTAAGTATTAGTATATTGTAGTTACCTTGTTTCAGAACCAGACAAGAATACACGATAAATATTAGTATATTGTAGTTACCTTGTTTCAGAACCAGACAAGAATACACGATAAATATTAGTATATTGTAGTTACCTTGTTTCAGATCTAGACAAGAATACACGATAAGTATAAGTATATTGTAGTTACCTTGTTTCAGATCTAGACAAGAATACACAATAAGTATTAGTATATTGTAGTTACCTTGTTTCAGATCTAGACAATATCATACACTAAGTATTAGTATATTGTAGTTACCTTGTTTCAGAACCAGACAAGAATACACGATAAGTATATTGTAGTTACTTTGTTTCAGATCTAGACAATATTATACACTAAGTATAAGTATATTGAAGTTACCTTGTTTCAGCCCCAGAAAAGAATACACGATAAGTATTAGTATATTGTAGTTACGTTACCTTGTTTCAGACCCAGAAAAGAATACGCGATAAGTATTAGTATATTGTAGTTACCTTGTTTCAGATCTAGACAATATCATACACTAAGTATTAGTATATTGTAGTTACCTTGTTTCAGAACCAGACAAGAATACACGATAAGTATATTGTAGTTACTTTGTTTCAGATCTAGACAATATTATACACTAAGTATAAGTATATTGAAGTTACCTTGTTTCAGCCCCAGAAAAGAATACACGATAAGTATTAGTATATTGTAGTTACGTTACCTTGTTTCAGACCCAGAAAAGAATACGCGATAAGTATTAGTATATTGTAGTTACCTTGTTTCAGATCTAGACAATATTATACACTAAGTATTAGTATATTGTAGTTACCTTGTTTCAGAACCAGACAAGAATACACGATAAATATTAGTATATTGTAGTTACCTTGTTTCAGAACCAGACAAGAATACACGATAAATATTAGTATATTGTAGTTACCTTGTTTCAGAACCAGACAAGACAACACGATAAATATTAGTATATTGTAGTTACCTTGTTTCAGAACCAGACAAGACTACACGATAAATATTAGTATATTGTTGTTACCTTGTTTCAGAACCAGACTTGAGTTCGCATTTTCGTTTCGAATCTTACTTTTATTTATTTAACTATAGACTTTGAAGACGATTTTATTCGTGTTTGAACAATCTGCAGATATCGCTCACAGTCACAGACAACTAATAAGGCTCTGCAAGCATCTCGTGAGCTTAGGTATCCTTACATTTCAGAATTGTGTCTTCAAAAAGTAATTATAACGTCACATTTATAGCGTTTTACATCTAGATTAAATTCAATAATTATACTTTTTATTTTGTTTATTTGTAATGAGCAACACCTCCGAGACATCACTTTGATTGCAATGTGGAGCATCCTGCGTGACGTAGTGTAAACACAGTCTGTTTTCAGAGGATGATCTATTGGCGGTCTCTAATGTAAACAATCGACCCTCCAAGCTAATCATTCAACTTAAAAATGTCAGCAAAAAAAAATCGTTGCTAGGACCTCACGCGAACTCAAAAACACGCAACAAAACGTGCCAGGATAGTTACTATTTTGGTTAGGAATTTTCAGTTCGAATATTGGCGGAGCACTTTTTAAATACCTTTTTTGGAAACATTCACATCAACTGTAGTTTTACTTATCTCCTCTGCACGATTTTGTTACAGAGAAACATCTAATGTTGGCATCTCGTTCATCTACATATCGGTCAATGTTGATAAACATATGCAGAATGACATCCTGGTCCCTAACAACAAGACTGATTCTTGTCCAGTGTTGTTAAAAAAATCTGTCTGCCAGACGTGTATTGCGGTATAAATAAACCATCACAGAGCTCTGTCTAGTGTTAATGTCAATCTATATTGTCGTTTTTTTTGTCGGAAATTACAAAGGCATGACACTAAGCCATGTTGCGACATCGTATGTAAATATGCCCCGAATCACAAACGGTGGTTATGCAGGTCTTACCTCTATGATGGGCATATTCTAGCCCCTTTTAGAAAGGCGAGAATTAAGGAAGGTAGCATGAGACCTCGGAATCGTGATCAAGCTTAACTTCGAAATAAGAAAACAAATTGCCAGTATCAGGACAGCAATTGAACAATGTTTGATTTTCGAAGTCTGCCAGATTTCGATCGGTAGAAGGAGTTTCTGTGTTCTATCCCTGTTCGTAGTTATCGGCGACTGGGTGATTAAATTAGTGATGTTTTTCTGAAACATTTGGATTCATTAGAACATTAAGCAATGAATCCCTCTTTGTGTTGCCTAATGCTCCAAGTTTGTACATACCAATAAACAATCTGACATTTCGGTCACTGTCGCAGGGAGTGACCTTTCTTTCTCTCAATTGATCCTTTTGAGTGAATACCTTCTATTTTATTAATGAAGTCTCTTATTCTTATAAGAGTATGTGTGCTGTGTTCGATTTTCATGTGAAAAATAATGTCGTCCATTTCTATCAATAAGAATAATGATATATTTCTTATTCACAGCAAAGCAAGTATAAGAACCGCTACATGTATATCATTCGCTCGCTGTTAGTCAGGCTGTTGATTTCATCAGCAAGAAGAGCACATTGAACGACTGTCATTACATTTTTGCAAGTGAAATATAAATCAGTTTAATAAAAAGTCTATGCCACCACTTAGTTACCTATCCTATCGGTACTTTCTATTCATTGGTTTCAAATTCGCCGATTTTTCTGTTCAGGAGCTATTGAAGCAAAAGTTGATTAAGGTGGGTTTTCATTAAGTCTTTGCTGTATCCAAACAGGCGTTCATTAAAAAAATCACAGTATAATTGTAAGACATGGCGTATAATGGTAAATTTTAAATCTTATTGCCAAACTTAATTTAATCACTTCCTGACTTCCAGTAATTTCGTGTTTCCCGCCCTTTCTTTAGAAACGGTCTTGTTTTGTAGTTAGATCTATTTTGTTTGTTGTTGTTTGATCCCTTTATGAAACAATAAAGAAAAATTATCATGATTGATAATGATATGACAATGTATTGATGGTTTTCACCACTGCGTTTATATTTCAGATTCCGTATTTAATCACGGTAATGTATGTTCTCTAGAGCATATTAACTTATATATCATACAACATCGCAGTACGACAAAGAACAGATAGATCAACAATGGCGAGAATAAAGTACTTATCTCGGTTTACGAATGATGCCTTACTAGAATGAAGTATATTTTCTGGCAGAAAAGTGCGTGCTGTTAGACTGTAACAGCATAACGGCATACCACGGTCTTAAGAAATGGTGCAACTTTAACGCGATATTTGGGCCACGAAGGAAGGCATATCGTTTTGTCTAAAGAAATGACACAACTACAGTAAAATATCTTTAAAACTACCTTAAAGCGGTTTCTGGGTCACGGAGGAAGTCATATAATTTTGTCAAAATAAATTACACAACTACAATATAATAGTTTGAGAACTACCTTAAAGCGATTTTTGGGTCATGGAGGAAGTTATACAATTTTGTCTAAATAAATGACACAACTAATAGTTTAAGTTCTACCTTCACGCGATCTCTTGGCCACTGAGGAATAGTTTCATCAAAATACATATTAGTAACGTTTGTATTGACTAAGGTTACAAAAATTATAAAGAAAATCGCTTTGGACATGAATAAGTTCTCACTGCCGTATCGCCCTCTACATGATCACTGTGTGATAAAAACAACCCAAGGAGAGGGAGTACAGAGGGAAAAGGTAGGGAAAGGAGATTCACCGAAGTACCTGTTTACCTGTTTCTGATGTTCTTACGGAAATTATCATCAACCCAGTCACTTCCACCACATCTTCCTCAAACCACGAATGCTAGTCACTCTACAGAACAATTGTCAATATATAGTATTGTTATTCCAATCCGACTACACACTTAGGAATTTTACATCAGCACTAAATGTCATTGTTTAATTATTGCTACCATTGATATGTGTGTTTATCATGGAATAATTATATTGAAAATTTTGATGTCCTTTCAGCTCCGTCCATAGCGGTTTATACATTGGTCACAACCAGGACCGGGAGAAACCGTCCAAAATCCCCAACCCACAAGGTAGGTCTAGGATGGAAGAGTTATGACACATTATGGGGAATGTAGATTCGGTAGCAGGGGAAAGTGGGTCACGTTTTGGGGGGAGTAGATCGAGGAACCAAGTCAGATGATGTAGAAATGGAGGTCACATGGGAGAGAAGTAGGTCACGTGATGGCGGAACCAGATTAGGTCTTCAGGAGGAGTAGGTAGCGGGGTTATGGAAAGAATGTCACCAAGTGGGAATAGTAAGTGCTATTATGGAGATAGACGATTACAAAGTGAGTGTAATACGTGACAAGGTGAGGAAATAAGTCATGAAGTGGGGGACAGTTGGTCTCGGCACATGGTTACGGGGTGGTAAAAGTAAATTCACTTTTCTGTGCAGCACACGTGATGACAGACGTGAATGCAAATTGGGAAATGACATGATAAAGTACTTTACCTAAACTGTGTTGTATAAATTTATGTATTACATGTAGAGAATTTGGATGACATACTATGAATATGTCTATAAAAGAAGCGTGAAGAGAATATCCCAACGACGATTGTTAAAGCACAACTTTTGTTATTTCATTTCTTTACTTCATATATCTATCGTCTACTGTATATATTATGTTTTTTTATTGTTATTTTTTTAGCTGTCGTTTTCGAAATTGGTATTCAAAACCGATACAAATTAAACAAGAAGTACCGGAAATGGGTGAACCAGGCCGCGTCCACAACAGATCTGACGGAGGACAAGGGACTTCTAGCCCAGGCCAAGGTAGATGATGTTAGTTTGTGGTGATTTGAAATTTCGAATAAGGCTCGTATTGTCATGAATTCTAGGAGATTGAGCAGGTCTTGATCATCTAACCATCAAAATTGACATGCCCTTTAAACTACTGATCCTTCACTGCCAATACAAGGCTAGGTGATATGTCAAATAAATATGATTACAAGGCTAAGAACTATCGAGGAAGTTTATTTCGTGGCTGATAACAATCATTATATTTTCATGTTGTAGTTCGCAGCAGATGCCGAAAATGCGGATAATGCGGCGGAACAGAAACGTCAGATGGGCAAGAGGGTGAGATACGGGGACATCGTACAGGTAAGACAATAAAAAGTAACAGAGAGTCCCGAGGGAAACATCTTGTAAACATATGTATTAAGAGAACGCAATGTTCCGAAAGGATTTCACGGATGTTGAAGTTAGAGAGATTTTATAGTCGCGATGAAAATTTTACGTTGGTAATTCAAAGAAAATTCTAAAATAAACGTAATCATATCTCATGAATAAAAATGGTTGTATGTAACGTGATGAAACGTATATAAATGTTACGATATCTAGCGTGCGGTCACGTAACAAATACGCTACCCACCAAGAGCTAAGAGCCTTGCACGGAACTAAACAAGGGGTAATGCCAAATATCTCACAGTGAAAATGGAAGTGAACGGAGATGTTCAGACAGACAGTTTATAACTTATATCAAACCATTGTCAGTCACCGACAGGTCAATAATTACGTCACTCAGCGAAATATCCAGGCTTCACGAGGGACAAACATATAAGGAATTTCTTTGGTTATCAGGCAGACCTCGTAGATATATAGGTAACATGATACAATTACTAGATAATTACAAAATTTAATGAAGAATTTGAGCGACGAATCGTGGAAAATGGTTCCGAAAAAAATTAATTTTCTTTTAAGATTTTGGACAAGTCAATGAAGTCATTACGGATATTTTGAAAAGTCTGACACGAAAGCGATAAAAATCACTTCCAATAAATGCTTGTTTTTTAATTTTTTTTAGCACTTCAACAAAGCGGAAATCTAATGAAAATCATATAAAAAAACAATAAATTATCTTTATGTAGGTTGGATCTTAATACGGCAGTGGAGAGATTTTATAAGATAATATTTTCTAACTGTTCTTTTGATTTCCTATGATTTTTCTATTGTAATATTTTTGTTTGATGGACGTGCAATTAATTCAACACAGAAGCAAACATTTATTGCTGTAAAAAGTTCTATCAGCATATAGTTTAGTTGCTTCATACGAGTTCGCCTGTTTGGAGATTTTGCAGATCTGAGGAGCGTTGTCAAGGTCCCGATACAGACTTTGGGCTCACTCGTGCCAAACCTTATGCTGATGCAAAACCGATGAATTACATTAGGTCCTCGTTAATTGCCATTACGTGACATCTCGGCAGATCTCGCGATAGGATGATGTATTTGTGGGATTTGTAAAACCCGACTAAGAGTTCCTTTGAGAGCACTTATTTACCGTTTTATTTCACATTGATTGTCGTGGAAGATTTAGACCGTGCCTTAATGGATGGTCGGAAAAATTAACTATGTTCCCTCGAGGCGTCTCGGCGTCTAATTTAGTCCGCAATACCCTACTCGTCACAGTTTTTTGTGTAGTTTGTTAAGAATGTATTAAGAACGTTTTTTTCCCGTTAATGATTATAGGAATACAAAGGAATACAAAAACATACTAGTAATACAATTATATATCTTCATTAATGTGAATTACATACTTACAGACAATACTTTGAAACTGTATGTTGAACACAGACAAATGTCCATCGGTATGAATAACTGAATCCTCCACACGCTCCAAACAATATGTTCTTAAATGGTTTTAAATGTCACTGTAAACAAATTAGCTTTGCTGTCATATACTGATTTATATCTCATTACGAAAGGACAATCTAGAAAACAAAAAATAAAATCACCATTTCTCTTGTAATATTTGCAAAAGGTAGTTTGGATGTCATCTTTACGTCTCCAACACGATTTAAATGGAAATCGATAAGGGAGCAGTGCTATTAGAATGCATTGCGCACTGTTTTAATGTTGATTCAAGCACTTTAAAAGACTGGTACTGAAGTTAAGCAATGTTTACAGAGTGTCTTACCACTGTGTATGTCTTTATATCCAAGGAACACGCAGAAACACTGACAAAGTTTTTCTCGGTATGTGATAAAATATGACTTGAATGAATGATTCCGGAACATTATACATTCCTAGACCTGGTGTGTATATCGTAACACTCAGACATCAAATCTAAATTCTCAGAAATCACGGTATTGAGTCTGTATGATCTTGCCTTATTATTATTTTCTTCTGTATTTTAACAATAAATTGGATATTAATGTTGTATTACTATATAAGATTTACGAAATAAATAGCGTTATGGACTTGATGTATCTCCCTATCTATCCTTTAACATCTATTGATTTTAAATTTTCTATATCGCTCAGTAGATCTCCACACTTGTATGTCTTTGTGCAATAGTTTTATTAATTATATGATTATTCTAAAACAAGTTTTCATATGTTCCTAAAATGACTTTTACTCACCATTTTATAGGAAACGGGCCCAATTTCACGTATCCATAATTCAATAATATTTTAGCAATACAATAGACATTCATCATCATTTTATCTGTGTAAGCAGCTGTAACTAATATGGGTTCCCCACACTTTGATAAGATGCTGTTTTCGTTCGCCACTTTTCCCAATAGTACTTTGGTTGTAGGCATGTCCCCGTCTGCCTAATATCGTAAGGGGTTGATATAAAACGTCGCTTATGTAATTGTTGCATTTTGATGTGATACTGTATAGTTCTTATTTTTCTTATGGTTTCTTTCGCAAATGCTTTGTGTCATCTGCTTTCAGGGACATTTATTCGTTCTTATCAAAAGATTTGCTGATTTTGTCCTTCGATCTCTCTATTTTCTAATATCTTGGTAGACACTAATGTTGACAAAGACCTCTCTCATTTTCCATATTTAATCCGTGCACATTTGTCAATTAAATGTAAGTTGTCGTATGTGTCAGCTCTCCGTATGGACTAATAACATTTGGTCCAAGACTTTCTTCTCCCTTTCTGATGTGTCACTTAGAATTGGGCCCTTTCTCTGTCATATCAACAAGTATGGCCTGGGCGTTCGTATATCTCTATTATGTCACAATGTTAATCCTGCATATCTTTGCAATTTTCAACTCTACTTTTTTCATTACATGCTTTTTTTTCATAGTATTCATTTTTATATGAGATGGTACTGGGACGGGGGTGGATATGAAAGTTGGTGTAGACGAAAGTAAAGTTTTTACTACCCCGGCTCTCACTTTCAGTACGTTGCATTACTAACATTTGGTATCTATATGTATAGGTCGATTATGGTCTACGAAATAAGATAATGAACCTTTCCGGATTTTCTCGTCTTTTAGTTACTTTTTCAAGCCTCTTTCGTGTTCATGTGTTATTTGTTTTTGAAATTCAAATTCATTGACAGGTTGTTTAATTATTTTTTTCATTCTCCAGCTTTATCAGTGTCTCTCTGTTCACCTGATATACTATATGTTTTGATAGTTGTGTATTTGACTTGTCGACTACAAGATAGACAAGGTCAAAATTTCCTAACTATTATCTAGACATTGAACTGTTTGTACTGAGCAATGCTTTCAGTTAAGTAACTTTTCAGCTATTTAGTGTTATTTTTTATAGAACTTAAAAGCAATGAACATGTTTTGTTAAAGTTCTTAAACTTGCAAATGAGAATTATAAACTTAAACATGTCAGGGCAAGGCACGGATACGGCTGCACGAGCAAAACAAATAAAGCCTGTTACGGTGTGGTAATCATGTATAAGCACGCGCATTGTAGATAAAACCCGTTACGGTACCGATAACAGACGGTTGAACATGGAAAATATTTTTTAAGTCGAGTTACGGTTTAGTAAACATACGGAATATTTAATGAGGTGAGCAAAATAAAAGCAACAAACTTAGAAGTAAAACTTAATTAGTGCATATGATTAGTTTTAACTGCTACCGTGTTGTTGACTACGCAGAGGAAATTTGTGTGTGGGGTGAAAGAGTTATGACTTTGCCTTAGAACATTGTCAGTCCCTCGCGACATTTTTTTCAATTTTTTTATTCTTTGTTTTCCCCTTTACAAACGTCAAAACGATATCCTTCACTAATCATGAGACTTTTTCTTATATTTACCGCGTTCAGTTATTCTCATTTCCACATCTGTACCTTGAATGGTCGCTTGACGCTCTAGTAACACACTCACCTGTGAACCATTTCATATTTAAGTTAACCTCTTGTGAACCTGTCTATTAGTTCATGTTTGTATTGGCACTTTGAGAACCTGTGAACCATTTCATATTTAAGCTGCCCTCATATGAACCTTTCAATTAGTTCATATTTCATATTTTAGCTGGCATATTATGTACCTGTCTACCATGTCATGATTTTAGGTGGCTCCTTGTCAGCCTGTTTCTTAATCTATGTTGACGCAATAAGCTGACACATTGTGAACCTGTCAAATCATCCATGTGTAAGTTGACTAAGTGTGAACCTACATTTTTATGTTTTAGCTGAAGCACGCACTGACAAACAAATACATCCACATGTGTACCTCACAGACCAGCCAAACCGACAAAAACAACATGGTGGTAAGTGTTACATATACATTCCCTCTTTTTCTCTCTCTAATCTTTAATAAATTCAGTCGTTCTATCCCTGATAAAATCCTAACTTTCGTGACATGTGAACGCTGTTAGGTTTCGTCAGCTCGTAAACTCGTTCGGAAGGAGTTATTGAAATCATAGTTACGCAAGGGCGATGCCACATTGGCAAAGACGATGTTGTTATGAACTTAATGCACTTATACGTCAAAACGAGCATTCAGTTTCTTCATGCCAGGGATGGCCCGTACCAAGCCCTGTATAGCGACCGCGACAGTCCGATCATGTTGTAGATTAAACCTCGATTACCTGATGCAAGGTTTTACGACCCCGGTGGCCACTGCATCCTTTTAATACTGCAGTATGATTAATCATTTTGTGATAATAACATGATTAATTGAAGTCTATGATACTACAAATGATTTATCGGAGCCTTTGATCTACTGACAAAAAGAAAGTCTGTAATCATGTTATTGGGTGATGCAGTACACATTTGTCCTGGTGTGTTTACATATTGTAGCGACAACCGGGTCCCCTACCCCCGGGGCATCGTCCCCACGATATTGGGACCGGTACTATAACTAATCACTATCACTAATGATTTATAGATTTGATGATGAAAACAAATTTCTTGTTGTGATAAGCCTTATGTTTGATTTACGCCTGTGTGTGGATTAATAACCCATTAGCGAGCAATAAATATCACGATGTTTGTACCACTGGTTGTCTGTGGTGTGTAGATGGACATATACCTCGCCCGAAGGTTGAGCTTTCAAACCGAAGTAAAGATCGTTCCCTAATTGAATTGCACATGCTAGCCAGCAGCATTGAGCACGTGATATCTACCCGACTAGTGAGTATAGAACTGTATGCCCCGCCCAGGGAAATCTAGAGTTTCACGCACAGGGACTGGTCTGGATGACTGGCTAATGTCACATCACAGTTCAAATCCCTTAATTAATCTCCTATCGATGTTTTCCTGCTACAGGCATGTTTATTAGGTTAGTTTACTATTTTCACTCGGCCAGAGGACATTGGGTCAGTAATGTTTAATTCTCCGGTGTGGAGACAGACGGCTCTATCCATTTGTGCGCCGTTGATTCTGAGAGTTATACATCCACCTGTTCCGCTCCATCACATCACGGTATACCTCATCATGGCGATTACACCAGAGTGGGCGCGTGGCCACAAAACATCGAAATTAAACAAGTCTGCGGTAAAGGCTCAAACGTCCCGGCGTGTTAGTTATGCCATATTTGGTATGTAGCTAATTAAAATATCTCGGTAGTTACCGCACCGGGGAAACAATACCAACAGCGGAATCAGCATCACCATCTCTTATCTTAGTAGTCGATACGAATTCGACGAAACTGCGCAGCAAATTAAATAACAAAAAATACATGTTTGACATGAAGCAATTAGTTTTTCGTTAATTAGATTGTGACTGGTACATATCACATCAAGCGCTCTATGTCATTATGTTACCGTGAGAATGATTCCGTGTACATCGGCGTGGGCAAAACTCCAGATCATAGGAAATACCTCTGTTGAAGTACATTATTCCCAATGTTGCTTCATGATGCCGCGTTACAGAAAAAAAGTTATTACGTCGTTATTCTAATTGTTTCTACGCTAAGCTTTCACATCATTCACAAATACATTCAATCGTCTGTCTCCGAATGAAACCACCTGTAGTTTGTTTTATGAAATGCCGTAGAAGAATAAAACAATTGTACCTGTTTTTGCAGTCACTCTTGATTTCTACTTAACATATACAATTATCTACGTGTTTGTCACGATTCAAAAACTTCCAATCGAATATTGCACTACGTCGTTTGTTACGGACCAACAACTAATAATTCGAATCACAATTTACAGTTAACAAAACGACTTCAAATAAGATATGCAATTATGTTTTGTTGGTTTTGTATTGTTTCTCTTTCTCATTGTCTCTCTGTCTCTCTCTCTGTCTGTCTGTCACTGTCTGTCGGTCTGTCTGTCTCTCTCTCTCTCTCTGTTTCTCTGTCTCTCTCTCTCTGTCTCTCTGTCTGTTTGTATGTCTGTCTGTCTGTCTCCCCCTCTCTCTCTAAACATAAGCCACATGTCATGTTCTAATCCAATATAATTTGTTTTCTATTTTCCGCATTACAACTTTATCATGCATATCTGAGGAAACTTTTGATGTTTTGACAATGATAAATAAGTTGTAGCTGTAGTGAGTGTATCAGTAGGTATTCATGATTGGTTAGGTCTATCGTTATTACATCAAGCACGGAAATCCTGCTAATCAAGTATGAAAGCATCACCGAGTTTAGCTCTACCGACAGGAATTTAACTCTTTCACATACTAGAGATATTGTTTGTATCCGAATGTATATAGATGATTCTGACAACTTTTGTATGTATGTCAATAGAAAGTCCCAAACTTAACCCTTTCGTGTCCAGTTTGTTTGAAATTAACACTTTCCTTCAAACTAAATTGCCTGTATGTGGCCAGTTTATTTCTAATAGTATTTGTCAGACGTTTGATCAGTTTCCGGAGGATCAATTGAAGATAGTATCAATGTTAGTATCACCGAGATAACACCGTAGTTACCATCCAGTAATTCATGGTAACAATGGATCTGATGGAATACTGATGTCCATGATCAAGGTAACGTTACGCTAGCGGAGTAAGAAGAAATCATTATACTGGCGTGACAGCAACCTGGGGTTACCAAAGTCCCTTCCGAATCCATATTGCCAACAAATTAATATTATTACGACTGCGAGATTTCCACTCTTTCAGTATCGACCATCTAGTTCGAGGTTATATTTTTTTCAGTTTCATCAATTTTATAGTGTTGTCCTTTTATTGAACAAGTCTTCTAGAATAATATGGCATTGAACTGTTCTTAGAATACCAGCACACAATCTAAAAATGGCAGCTTGTATATACTCTGCACGTGCTGACAAAGTGGTAAATAGGATACATTTATAGACAAAACCTCCAAGCATTCTGTAATATCAAACATTTAAAAAGTCAGGAGACAAAGCTGTAATGACGTAATCACAATTGCTGGTTGTGGAACTCTTCCAGATCTGATAGCGACCTACGTTATATAATCTTAAGTCTTCGTTAGGTATGTTTATCATCATTACATCGCCGATTTTTATGTATACTATAAGGGCGTCTTTTCAATTATAAAAGTCAGAGAGATAGCCTGTATACAAACATACTGCAGTGTTTCGTACTGCTTGTGATGTATCTGCCGAGACCGTCACTATTCTATAAACATCAAAATGCTCAATTTTATTTGATCAACCATATCGATTTTTGGAAGGATTTGTGTTTTTAAAAAATGATTATACGGTTTTATGTTCATTTTTTGGTTGATTACGATCTCTCGTGCCTTTGAGGACAGTAGCGCTGTAACGTCAGCAACCTTTACGCAAGCTCTCACACTGAAATCTACAGTATATATAAGCATTAAGAGCTTATTTCAGCGAGGAAATTACAATAGTATATATTTTAGATATGATAGTCTCTCATCACGCACTTATACAAAACATAAATCTGTAGTCCAACAGCTACCACATTGCTCCAAGGCATGTAATCAACACATTTCAGACTCGGAGTCTCTCTCAAGCAGGAATTACGATTATTTACATACAGCAGTCGCATTGAAATGTAGATACAGTAATATATATATATATTTATATATATAAACTAATTGTAGACTGCAGTAAAATTTGTTTTTATCAGTCTTCTAACACTCAGAGCATGTTTTACTTTCCAGTTGCTTACAGATGACGCTTTGAGACACATGGAAAAGTTATTTTAAATTAACTTAACTCTTATTGTATAATGTAAAAAGTTAACAACACTATCTTAATCTTGCAGACCTGCAGAGTGAATTTCACTATCGGCTGTTGGTCCTATTATTCTGCTTTTCGTTGATTTGAAGCTGGCGGTTAAAACAATAAGAAAATGCCAATATGTGAACATAATCCTAATCCAAACTCAGATTAAATAAAACTAAGGCAAAATATGAATAAAAATAATTATGATTGTACGGAAAATTAGGTTTATGCGGTAATTATGATTATGCAGAAAACTGACAGGTCTACATTCATTGGTTAATCACTTATTAAATATGTAAAGTAGTTCTGAATGTACAACTGTAACGTAACGCTATACACCGTCCTTAAATCACTGGTGGTTGTTACAAAAGTTTACACAGGCACAACATCAGGACTTGTCTGCTCCCGTCAGTTTGAATTAAAGTTGATACGATAGGCTCTTAATGACACGCTCTTGGTATTATCTGATGTCGTAGTTTAACGTGTTACTGACGTTAAGAGCGTGAGTTTGTAAATTGACTACACGTTAAATCATAGCAATGCCCCATTGCTGTTGTTAAGGAGTGAGAATAACATAGAAAAGCTACAAAAACCAGTGGATAATAATCATTCCCTCTTCCGTAGTTAACAGATAAAAAAAGCCTTTAGTGTAAAGTTAATTGTTTTTCATTAGTAAGTTTACAGCTGGTCGTAATTTACAGGCCATGAGACAGAAAGCGAACACAGTCAATTAACACTACTCCACGTGGTAGTGATAACATGCGAAAGGCTTCTAGATAACGAAACTACACTGCAAATAGTAATACACGATAATATAATATCCTTTAGTAAATAAATGCCACGCTGATACAATGATTATAAAATCAGTGTTTCTTCTAATATGCACATCTTATGTAGTAATTTTGATTAATGTAGATAAACATCACAGGTTTTATGCTCCACAACTTAAAAAATCTAATACACAAAAGTCTTAATATACCACAATAAACATCAGTTTAAATACAACACAATACACATCAGTCTTAATACACCACAATACACATCAGTCTTAATACACCACAATACACATCAGTCTGAATACACCACAGTCTAAATACACCACAATACACATCAGTCTTAATACACCACAATACACATCAGTCTTAATACACCACAATACGCATCAGTCTGAATACACCACAGTCTAAATACACCACAATACACATCAGTCTTAATAAACCACAATACACATCAGTCTAAATACACCACAATACACATCTGTCTAAATACACCAAAACACACATCAGTCTAGATACACCAAAACACACATCAGTCTAGATACACCACAATACACATCAGTCTAAATACATCACAATACGCATCAGTCTGAATACACCACAGTCTAAATACACCACAATACACATCAGTCTAAATACACCACAATACACATCTGTCTAAATACACCAAAACACACATCAGTCTAGATACACCACAATACACATCAGTCTAAATACATCACAATACACATCTGTCTAAATACACCACAATACACATCTGTCTAAATACACCACAATACACATCAGTCTAAATACATCACAATACACATCAATCTGAATACACCACAATACACATCTGTCTAAATACACCAAAACACACATCAGTCTAGATACACCACAATACACATCAGTCGAAATACACCACAATAGACATCAGTCTTAATACACCACAATACACATTAGTCTAAATAGACAACAACACACATCAGTTTAAATACACCAAAACACACATCTGTCTAAATACACCACAATACACATCAGTCTAAATACGCCACAATACACATCAGTCTAAATACATCACAATACACATCAGTCTTAATACACCACAATACACATCTGTCTAAATACACCACAATACACATCAGTCTAAATACACCACAATATACTTTAGTCTGATGGCGGTCTCATTTGTAGTACAAGAAACCAAGGGTCTTAAAATAACACAGATAATATTGCATTCATAGACCTATGAATGAAATAAGTGAGTAAGTATTGATATCACAAATGTTTCATTTTCACATGTATAGATGGGAAAGCCACAAGACTATAATAAAAAATACCACTACAGTGTCCTACAGCATTTAAGCACATATTCGATATGAAAGAATTAGCGAGAATAAAACGAAAAGGAGAAATGCATTTGTTTGTTATGTTTTGACAGATCATGCTGCAAGATTTCAACGCCAAAAATGCCCAGTTTCGTATTCTACCTCAGTACAAAGTCAAATCGGAGGGCGAAGTGGTAGGAACTGCTTACATTACACTTCCTGATCAAATATACGGTAGAACGATGATGTCGTCTTAATTTACAATTAATATCTAACAATAAACTCATAAGTAACATTTTAAGAGTGTGCATAAGTAATTCTTCAAAAAGCAGTACAGATGGAATTCACCTAAAATGTTATGCTTTTTTACATATTTTTTACATGCAGACTAAAGTTAATTTATCCTGCTTAGTGATAAGTGTTTTTTCTTTCTACCAGGTTCAAATTTATGACCAGATTGTGTTTGAGAGTATAAAGTCTCCGGGACACTTCTTTCACGCCAGTGCCGCTTATCAGATTGACCATTTTACATACGGGTATGTATTTTATTTCCCCACAAATTACTCCTTAGATCGAAACCTTTATATCAGAAAATTATATACTAATTCACCTTAAGTATCTACATGGTAAACCATTTCGTGTACAGTAAACCGAGATGCGTGATGTAAAATGTTTCATTCTGTCTGTCTCCTAGGTCAGAGGTCAACCTTGGCGTGGAGCGGTCTGGGTTTACTTTGGTTCGATTCCATAAAGGGATAGCAGAACACGACCCATACGTTAGGGTAAGTACTGCTCTTCTCATAATCTATATGGAAAGTGAAAGTATCACCAAACGGTCAAAACGAGATAATAAACTTGCAAACAAGAGACCAGGGAAATATCTTTAAAGATCACCTTTAATAAATCTTATATCAATTGGTTTGTAAGAAGATGTATTCAATTCCTTATAATCTATATATTTAAAGCAGATGGTTTTGTTTGAGTGCACCTGCTTGTCGCTGGTGCTTAAAAAAACATAATTCGAGTCTTAACACATCTATATTTACCCACTTGCTTTATCAGGGCGGATCGGTGATTCGATTGTTCCACAAGGAGTTAGAGGCCTACCTTGTAGCTGAGGGTCTGTTTGACGAAGAAGTTACAGAGGATGGTAGGTAACATTCCGGAATTAACAAATCGGGGATAAGAAACTGATTGAGAACGTTTTTATGGTAGTCATGTAATTTCAACATTTCATTTGACAATAAAATCGACAAACATGACATCGTGCCATTATACATGTATTTCTATTCAATTAATGAAATTTCGATTTTATATATGTATACATATATATAGATTAATTTCTTCTTGTGTTTAGTTCACTTCAGAATCCGAGTAATGGACCAACACAAGCCTCGCACCCTATCACCGCCCACTTCCGGTAACACATTTTGGCAGATAGAGGCAGAAAGTGGCATCCTGAACGGTAGGTCTACTCAGTAACATAAGTAGTCCTTTATGCCAATAACAGCTGAGATGATGCGTTTTAACTATGTCTAGCCAAATCTAATGTTAACCTGTGATATTTAATTATGTATGCCATGTACCTAGTGCATGAAATTCATTCAGGTTTATGCTTCAAAAAAAAAACATCTTTGTTGAAAAATAATCCATAGCCGTTTTCTCCTTGTTTGTTTGTTTCGTTCATTCCTTCTGTAGAAATGTGATCTGTAAATGACATGATAAAAATGTACGCCGAAGTAGAATAACTACAATGAATAAAATTTGAGATAGAACTTCGCTATTATCTTATAAAGGATTATAGTATTAAGAGCTTCACAAACTATAAACTACAACAACTAACTGAAGCAGTCTTTGTATCTATAATGGATCCGACTGTTATTATTATCAGGATCAAGTCATGTTCACTTTTATTGAATTTTTTAATCTTGCCGCTATTTAGATATATTACCTCAGCATTGAATCGGTTACAATGATCAAAGCAGTTTCCATGGAAAGTTAAGACTACCTCATAAAGATTGTTGTACATTATTATACTATGTTCTCCTATCAGGATTGATCAGCCACTGTTATGAGAAAACATGCAATTATGTGTGTAATACATAGCGTTTTACAGAAATGTTCATCAGACGTCTATATCAGGAAATTGACATATCATTTGATTGATTTCCTGTCTTCAGTTCTGACTTTCTATATTTTTTGGTTATGAACATAAAAGTTTGTATCTTTTTTTTATAAAAATTTCAATTCTTTACCTTTTGTCTTTCGTTGATATTTTTCGTCCTCATCAAATTTTGTTTTAAACGCAATAATTTTACATCATACACGGAGTTATGTCCTCAATGAAGGCGAAAAAATTATTCTTGTTCACAAACACTATTATACTTCCGCTAAAACAATAACCACGAATAACTAATCACAGAACAGATAAAAACATCTCTATTGCGAGGACGACAAACCCCTCAAACAAGTTAAACAGACGTTCTTTATGCTCAACCTCAAATTGATAAGTCTTTCCCAGTAGTTTTTATGTACTAGACTCAACACAACAGAATACTGCTACGCAATTCCTGAGTTGCAATGCCAAATACAAAGATCCATGATGTTTTTTTCTTTAGAAGTCTGTTAAATATTCTATTTCTTATCTACTCCGAATCCCGGATTATGTAAACGGCATCTGACGATTTAATGTAAAAAATCTAAATCGACTTCAAATGCATTCTGCTGCACGCGCTTCTTTATCCTTTGTGGCATCTTTATTTTATTGATTTGTTATGGTATCGGCTAAGTTGAGTTATTGTGTTGTTATTTGCTTTGAGTTTTCAATTTGCTCTTTAAATATATAGTAAACGTCCATTTGTATTTGTTTTGTGATGAATTTTGTGAATGCACACTTAACTTAAATGCAGGCGATATGGTACGCTAGGCTGTTTACACTGTGCAATACTACAGTTGTATAATGCAATTTAATTGATATCTGGCCATACTGTGTTGATATGTATTAAAAGGTATTGTTAAATTGTGTGTCGTTTTTACGTGGTGTGGTGAAGCTGTGATTATTTGTGCACAAACAACTTCGTTTGTGTTCAATGCTGTAACCTTTACTACGTGTATACCATTTGAGACGTGAAGACACCTAGCGGCAGATTTTGGAATTACTGCTTTCATTCATGAAATATCTCAAATGTGACTCAGAAAGATGCGTGTCCATCGCTGTAGTAGCAAGCAGAAAACTTTGGGTTATGAAATCTTAGATAAAATCTTTTTGAGATATTTGTTATTTAAATCAACATTTCGGTATATATTTACAACGCAAATTTTTCACTGTTTTCGTACTTTTTTCAATAGGAGCAAACTGACAACGTTAAGGGTCGACAAGAACAATGTTAAGTCAATGATAAAGGATACAATATTTGTCTTTTAATTTTGACACAAAATTAACACCATATAGGCAGATATTGCAACCACCGATGTATGTAATTTGGCGACAATGACAGGATCAATCTTTAATTTCAAAACTTCAAAATATTGTGCGTAATAATCGAGTTTACCAGCTAAATATGAAGTATGATATCAAAACGAGTTTCGAGTTACTTATGTTACACTGACTTTACGTGTTTTCTTCCGATATCTATGAACAAAATCCTTGAAGTGGTACCGGTGCTTTCGGCGAGTTTCCCGTATAGGGAGCAATACCACATGAGACAAGCTGGAATAATGAGAGAAAAAAGTTTGTGATAAACGCATAAATGTAATTATGGGATAATTCGTTGGACAATCAATACATAAGATATTGAAATCTAGGTTTTTGTACATGTACCTTGATTTGCTGTTCATGTCCATTTCCATGTTAGTAAAATCTAATGGGAAATATATCATATAATCCAATTTGACTGTTGACCTTTACAATAAAAGTTTTTTTATGTTTTAACAAATGCGTCTGAACATTTAAGGAAAGAAATTAATAGTTATTTACTGTATCTATTTAAGTAATGAAAGAAACTCTTACTTAAGTGAAGCATAAACACAAACTCAAGTGTGGTCTTCATCTTACAGAAGACACGAGCCATGTTCACAGTCACGTTTCTACTAAAGAAGTCAGAGAAATCCCAGGCTTCTATCGGCCTGAATGATATGAGTCTTTTAGTTATTAAGAAAAAATCATTTGCCCAGGCAGATCATCAAACATGGTAGCCTTCAAATGCTCAAAATCAGCGCTCTGGAACTTTTGGTTACATTATCTGAATATCAAAACAGCAAAAACACTGGCGTAAGATAATGAACTCCGCCACCCATCTCTATGCATTATGAATCCTATACAACAATTGTTACACATGACCTCGGGACTTTCATCATGTTAATCAGATAATATTTTACATTCCCGTTATCATTTTAATGCTTTTGTGCGGTTTTAGGAATTTTTATTCTCGTTACTTTAACCCTTCCCCTTTCAGATAACTTTTTCACATTTAGTTATTTAATAATGTTCTCCAGTAAAGCTCATATACATTTAAAGCAATTTTTCTGATTTTGGAAACTGTGCGCTGATATTCACGACAAGTTCTACTCTAGCTCTTTGATGTTTGACGACAACAACAAATCTTTATTACACTTAATCTTTTGATTATTTCTTAAGTATTTAGTTGAAATAGTTTGACCAATTTTTGAAGCGTGACGAGCCCGGTCGAAATGAAATTGGAATGAAAAAAAGTGAAGCCCTAAAAGAGGAATGCATAAAGAGAAGCTTGTCTTTTATTTCTTTCCAAATTTTTATAACGTTTGCTTCTACATGTATAGCGACTTCTAACTTTCTGTCTCGCCCTTACCAGAACTGAATGGGTGTCATACAAATCACATTGTTCAAACAATATGTTTTACATTTCATTTTCAGTGACGTTGTATATATAGCTAGTTGAAGAAGTTTGCAGTTTTGATTCTATGGTGGAACTTAACATAGTTTTTAAATAGAATATCACCAAAATGTTTGTGAAAGTAAATTTTTCTGTTTACCTAAATTGTTGTGATGTTAAGCGTTACCAGTGTTGTATTCACATTATGACCAAAAGTGTGACTTCGAAAAAAGACAAAATATACTATCTCCATGTTATAGGAAAACTTGATAAGGGTATACAACTTTTCCACCTAGTCATTCATAGATTACTTTAATTATTTTTATCGCCAACATCGCCATGGTTTAAGCAGGTGTCAGTGGATTAATGATATCTAATTTTTATATGATAATTAATTGATTCATATTCAATATATTTAGCTACATGTACATAACTGGCAATTTTACCCTTAAATCTTACATATTTTTTTAAATTTTAATTGATGTTTGAACTTTTAATTTTTGTGTAACATTCAGAGTCTATCGAATATTCCATAAATCACAGTATTTCTGTCGTTTGTGTTCTCAGTACTTCCTTTCTTACTTTCTAGGCGATATCTTGCGATGGGAACAACAGGTTCGACTGCGTCACATGACCACCAGGAAATACCTGTGTATTGACGCTACCAAGGAAATATCGTTGACGGACGAGAGTGAGGATCCGCGAACAGTTTTTCGCCTGTACTCTGTCATTAGTGTAAGTGCCCCGTATCTTTGTCACGGGACAGTATCAGCTATATTAGATGGAATCTCTATTGGTTTTATCGGTAGAAGTAGGGTCTGTTAGTAGCGTGGGTTTCCTCAAATTTATTGTTTTATTGCTTTACGAAGTTCACGCGCGCATTGTTTAAAGGCAAGTTAATGGAGAAACGATCGATAACATCTAACATTCACATGTGTTTTCACAACGAATGTAAGCATTGTTGTTTTATTGACTAATTTAAACCTCATCAATATAATGCCTGCTTCCCAGCGTCCCTTTTTACTTGAATTGTTGCAGATAGTATATATATATATACTTTCACGAGCCTTAGGAATGTATGTTATCCCTCGTGTTTGTATTTATGGAGACGGAAGGCTATTTTTATCGGTCAAACAAACTGAATTTTTAAAATTTTAAGTCAAGTTTCCAGATATGGTTCACATCATACACCATAGACAAACTAAAGAACTTCCATGATGTAGTTTAAATTGATAGATATTTTCAGTGCTGTTTATACATCTACACGAGGCTGACTTTTCTGTGTTTCACTTTCTCTCTGTGAGATTCTGTCTACGTAATCCTATTGCGATCGGTGTGTGATATATTATTTTACACCGTCCCTACACACGGATGTCATCGATTAAAACCATGTCGTCTACATCTAAGATGATAACCAGCCCTTCTGTTTGGTCTGAAAAATATTTCATCATAAACATTCATCAGTCCTTGATAACGTCATTCTGTTTATTTAATCAAAATTCATATATCAAAACCTCATTTTCCGAACGAGAATTACGAAAATGATAACCGAATTTGCGCTCCGAATATATTTGAGAATTTAATAATGTTTCATAAATACAGCTAGCACATCAAAAACTGACAAAACCAGAGATAGAATATTGATGTATGATTAGTCACGAGAAGTCGCGAAATGGCATTACATTCCTAACGACCATAGATATGCATAGTAGGTGAGCGACCTTAAGGTTGTACGAAGTCGTCAATACTGTCTTTCGGACGTTTCATATGGTGGTTATTACCTCTAAAATAAATTAGATCTAATAAAATTGGAGTCCCAGCAATCGTTGTCTCTGATGAATGACAAATATGTGAAATATTTTCCAACAGGAAAGAGATGAGATACGATTCGAGAGTTACTGCCGTATTGAACACGTGTTGACAGGATTTTGGCTTCACGCACTGAAAGGTAATTGTCCATTTAATGGCAGAAGTACGGTATAAATTAGCAAGCGGCCAACTCATGGCTGCGTCAGTATATATTCTAACTTTTAGTTTGCCCATTTGAAAACTGTCTACATCTTATCTAAATTCAGAGTAAGTAAGTGGAAAACCTATCAATTAATGTTTAAATACACTTTTGGTTAATACAAGCTAACATATATCATCTCCACTAAAGTATCTACTAAAACACAAATCACCAATTTGCTGAACTTTAACCCTCCAGTGTGTTTATGATTGACCTTCTAGTCATATTTAATCTTACGTTTTATTCAGATGAAGACTACATTCGGAAAAAGTTCCGCAACATGGATAGTAGTGAAGATCAGAGTTTGCGGGGACTGCGGTGGGACTCTGCACAAGTCAGACAGGTTCGTCCACAGAACCTACATTCAAACGTCTTAAATCTTGTTTTGAATAAGAAATTTGTTCCTTGATAAAAAAAAGTCAAATATATTAATCAAAACCTTACCAAAAAAAAAATCCCCAGTCTGCTACTCTCGATTTGATAGGCAAGTCACGAAAAGGAATTGAAGGTGCTTTATGTTGTTACGCGTATCAATTATTGTGCAGTTAAAACGGAAAGCTGACTCCGACATTTTGGCGACTAGGACGGCCGTATCATAAGCTGATTGACATTTGCACGCCTATTTTAAAATATAGTTATTATGTTTGTTAATACAGCTCATCTTGAAGGAAATTACATAAAAATTTTCGTTAAGTCATGAAATAGCCGTAACGTGAAACTTGCCAGGTGCGAGGCACACTGAGTGACTCCGACAAATGATTGATGTAATGTACAACGGAAAGATTAATCAGGATATTGACAAATTCATTTTAAAGTATGAGCAATAAATCTGATGTCCACGGCAGTCTATCGCGGGGGAGTTATGTCAAATAAATATGACGATACGCTGTCATGGGACCGGTTATTTCAGCTACTTACAGAAAATTTGTCTAGGCACGTAATGCACGGAAACCACGGGCTCCGATATCGATTGGGATGTCAATCAGAATGTGTTGTGTTTTGTAGTTAGGGGTTTATTGATGTCATGATGAAGAGAGAAAGGAGACGCACCAATGTGTGCCGGGAAAATTAACTATTAACAAAAAGAAATCTACAATGTAATCACTAGTTGTTGTTGTAAACATTAAATCTCAATATCTTTGTTATTGTAGCAAATAATTCGACAACAAAGATAACCACGTGATTGATATAGATATAAGAAATATACTAATTTTGATAAGTGAATGGAGAGTACGTCACCACTGCGCCATACTATGTCACATGATCGGTAAAATCAAACATTTCCAATATGAAATCTCAGAAAAGACATTTTACATTGTCAGTTACATAAGTGTCATGACATCATCTGTACAGGTAGCGGCAAGTGGTGAGAGTCAGTACGATGATGCGTTCACCATACAGTTTGTGGAACAGATCCATCAGGACGAGTTTAATTACATAAGTGGAATGGTTCCATTTCTCCTAAATCTCATCAAGGACGTGAGTACAGAACTTTGTCGACGGATGTCCTGGTACTGTTTAGTGTCAAGGTTTCTGTAATATACTTAACAATGGTATACACAGCCCGGAGTTGTTTTACTGTCCTTAACCGGTATCAGTTAATGTGTGGTTCTCACCTTACACCTGTTTTGGACACCTGTTGTCTTTCCTCATATTTCTACAATAATGCCGTTATTTTGATCAAGTTTCTCTTAATTAGTACTGGGTAAATAAGAAAAGTATAAGTTGCACGACAGACTCCAACTTTCTATGTGATAGTATATTTGTCCTGTATAATATCGCTGCCTTGTTTATCACACAAAATCAAATTATTCTTGATCCAATAAAAGTAAATTGTTTTCGATTTTTTAGAGAGAAGAGAGACAATTCCTAAATGCCAAAAAGACGCATGTTGCATTAACAGTAAGTGTGCGGATGGTGGATATATAGAAATCCACAAATATGTAACGTCTTTTCGTATCCGCATGGTAACATCCGTCCCGGTAGTGAGTTAATTTGATCTACAAACCATTTTACATAGCTTTATCAATGGATGCAAAGTTTTTGCAACGATAATATTTGTTGTACAACTTCAAACCCATTTGTATTGAAATCAAAGAATTCAACGTCGATCATAACGTTAACTTATCAAATAAATTGAGAACAAAACTGAGGAGCACATATGACAGCAGTAGATTTATAATGATAAACCACTCCTTTGATATCTCTCCACATATCTATCGTGATTCTGCTTTTACTTACAGGCAATGGAGGGCATACGGAAATTCATGATGGTGAAAAACCTTCCTAGTAAAAACAGACAAAAATTGATGAGAAATTTGCGAGTAAGTACAAGGATAAGACATAGATTATTTATATATAAATATTTTGTGCCAACAGGAAACCCGTTAATACATCAGAAGTGTTTTAACGGATATCAATATTCTACACGCTAGGTCGATTAATATTTGAGATCATTATAGAATTCTTGTAGTATTGATTTTGCTGAAGTCACCGATTTCTCAATCTTATTATTGGTGTATTCACGTAATCCCGACGTAGATCACACAACCCTCTCAAAATTGAAATAATTTAAATTGTTTATTTTTCGACAATGTTGATAATGCCAAACAAAGAATTCTCACTTTTTGGCAAAAAACAATAAATAAATTAATTAACAAACGAAATAAGAAAATAAATTAACTTAAATATGTTTATTACTAAGTATTGATTGGTTATGAGATAGTTACATTCGCCTGTAGATAGCAATCTTTTGCTGACATGTGCATTCTAGGTGATTGATTTGCTGGTGAAGATCCTTAAATGCCCTTTAGACGGTACGGCTGACGAACAGAACATGATACAAGTGTTCAAGGAGGCTTACGAGATTCTCTATACTTACATGATAGGCAAAAGCAGGAAAAACGCACTCTATTTCGCCAAATATATCGAGTTCTTCCAAACACAATTTACACAAAAGGTAAACTCGGGGCAAAAGGAATCAATCATTGGTTTAATCTACATCAGATGTAAAGTTGTGTACCTCGTGTAAAGATCAGTATACAAAGCATCTATGTACACTATCACTATTATTTCAAGAACAAGGATATCGATATTTTTAGTTTTTGGGTAAATAACGTTTTTGTTTTTGTTTCTAAATATTCCTATGTTAATGCACACAGTATATAATAGGGATAAAGTAATTGTATATTTTGTAAAAATGTCTCAGCAATATTGACGATCATTACAAGCCATAATGATAACCTCTACCTAATATGAACATTCACTAAAGGGCAGTATATACTACTTTTACAAACTCATTGTAATTTTTTACCACTTTTGACTGACACACCAGGGTGGTATAGGGTTAAACGTTGCCCAAATGATCGTGGAACTAATCCGTGACAAGAGGAAGATCGTGGATAGGATCACACACGAACAAATCAACGAATTCGTCGGTCTTCTTCAGAAAACACAGGTGATAACTTGACCTATTCAAAAACTGACATTAGACAATTAGACTTGCAATGATTAACGAGTCAAATTGATCAGAATATTACCTACATGTAACGCAGATATATCAATATCGTATTTTAAGTCGTTTTCCTTGTTAATATAGCAAGTGTCAGAATAAAGCGATATACAGCACATATATTTCAAACAGATGCGTAAAAATTTGACCAATATTAATTTTACGTATACGTATCCTTCATTCAATACAGAATTACCGCTTTCTCGATCTGATGCACGTGCTCTGCGTATGTGATGACGTAGCTATTCCAAACAACCAATCATACATTGTACAGCGCTGGATGCAGGAAGAACAGGTGGGTCACGTGACTAATCAATAATTTGACAAAATTTTTAATCCGTTTTTCTCTTTTAATAAGAAATCAGTAAAAGAGAGATGTACGGCTCCGAAGTGATTCAACACTTTTATTATGTTCCTTTTGAGAAACGCTAAGTTAAGGTAGAGAGGAGTAAGCAATAAAGCAATTTGTTAGATGAGCTTAAAGTAGACATAATTTGTACTTTTGTCGAATGACCTCTGAGTAGAAATATTACATAAACTCTATTTTAACTGATGTTTAAACTGTTTATGTTGATAGAACATTCTGAAATGTATGGATATTATTTGGTACATTCTCACTTTATGGAGACAATCTGTAGTATGTAGTATGATATGAAACATACAATTTTATTTGTTAAATGTGTTAATGACTTCAGGGAAGAGGGATTTATCTGACCGCTCGTGGACAGGACATCAACAGGCAGCCAAACATTCTTTACATTACAACCAATGGAGGGAAAACATGGGACTCGCTCCACACATTCGTCGACGTAAGTATCTGTATGATAAAGAATGGGGTTATTTTGTCTATTGTTTAACCTACATACATATAATACTGTGATTGAACATTGTGATTGAAGATTGAATATTTCTTAATATAAAATATGATAGTGAAACAGAAAGCGGACAATAAAGAAATGGCAAAACAAGAAACACCATTCCATGTTACCTTTATATGTAAACATTTTCATGTGTCATTTTCACTTTAGCCAAAAGCTGAGGATTACGACAAAGACAAACACGATTTCCTCATTCATCAACTTGACCTTTACAAAGCTCTCTGTCATGTGAGTATACACCTATTTATATACAAACGTCGTGTATGACATCTGACTGCCTCGATCGACACTTCTTTCTGATACCGTAAACTTAGTTATGATCACGAAAATTTGCAATTACAATAAATTTCATTAATTTGCGTCAATTTGCGAAATATTAACCAATCATTTCCATCAATATCAAGTTGGCTCCTGCCAATTTTTGCAGATTGAATGTTACCGCCAACACCGCGAAAGCTAAACCCGCACGGTAGTTGTTTACAGTAAAGAAATCTGATGTCATAAGATAAAGAAAATTTAGGATTGGGCATCTAGTTAAGATAACTATTGCAATTTATTTATATAATTCCATTTGAACACAAGTATGTAGGGAATAATTTCGTATTAGTCTCGAAATACAAAGTATTATTTACCATATTACCGAACTTCAGAATATTATTAACCATATTATTGAACCACAGAGTATCATAACCATATTACAACACGATTCATGTTTAAGTCCTTCTATACATTGGACATGCACCTTCAGCATCACCTATGCGTATTCTGTGTATTTTTTCATCGTGTTTGAAATGACATACGCTCATGATATAATACATACTACAAAGAAAGTTGTCTGGCATATGAATACTTGATAGATCATGAATATACTCTATATATGACTGTTATGGACTGTACATGTAATTTGATTGAAATGTATATTGGTGAGTTCAGGGTAGGAACGACTACTCCATCAACATGATCACCAAGGAATTACGGTACTTAACGTGGGAGGAAACCTTCCTGTCCCTGAGGTCAGATATCCTTCCAGACGCCATCCGGGCAAAATACTGCGATCTCACCACAAGTATGACACATACTTAAACAGTGTTTCTTTATAAGCTAATATTTTAATGTTTAGTTATGGTTGTAACAAAAGACATACCATTGAATAACACCTTTCAGTAGATTTAGATGCAATGTAAAGCCAAATACTTAAGCAAACAACATCATGCAGCTGTTTCGTAATTCTAGGACACGTCTGTTATACTCGGGGCCTAAATTTTGAAATGCAAGGATTTATGTATAACTGACATCACGCTGAAGAACTTTTAAGTATTTAATATTTTTGATGGAACATTAAGCATTTTCTTCATTGTCATCAGAAACAACTTTTTGGCCAAATAAAGTGTTAATGAATTATATACTTGTGGTTATGGTGGTAAATGTCCATTATGTTTATCTTCCAGGTCTGTTCGTTGATGTGGGAAATAACTACTCTGTATTGGACCATCCTAACATATGTTTTGTGTACGAGTACGTGGGCTCTAAGGATGAAGAAAAGAGTCAAGGAGACTTTGTATGTTTAGATTTAATAAAGCATTTGTTGTCATAGCAAGAGTAAACGGTTGAAACCATGACATTACCACAGTAATGTGATTAAACGGATATTGCAAAAGTCAGCATTGCTTTGGCAACGAGATTGAGCAAAATTTTCTAAAACGTGTTAATGCAATGGCAACGAGATTGGGTAAAATTTCGTTGAAAAATGCTGTTTATATTGAATATCATTAGAACAAATTATGCTCCGAACATGTGAAATGATAAAATGATGCTGGAAATTTATTATAACTTTTTTCAGTCTTTTATCTGAACTAGTATTAAGGTTTTTTTATAGCTTAAACTTTCTTTGATGTACTCGCAAGGAAGGAAAGACTCCATTTTCATTATTTCATTTTTGGTAGAACTCTATACACCATTTATATTGTCAAAAACGCATGTAACGGATTTTCACCTAAGAAATGGACAAATGATTGACACCTTAGAAGGAGAGGAGCTGTCAGGGTGTGAAAGTGGAAAAGATAGCAATCATACCAAAATAAGACAATATATCAAAATTATGTACTTGTCAAATATTTAACACGTAGTGGTTTCATGAAAGAGGGAACAATTTAAGACACCCTAAATTATGAATGTTATCACGAGCTGCCTTCTAAAAGGTATGCAGTATATCAAAGTGATTTTTTGCGAGTTTTAAGCCTAATAAATATATTTTTCTATAGATATAGACAAAATATTTCTATGGATTGGTTATATTCATGTGGAAAATGAAACAAATGACGTAAAGTCAAATTTGATTCTTAATCTAATTAAACAGGTAGTCAAAGAATTGGTTGCTATTTTTCCTGTTCTGAGGGACTGGATTGCAGAATTCCTACAGGAAAACAAATGCATGTTTGCTGACGATATTGGTCACAACATGCTTATTGAACAGGTATGTACAGCAAGTATGATATCACCCATTTAATGATTGTAAAAACCATTGTACAGTTCTACAAAGTTGACATATACCAATAATGACGTTTATTTTCTGAACATCGATATCATAGAAAAAAAATGTCGAAATTTTAAGTAATAGTAAATCTACGTGTTTTCCTGGAAAGTGAGTATCGGCATAGTATCTCGAGTAATAGTACAGTTTGCGATACAGAAGTACATTGTGCGACATATCTCATGTTACGTTGTGTATGAAGGTACTCCGACTGCTCTACCACTTGGTGAAGTTCGGGTATTACCTGGATGCGGAGGATGTGGAACAGCTTCTTCCTCCAATGTTGAATCTACTGGACGGACGACATGATTTTCCGTTCCAGAAAGACAGAGAAAAAGGTAGATAATTTACTCGTTCGACATATATATCATTTTGATGAATGCTTTTTTCAAGATTTATGAAATGTGTATGTTAGGAATAATAATAATAATAAAAACTAACATAATCAAATCACAATAAATAATTCAATAATGCCTATAAAAAATATCAAGGAAATAGCGTGTTCGCCTTTGCAAGTTACCAACGATTCATCCAATAAAGTTCTGTGTAATAACAGGATTTTCAAAAGATGCCATGAAGTTAGTCCATCAGTTCCAAACGATAGAACGATTCTTACCTACTCCAGAAACAGAAGCAATCGTCAATGCCAAATTTCAGTAAGTGACCACACTTCTCTAAACGTCAGTATATAACATTTGAATATAGCGTTTTATAAACGGTGTTGTTTGATATAAATTATATCCATCCCACAACATTGTTTGTAGTGCGTAATTGGTGATTATGGTTTTTATTGTTCTATATATTAGACTGCATTAAAACTAATATGTATCTTCTATCATACCGTTAAGTATTTATCATGTTCTAGGGTACTGGAAGTACTGGATCTCCTTCTCCTCTACCAAAGAAATTCGAGACTACAGGTTTGTGTTGTGATATTGACAACAGGATATGATATTTTGAATCATCTGCTTGATGATTTAAATATTCTACAGAAACTCGACATGTTACTTTACATTTGCATCTACCCGCGTCTCACTACGTAATGTAGGGTTTCCTGGATATATATTCAGTGTAGGGAATAATTGAAGGCATCAGAAAAAACCTTACATCGCCCTGCATTCGTTCACGAGATGTGACTTTTGAATCGTGCCTTTTTTATATATAAATTGTTTGCTGCTGTTAAATGTCTATATAATCCTTGTGGCTTATCTTCAAATCCCGTATATTTCTTTGCAGATTCAGTTAAGCATATAGTCTTACAAAATATTTTTCGTTTTGCAGAGTTTCGTGTCGAAGTTTAAAGTAGCAGAGAAATGTTGTGGTCAGAAAAAATCACAAAATGTGTTGGTGTCTATGTTGTTTGACGATTTCGATCCTCACGACCAAAGCAAGTAAGTTAGGTTCACTACCAGTGCACTGTATTTGTCAAGATTTTGATTTCCCTCAATTGCTTCCGGGGCTTCAAAATGTATGCCCTTGGTATCACTGACGAGACCTAGAAGGACGAAACAGCAGTATGGTGCAGTTAAATTTATTACTTAGCTATTCTCTATCTGATTATAAACTTACATTACAAGTGTCTTTTGCACAGTACATCAAGATTGCTACGCTTTCGATTCCCTTTGATTCATGTTTAAAATAAATTATATATTATTGGAAAGAAGTGAAAACAGTGACTATAAAATTGTTGATGTAGATTGTTAACTCATCGTGGAAAAAAGTTAAGAAAAGGTAAAATTCCTTCGGAAAAGCAAATTCGGCTGTTTTATTTATGGTGTTGGGTACTATTTTTATTAGGTTACTGTGTGTGACAGAAGGTATACTTCATTTTTGTTAGGAAAGCACTTAAATGTCAGAAAAGGATTATAAAAGAACTGCGAGAAATGTTCAACAAAGCGGCTATATTTGACGTGGAAACTCTAACCCGGGTGCTGACGGTAAGAAGTTAAGTTAGTCACGTGGTCACAATCTTAAGTTGTAACTGAGCCAGAACATTGGTTAAATTATCTTTAATATAAATGATGACGAAAACTAATATTGTTATCACAAACGGTCTGAAACCTTGTCGGAGTCGCTTACCGTATTTGTATTGGAAGCAAGCTCCACCGTATGCTAATTTACACACGCAACGAATACTTTGAGTTATATCTGCTCCGTACAAAACCGATATTTGATACATTTTCAGGATTTATCAAGATATAAATACAACAAGATGATAACAAAATCTTTAAGCATTCTCAACAAGGTGTACTCGTCAAAGGATAACGTGTTTCGACTGTCCAAAAAAGCCCAGGTAAGTAAATGTAGAATACTTCCATTCATCTCAATTAACATCGTGCACGTTCGTTACATGTAGCGTAACACGTGTTGGTTTTACCACTTTGGGTAACCCTTTTAAACATATCTGTAGGCCTGGTTGGTTAAAAGTATTGACTGTGAAACTGCAATCGGACATTTGCAGTGCGTATACACTGTAGTCATATGATTCCTGAAGATGTACAGTAATAATATGTGATCGTCACTGGGTTTATAAATGATGTGTGGTTGTACTGTGAGTGGATTTGCAGTGAACACATCATTGGAAGTGTTCAGTGTGTTTTGAAATATCGCCTCGAGTAAGCGGAATTTAATGATTTGTATACAATTCCAATTAATTTATTTTGTCGAAAAATAAAACATCCAGAGACTTAAAAGTTACGACAACTTCATGGCTGAATGGCAAACGTGAAATTTATGACATCAGAAATGAATAACCCTTAACCTAACACATGTACTTTCTATTGGAGATAAGTTGATCGTCTTCGATGTGATATCTTTGCCATTTTGTTAATCATTGCACATTTTGTTATAAAACACTGAAATCGGGAAATGTTTATCTCTTGACGGGGTACAGGCTTGTGTCTGTGCCAAATGTCCATCTGATTGTATATGAGGAAATCTTAGTCAGCGATTCTCATTCACGTATAAAAAACTTGCTCTGAATTCACAAAAAGGGACATGTACGTATTTCATCTTTAAATTCAAACATTAAAACGTTTATTTCCACCATATTGCTGAGAACATTTGTTCCATTTTGTTAATCATTGCACATTTTCCATAGAAGATGACAGACTTGTTTATTATATAACAGTTGAGAAACAATCATCTTTCACTAAAATTATTTTCCAAAGATCCTATTGACCCAAGATTCGGCGAGAGTCCATCGGGAAGTGTTGAAGAGTATGCCAATCCTCAGAAGGCTTGCTAAGGCCAAACTTGATGAGCAGCAGAAAAAATTGATGGAAACGATATTGGACGACCTTGGCGAGTATGTAATCAAGCAAAACACGAACAGTTACTTGTAGAACGCAACATTAAGGGGTAGTATCTCCATTACTAATTATGAATTGCGAGAAATTCCATTAGAGCGACACAAACGATTCTTGTCCCTTGATGATTTTGCGAGCGACACAATTAGTATAATTTCAAAGGTACGTAATTGTTTGAAATTCCATTTCAGATTCTGCCACCTCCCTATGACTCCAGACGAACCTCATCCAATGAATCAAAACATCTTGATAAGTAACGGTAAAAATAGTTACAATCATCCTTTCATTTCAAAAGTCTGCACTGTAGAATGATAATATGATATTATACATATTCACTGTAGGTATGCCTTTAGGCTCCTCTATATTTAGAACGTTCCTTAATATTCTAATTACCTTCAATTCTTAATCGTTTGAAAGATTCTACCACTTTAAACAAAATACCGATATGTTAACAAAATTTTAAATGCAAGCACAAATTTGATGAAACTAGGGCAAACTATGAACAATAGAAAGAATACATGGAGAACTCTGAAAAGGTACGATGATACATGTCTATGGTTTGTAGATTTTATCATATACACTTGCTATTTACAGGTATCTTGACCATTTTATTTGACATCCTTACCCAGGATATTGACACGAAACTGATGGTAAAATTCTCAATTGAATCTATAGTAATCATATTTAATTCAATTAAAGATTCATCTAAGCTTTTTTTGTATAAAAATGATATATATTCGATAACTCATAAATACATAAATTTGTCTCTGTCTGTAAATGTATACATCATAGCGCATTTTCAGTGTTAAAATAATTTCAAATATAGACCAAGCTACAAAATCATATCTGTACTTACTTTTGTGTAAATTGATAACAGTTTGTAACGTACAGTAAGAATGTCGATTATCATTATGTAAATGTATATATTAGGAACTATACCGGGGGATGAAGGACGTGTTCAAGAAAACGTTTCACTTGGTAAAGCTTCTCGCGCGAGAGAATGACCGTGTCCAGTTCCATTTGTTTGACCGTCTTGACGTGCTATTGGATGTACGAGTCGTGGAATCAGATCTCGCCATAGCTTTGAAGGAGGTGCGTTGTAAATAAACAGGACTAGGATTTTTCGGTAGAATTGGCTGTTCATCTTTTCATATATATTTATTGAAAATCTGCACTGTTAAAAGCAATTTTGAATCATATATGCATCTATTATCAAGTATGATTCTCGAATTGATTGGTTATGATTTCTGTGATTTTAAGGTTTTTATGGGTAACCAGAATACCTGTCTAAAAATCAGCCCTCGACAGATTCAAAAGATTGTATCACGTGCTGCAGAGTTACAGGAGCGCGCGCCTGAGTTTCTAGACCTTCTAGGGATGATAGTGAAAGTCGTGGGGACAGACCTGACGCTCAAACGTAACCAGGCATACGTTATGAAGTACATCATGCAGAACTACAAAAAGGTCGCCTATGTTCTAGATTTTAGTAGGGAGGAGAGGTATGTTAAAATCGAGAGTGAAAGTCAATTTTCTATATCGCCATAACTTCAAAACAAATGCAATGGAGAATTATGACGTCATTACCAATTTCCAAATGATCACATGTGGATAACGGTATAAAATCGATAAGAATTTTATGTTTCGAAATGAAAGCCTAACAAAGGCATGATGCACTTCCCATGAACCATATATAACTTGAACGAGTGCAGAGCAATTGTATCAACATTACGGTTTATGAAATAACGTTAGTCTAGTCTTTTATGGGGTTGATATTATTACAGGGACATGCTAAATCATACTGAAGTGGTTAAGAGGAAATTAACAAGAAAGAAATCCACAGCCATCATCCCTCTCTATGTCTGTTCTATATGTTGTGTTGCACAACGGAAGTATAAAATGGCAACATCACTAATATAAAGTGGTCAGGGATAAACTAGAGTGACATAGATATCCGTGTTGTAGCACTTTCATCTATCAAAGTGTTTGGTGATTCTGGTATTTCTCGATTGCTAATTGATGTAGCCACTAAAGGGAATATTTACATTGCAGTAGAGCGGCGCGATTAATTGAACCTGTATCATTAGGTTCTAACATATGACAAATTGGTTAGTGCAGTAATTAGATGCGATGTAAATAATCGTAATTAAGCTTTGTATCGATAAAACGATGCATTATATAAAAAATGAGAAAGGTTGGCACATGGATATTTTGAAAACTGGTATCACCTCTTAATTCAAATATTTTGAATCGTTGTTTGCTTCGTCGGTTGTGATTGGTCACAATATGTGTGTGTAATACTTTCTTAAAGGAAAGTGTTAATTGAAGGTAGTAAACATATTTTTTTTTTATTTCAGTCAAAATCAGTTTTTGTTTAAAAATATTTGATTGAAGAATTCATCACTGTTACACATACATACACATTTGGGATGTGAATATAAAGACCGGACTGGAAAAATATCTAAAACTAAAAACCTTAACCTCACTTTACTTTCTTTATACACAGCACGATAATTTGATGGAAGTACACTCCTTTGAAAATTATATAGGAAGGTATTATAAATGGAAATGATTATTGAATATTGATGGAACACGACGATATCAAATTAATTATACGAGTATGTGTAAAAAATACGTGGAACACATCTTTTCGTCTGTAATAAGCAGAAATATTGTCTTAAAAAGATACATTTGTACAAATGTTATAATCTTAATCGGCAGAGAGAAGATCCTGACCACCCCTAACAGGATATGTACCCTGCGTTATTACCTTTGTTTGTTGGATCTTCTCGCAATTTGTGCTGAGGTATGTTACGTCATATCAAAACTTTTTCTAAGCTGATTTGACAAAGATGAAAAAAAATCCTTGAACTCTACAATCGCTACTGGATGGGTTTACAAAAATAGCCCTTTTCGTCTTATATTCGTTTACGTGGACTGTCAATGATAGTTTAAGACCAAATAATGTAATAAACCAAACATAGGTGTAGTTGAAAATTTATGTACATAAGTATTGATGTTTTCGTTTATTCATTAAATCATTATCTTTCCTCCTCCAGTCTCCTCAGTTAAGTGAATACGATATTGTTCGATAACTGAACTGACGCTCATTTACTTATTGTGGACTAGAATGTCCCAAAAAAAAAAACATTGTAACAACTGTACTGCCGATGTTTTTTGATGACGAGCTTTCTATTTCTGGATGTATATGACCTTGTTTTTCACTTGGGTAAACCAAGTGCAAAGATCGCATGAATGTTTTCAGTTGCATTTTATTCGGATTCGCAAGTGTGATATACTTTAAATCATCGTAAACGTAATATGCAAAACATATTTATTCGTTTGTGAAAACAAAGAAAATCGATTGTTCATCTAAAATGTTTTTTGTGTAGGGTGAAAACATGTTTATCGAGTCTCTGTGCCAGACCATTCTGCCCATGGACGACCTTTTGTGGGTCCTCAACAACCCAAAGGTGGACGGTACGTGCAAGAAACCCTTCATACGCTGTCTACACCACATCTACATGAAGAGCAATAACACCATGGTGGACACTGGATCTGGTGAAATGTCTCACAACGAGTAAGTAGGCGTGGCCCATATCGATCATTAACAGTGACTGGAGAATATTATAATAATAGCTATCAGTTGCTACATTATTTTGAAATGTCCACTTGTATGATGTTAATGTTTTCATCTATTTTGAAATGTCCACTTCTATGATGACAATGTTTTCATCTCTCTTGAAATGTCCACTTGTATGATGACAATGTTTTCATCTCTCTTGAAATGTCCACTTGTATGATGACAATGTTTACATCTGTGTGAATTCCTGATATGTGTTACTTTTGTTACAAAGCATTTCTGTTTGTTACAACTGATCGAAACTTTTTTCATAAAATACATAACGGTTACAAACATAAGTTATCGATCCGTCGATCTGTTTAAAATAATAGAAATAATAACAAACGGTTTATAACGTTTTCGTAAGTGACATTTAAATATTCACTGCAATGAAATCAATCGCTTTTGTCGTTTTTGCTAGTGAACAACAACACTTATCATAGTAATGCTAATTTACACCAATAACAAAAGATAGAAAGATTACAAATCTGATGAAAAAAGAGAGAATTGAATGTATAAAGAGATGTATTTTAACAGCGTTTCCAAATACACCTCACGAGTGTGGGTGTTTTTGATGGTATCTTCCCTCGAATTGCGCATTTGTGAAAGATATCAAAATGGTAGTCGCATTCGTGAAATATGTTTATTATTGCAGACAGTGTCGGATACCATCTGAAATAAGCATCTCAATACAACTTAACTCTGCGTTAGAAAAGCCGTATTTTACGAAATATGTTTCGAACAAGTCATCATTAATCACAGAAAGGCATGTCTAATGACGACAACATCAACACATTTAATTTATCTTAATATTCTGCGCCTTTTTTCTTTTTTCTTTTTTTTCCCATTTCAACCTGGAGTTTTGACATCACTTGATAGCTTCTCTTTAAGTCATAACATTTTGTCATTGCACATGCAATTGCTCGTTATGAAATTTTGGACACCGTGTAGAAAAAACTATAGCTGATGACGCAGATATTTAACCTCACCAAATATTTGCACAATGTGTGTTTGTGGTTTTACCATTTCTATGTCAATTTCATGTCTATCTGGTTCTATACATGTTTTTGATTACACCTGTATCTTGGCTAAAAACTATTGGCATATTCAAATGCCTTGCATACTAAGTATTTCTTTTCTACGTCTGTTTTCTGTTTAAAGTGAACATGTGATATGTTGAGACTTTCCTATCTCTGTTATTTCTTACTATTTCCTAACCGTTTCTGTTGCAGATTATTTTTCAGAGAACGATGTAGTACCTTAATGTTTCAGCGGTAAAGTGTGTTTGATCTCTTGTGTGTAGTCATTATGTATACGTGACGTCATTAACCCTTTCGTCCCCAGATTTCCTCCAACAATGTGTAGAGATAATACTACGATTGCCTGATGTTGTTTTTGTTTTTTGTCACTAGTAACTTAGACTACAGCAAATGACATTGAAATGAAATATATTTTGAGTAACTTATTAATCCTGTATAATGACTTATCGACTTTTCTAAAAACATCTCCTTGAAAAGAAAATCTTTTTTTACAAACATACTAAAGTTTGTATTTATCAATTGCGATTAGGCTCGAGAAAGAATGTACTGTATTTTTTTTATTGTTTGTAAATACGCGATGTTTATTTGCTTCCCGAAATTTGATGTGAACTTGGTTTAAATTTAAAGAGATAAGTAGGTAATCTAGATGTAATATTACTTAATAAAGTTGTGTTCCTAAAGTAAATAAACATTAATTTTCTCTGGAACGATTGTTCGCTTTGTCGATCACACCAAAGCAGCGCTACCTCCATTTCCTGGTATAACATGGTTTCTGTTCTAACTTTATATGTAAGGAAAGAAATGTAATATTTTCAATTTATGAGCATAAGTTAATAAATTTGGTATTAATTCAAACCATTTTGTTTTGAAAGATTATTCCATTACCTAATACAAGAGAACCTTAGATTAATAACAATAGACCCCAGAATGTTATGTGGCATGTTATGTTGGTTCAATGTTTTGATGCAAATACATTCTGCTGCATTTGTGTCGTTGTCTGTGCAGCAGTGTTTGAAGTCTTTATTGTTATTTAGTTACAAACTGGAATTACAGTCGAGTTGTATAACGTGTAAACGATTGAGTGGAATGTAGTCATATATGCTATTTCAAAATAATACAAATACATCACTTAAATGTAAATAAGCGAAACTGAAATGTTGATACTGAGATTTGCTTTTCAACATGTTCTGTGATACAAAATATGTGAAAATTAATCAATTTAGTGTGCACATCAGAAATCGAGCCTTTGGAAAAAACATGAGAACATGATAAATCATGCTGTATATTGACAAAATACAATCGAAAATATTGTTTACAAGAGATTTGAAATAATGTGTAGGTCACGAGGTGTTCGAGATATGTAGAGGGGAAATGACATCTTGAGTTAAACAGTCATACCTTAAAATTGTTTGGTGTCTAAGTGATAGTAATTCATGATACGGTTACATAAGGACTTTGGTAGAGGATATATTACTATTATTTTTACTTTTTACAGAGACCTGTGGGAGTATTTGTCAAACTTGTCGATTGACATGAACCGGCTAACCGATAGCATCAAAGAAGACCCAGACAAAATCGCAATTCATCTCAAAACTGCTCCGGAGAAAAGGTAAATCAAAACTGATGTCTCCTTAAAATAAGTAAACAAGATATATATCAACATCAGCAATGTTCTACCCAAAACGATTTTGTTTCTATGAAAATATATCAAATTTAATTCATTATTTGAGTATTCTTTATCCAGTTTATACATTTGCATTGCAAGGTGCTATTCACTGGTGTCCTTTGTACGGGTATCGATGATAGTGTATTTACATACAGAGCGAAGTTTCATTTTTTACCTATTACTTTCGTCGGAGAGCGATTTCACATCCTTAATTAATTGTAAAAGAAAATATAATGGAGGCTGCCAATACGATCTTAATTTTACATCTTATATCATCCTTCACATTACAGTGGGTCGGCTAGCGCCACTGATTTCGAATCTTCAGCATACGGGAGTGTTTTGTACTTCCTAGAGGCCGTACTGCCGTTCCTCGAGACGTTTTATAGAGATTTTTACTATCCAGACCAGACAACGTTCGGGAACGAGGTGGACGAGACGGACCATATGGCAAAAGCTGTTGTAGTAAGCGTTAACATCGATGATCGAATTCATTCTGTTGAAATAAAAATCAACTACTCCAGTCCTTCCTTCCATAACTCTCCGTTGATATTATTCCACATTAGATTCAGAAAAGATTTATCGTTAAGGATCACATTATATTCGTTCTGGTGATTTTGACGTTTACCTCAGTGAGGAAGTTTACATCATATCGATATTGCAAAAATACTAAAAATAACATCCATTTTGAGAGGGATTTCATACAATGCTTGCAATCCATGTATTCCATAAATTATATTTTTAAAAAAAATTCTAAAATATTTTTTTTTATCTAGATGTTTTGTGAAATGGTGGGCCCCCTCCTCTACAAACCTACCCATATGAAGAACATGGTGAATTGCCTGACCGTCATTGTTCCCATCTCCAACATGCCGAATTCGGTAAGTCGTATACTGATAGTGATAAATATGTACTTATCAAACAGTACGCAACAACCTGTTTGAGGGTGAACAGTAAACGAGGTCTAATATCTCTGTTATGGAAGTTAGATCGGTAGGACAAAGCTGCACTGAAGTTTTCAGTCCTTTATGATTCCTTGCTATTAACTTGTCAACCCTCAGTTAATTTTTGTTATATTGTTTCCGTTCATAAATACAAATTAAACATACCCGTTTAACACTAGAAGTGACTGGTCAGCTCCTTATTTGTAGAGTTGTATCACCAAGGTTGTGATTTGACATTTCACAGGAAATGTTCTAAGTTAATTTTGATAATTCTGTTTCATAGTGTCGTAGCATATAAAAAAATATCTTGCAGATTTTTGTGTTTTTGTTTTCATTAAACAAGCATGCATTACATCTTAGATAGTAACAAGAACATGGAATGATTTTTTCTCAAGAATAATATCTAAAATGTAAAGAATTACTGTACCAGAGTTGATGACCACGTTCCTGCGACGACGATAAAAGTATCTTTAATCAATACACATACAGATTCTGAATTTTCTGTCGATCACTGGATTTTTCTCAATCGCCTTGTGTGTCAATATCATCACTGAAATTTGAAGCCACATTATTAATTGTTTTACTGTACTGTATCTAACTCTAAATGATATAAAAATGTTCTCTTCACTTGTGTGTCTTATACAATTTTAGAATTATGCATTTGTATATTTAAATTCATTGACAATTAAGATTGCTCAAAAAGGAATAATAATACGTGTGGCATGTTTGTTTAGGCCGTGTTGACCATTCTTCATACAGTTACGGTAATTTCTTTTTCCTCCCTAGGTTGTTAGACCTTGCTTCCAGATCCGAATTCCCAAATACTTCACAAGCTAGCTATAGAGGATTTAAATATTCTACTAAACCTTTTAACTTCTTCCGCTTTGCACTAACATACATCGCACGTCTAGATGTGAGCTTTCTTTACTAACAAACATTTTTCTTCTACAATTTCTTAATCATTATAGACTGGCTATTATAAAAAGAACATATAAGAACTACAGTTTTTATAATAGTTCTTAAGTTAAATACATTATTTATCATTTACCTGACTTTCCTACATTTTGTTGTGGTCTAGCTCCTTCTTGAAAGTGTTTCTCATCCTGAACATAGCGATCACCCCAAAGTATTGACTCTACATGTGGATGAAATGCCTCTAGTTTTCTTTAAAATAAAATGACGAGAAGGAATAAAATTGACGTGATTACACGGCTAACAAACACAAACGTCATGGGCTTATTATGATGATTATAAAACTCATAAACTTAAAAGACACAAAATTATATCTCCAAAAATATCAACCTATTAAAATATTTCAATAAATGTTCTGTATAATCTGATGCAGCTTTGTATACTATGTATGGTTTAATGGCTTCATTTTTTAATACCTGGACGATTTGATATCATTAATTGAAAACAGTACGTATCGTCTAGATAAAAATCGTATAAGAAATGTCATGATATCTATATCTGCAACTGTGTGTTTATTATGTATAGAATATTGACCATGTACTGGACCGTTTCTCCTCTGGGATCACTGTAGAGGATACATCTAGTGCTGTACGACGGGTACGTACTTGTAAAATCCAGGTAGTCAGTGTTGTTAATTGTCTTAGATGACCACAATGACGTAATATCATCACTGGTACTCATAATACATGCATTAAAATATATGTACTCAATATGCTTTTTAATCACGTGTGTTCTTGTATATTGGGAATAAACATCAAACGACATTGATAAACTCTTATGTGATGCAAAAGCAGCAACCATATTTGTCATAGGCTAAATAATCAACACTGTTACTTACGTTTACTGTTAAACAGTGTATAAGTTTGTGGAACATTTTCATGTTACTTACTTAATGCAGAATTTCCAGAAGTGTCTTTAATGAATTCTACTCTACCACTATTATAGACCTGTGGTATCGATATTTCCCTAGCTGCATATATTCAGCGAAATGAAACAGAACCATTATAATTTTCAAAAAGCTCTAAATATGAACACCTCAGTAAAATCCTATTCTGTTTTAGAGTGAATGCATGTATTAATTAAAGTAACCATGTTATTTATTACTATATAACTCGTTTTACTGAAATAATTTAAATTTGCTATGCCTGCTATTTAATCCACGTTTTGTCGATAAACACTTATGGCAATGTAATCTAACAAATGATTAATGTTACTTTCAGGGCAACATAGAATATTACGCAGATGAAGTTGAAATCAACTGTAAATTCCGAACGTTTGCTAAAAACGTGTCTGTAGTTTTCTTCGGGCACAACAAAGTGCAGGCACAGCTGAAGGTCAAATCTAACAGGGGTAAGATACAAGTCTGGCTGTGGTAAGACTATATAAAGTTGTTATAATGTTAAGTCTGGTTTTGTTAAGGTCAAGTCTGACTATGGGAAGGTTGAGACTGGAAGTTGTGAGGTTAAATATGGCTCTCGAAAGGTCAGGTCTGGTAGTGGTAAATAAAATATGGCTTTGGAGAGGTGACATCTGGCCATGGCAGTGATGAAGTTTATCATAATTGTGGTAATCACCATCTATGCTCAAAGTCAACATAACTACGAAAGAAATACATGCAAAACAATAATTTACACGGAGCCTCCTGAAAAAAACACTAAGAGAATATGACCAGACGTTCCGGAAGCGCAAGCAGCTTGTGCTTCATCGACAACACCGCTATGTAAATCTTAGTCATTCCATGTGATGTCACGTTTTCCGAGTGAGAACAAGGTATACAGCAACCAACAGGAAAAATAATGAGCATCAAACACGTCCAATTTCATATCGCCATATCGTAAGGTGGAGTTTGGCTGTGGTAATGCCGAGGCAAAACTTCGGGGTTGGTCATTTTAGCTTTAAACAGTAAAATGCAACGTTTTTACACATATCCAGTAATATAGATAATTATTGTATAAAACCTTAGTTATTTTGAAGCACTCCGTCGTTAACAGTGGACTATGATAACCGATTCGAAAGGGCTAATCCGGGAAAAATATTAAATGTGTTGTTTCGTTTAGTTAGAATCTTTGACATCATTATGATTTCAGAGTATACAGAACTCGGTGGTAACGAGGAGATTCCATTAGGAGAAGAGTTTCAGAGTCACGTCAAATGTTTCATACATGCCAGCGAGAAAAAATTGGAGAAAAAGTTTGAACCAGCTGCCATATTGATAGAACAACTTCAGTAAGTATCATGAAAGATAACTTCAATATCCGGTTATAACTATTTAAAACCTACTACTTGTAAATTTGTATCTACTTTATATCATTATATCACTCTACGACGATGTTGAGATATTGTAAAAACGTTGGTAATGGCCGGACATTCATCAGATAAAAGAACTTTAAGTATGTTTGTAACCCGTGAAGATTTGTCATTCCTTGACATTTGTTGTGCTTTAATTTTCAGTTGATTTCTTTTCTGCCATTAAAGATGTGGTAATTATAAACCATTTGTTTGTATATGGAATATCACTGTGTCCTTAATCCGTCAATAGGTAAGTGTTCAATTGTATATTTGCTTTCTGTTAATGTGCTGAACTGTTTTTAACTTGTGGATGATTTTGCATTTTTTATAGTATATCTATGGGCCATAAACGAATGAGTGAAGCCGCCAGACAGGAAATGGACGACTTGAATATAAAGTGTATCCAGCTTCTCAGAGCAATCGTCCATAATGAGGAACGTAGGATGCCCGAGGACTGGGAAACGAGGACAACCGAACCTAAAATTAAAAAGTTAATATAACAAAGTTACTTCGCACAAGAAAATTTTTCAATGCCAATCGTCCCTAGGTTTTACAAGAAGATTACATAAGCTACAAATGAAGTTATATCAACCAAAATAATTGTTTTGTTTTGTAACATGTACATGTAAACAGATATGTTACTTATCAGGTACCACATTGTCGGAGCTCCTCAATATGTACTACATCGTCGGGGCTCCTGAATATGTATCGGAGTTTCTAAGTATGTACTACATCGTCGGAATTCCTCAGTATGTACTACATCGTCAGAGCTCCTGAATATGCGCTGCATCATCGGAGTTCCTCGTTATGTACCACAACGTCGGAGTTCCTCAGTATGTACTACATCGTCAGAGCTCCTCAGTATGTACTACATCGTCGGAGCTCCTGAATATGTACGGCATTGTCGGATCTCCTCAGTATGTACTACATCGTCGAGGCTCCTGAATATGTACTACATCATCGGATCTCCTCAATATGTACTTCATTGTCAGAGCTCCTTAATATGTAATCTATTGCTGAGGCTCCTCAATATGTACTGCGTCTTCGGAGTTTCCCCGATATGTACTACATAGTTGGAGATTCTCAGTATGTACTACATCATCAGAGCTCCTCCATATGTACTTCATCCGGATATGTACTACATAGTCGGAGATTCTCAATATTTAATGCAGTGTCGAGAATCCTCAATATATACTGTACGATATTGTAGAAGTTTCTCAATATGTATTTAATTGTCGAACCCGTGATATATGTACTTCATTGTCTGTGCGCTTCATTATAGGTGTACTATATTTCATAAGCAACTACAATGTCAATGTACTTGATTATGTACTACATTTTAGGACACTAAAGCTGATAACAGGAATACAGAATCTGTACGACAAGAAAGGAGCGATGAACAAAGCCTTACCCCATCTGTCCACCAGAAACGAGGAACTGGCTAAAGAAGTATTGGGTTTCCTGTGTATACTTCTGTTTAACGCCAATACCTCTGTTCAGGTAATGTGATGAACTGATATGTGAATAAACCTAACAATGATGTAACAATTAAATCAATGATACGAGGAATATACAGTATGATAGCACGGATTTTAATTTGACAGAACTTTTAGGTCAAGTGTTAAGGGAATAAAATAGAAATTGCAACCACACATCAGTTATTAGTCATTGGAACTATACTAGATTTCTACTGAAGTTGGTTTTTCATACGAGGTAAATGTTTATTTACATGGTCGCGCGACCAAGGTTTAGATAGAGAAACTGTGAAAACACCGTGTTAAAATTGCGTTCATTTTATGGTTATCAAAATAGGTATTCCTAAAATTTTCTAAGCGATTTTTCCATTTACACGAATTTTTTCAAACCAAGAGAAAGACAATGTACTGCTTATGCAAAGGTATACTGCCTTCATTGAAATATATTTACATATGTAAAATGTATACCCACAATGTTTACCAATGCCTTACAGCAATCCATGTTGAACTATTTCCTGTCCACACGAGAAGAGGTATTCTTTATGGCTGTCAGGGACAGAATGGCTTTGTCCACAAACTCCATCAAGGAAAAGTAAGGTTTATCTGTAAAATAGTATATCTATTACATGTCAAGATTTATATATAGAACGATACTATACTTATGATTAATCAATGTGACATATATGAATGTCTCGGTGTTTTACTCAAAATTGAATATATGATAGGCGAGCTATTGTACCTATAATAAACTTGATAGGGTTAACTTTTAAAGGGGCATTCCTTCGTTCGAACGAGAGAAATACTGTAAATGATAATATTTTAGAAGTAATATTATTTTAGCGATTTTTCGTGTTTAACCTTTTGCGTTAAACTGTACTCGCGCTTATTCCAGTTTCTGTATGTTATGTATATGGCAATCATCTTTGGGTGCTTGTTAATCATAATCATTAAACTTTGATTGCACCAGAGAAAGTACGTTTACAATATCCTTCATGATTATTTACCAAATTTGTGCTTAAAGGAGAATTACGCTGTAAGTGCATAAAGGTGATGATATAAGTACGAGATTTATACACATAAAACACGTATTATATCTACACGCAGTGTCTGTCCATCACCACCTGAGTGTATCGCGACTTCTTTACCGGCTTCATTCAAATATCAAGTAACATCACGTAACATCACGGCCGTATTCTTTAGTAAAACACATCTTTCCCTTTAGGCTTTGTGTTTGAATTTTCTTTAATCTAGAAAATCGTTTTAATGACGTAATGCCCCTTTAATTGAAAACAAATGATCTTATAGTAGGTATATTGTTATATTTTCATCTCCGCCTGTTTTTTAAACGATTTTAAATCTACTTGCTTTTATGATAAAAAGGGTATCTCTTGTAACTAAAGTAACATCGCTTACTGTGGAATCAGAAGAGGTATCCTTAGCAACAGTTACATTGTTTATTATATATAATATTGTTATTATTGATATGGACATTTCAATGCGATTGCCTTATATGACAAACATTATCATTGACTCTCGCTTCCACGTTGCCCCGATCCCTATTTGCCTAAACATCCTTTACATTTTCGACTCCAGTCTGTGCCGTTCCCATTATTCGCGTCCAACCGAACTTTACTTCGGTCTCTTTTGCTGCCACGCCCACCTCTGTCAGACGACCATTTTGCTCTCCTATCTACTCACGATTGTTCGATACCCTGATTTCTTCCCAATTCCCTCAAATTTTACCCGACTCCTGTTGCTGCACCAACCTCTCACGTTTGCCCTTTTCCCCATTTGTTTCCCCACACTCCTCGCATTTGCTGCCCCATCCCTTACGTTTGAACTATGCTGTTTCCTGACTGTCATTTCATGTCTACCCGATCCCTTGTTTGCTGCCCCACATCCCTCACGTTTGCCTCCCCGTTTGCTGCTCCACTCGTCACGTTTGCCCCACCCCCTTTTCGCTGCCCCATATTCCTCACCATTTCCTCAGCCCGTTTGCCGTCCCATTATCATGTTGTTCCCATCACCTGATTGCTGTCCCGACTCCTCACGTTTGCAACCCCGTTTGCTGCCCCACTCATCACGTTTGCCCCACCCCCTTTTCGCTGCCCCATATTCCTCACCATTGCCTCGACCCGTTTGCTGTCCCATTATCACGTTTACCCCATCACCTAATTGCTGTCCCTACCCCTCACGTTTGCCCCAGTGTGTGTTGTACTTACTAATCCAACATATTACCTTTCACGGTTGTGTACACAGAACTCTGCTGAGTAGGTGCGTTTCTCACAGTCCATTTTTTCTTTTTGTTTACCTCTTTAGATATGCTTGTAGATGCGCATCGTGTCTGCCCCTTGATTGCGTCCCAGTGTGTATTCGTGTTATAGTTAACTCGCATGAGACTTGACATAATGTCACTATACTATTTTCCTTCTTTTTTTCAAATCTAAAAATTAAAAGAATTGTTCATTGAAAAAGTTATAGTGTCTGCACGTATTTCCGATAGATAGGTACATAAGTCTTTAAAACTTCTGAATATTGAAATACTGCGCGTATAAGTTAAAAATTATGCATCGAAGGTCATCCATACAAATTGTGTTCAGTAATAACGTATACTACCAATTTTCTGACCACAACAAGGGCATGTGATTCAATCTGGCAGACATTTCATGCAAGTGGATTTTTGTTTTGATTAATTTTATTTTAAATATCTATCAAGGAGGTAAGGAGATCACTTTTTTGATATATACAGCTTGTGCAGACTTTTTTTCGCCGGATTAATATACTACATATGAATTTATCATTTTTATACTATATGAAATATGTTTTATTTTTCTTAATGCACAATCTAAATAAATTAAAGGCAATCTTAATTTAAAACTGGATATTCAATGCTTCTTTATTAATTGTCAGTCTTGTTTTGGCACACTTTATATCATATGACTGCAATTATCGAATTTCACAATCATAAGAATGGTATGGATATTTTTTTTATATACATAAATTACATAATACATTAATTTGTTATTCTTATTCAATGTCCATGATGTCACATTTGAAAGTAGAATATACGCACGTGGAATTCTGATGAATTCCATTCCCTAGTGCACGTTCCACTGGGTCGTTGAAAAGTAGTTCACAATCTTACCACATGCATTATATTTGGGATCGAACATCAAAAGTTTATCTTATGTCATTTCAATAAAGAAAACTAGCACCATTAACGGGTACTGATATATAGAAAATAAAACACTGGAAAGCACATGATGTAAAACATAACCGCTTTCATTTCTTATAAAAAATAATGAAGAAATTAAAGCGCTTATGTTTTACATCATGTGTTTTCCAGTGTTTTAACTTTTATCTAAATTTACTGGGCACGGAGAATTCACCACATTTTATATATATACATATATTTCGATTTCTTTACACAATATCTTATTTTGAATGTTTTGTCATGTTTTTCATATTCATTATAAATTAGCGGTTAGGGACTGTCATCACCTTCTGCCAGGTATGTGACGAGTTCAGTCTACGTAATCAACAGATAAAGAAATCTTGCATATAAGTACAGCGTATTTGGTCATACATATAAAAATTCTTACATTGAAGCCCTTTCTCTAAAACATGAAGAAAATACCAACATAGCAACATAATCATAATCCAAACTCAAATTCCACAAAACTAGGGCAAATATGAACAAAAGAAATATTTACACGGAGACTCCTGAAAAAGTACAAGGAGAATAAGACCAGGTGTCATCGAAGACACCCGCCATGTAAGCCTTGGTCAATTCAAGTAAGTAATGCCACGTTCTCAAATGAGACAAAATAGATCCGACAGGCAATCGAGCATTAAACACGTCCGACTTCATATCACTCGAAGAAATGGAATATTTCTCAATGAGATCAATATGGCGACCATAAAACTTCTCCATAATTCTAAGATCAATAATCAATACTTACGTTTTTGGAAAGGCTGCTGCAAATCGACCTCCATCCTCGATAGATTATATATTCCCGATGTTCAAAATTAATCGTAATTATGTATTGTCATAACCAAACAATGATTATTGTGTTCTAGTGGAAATGATAAATATATGTTTGATTAGTAAATACTAGTTACATTGAGTTATGTCTATTCAGCTTAATACAAGAGGCGCAGACATGGCTCTTCGGAAATACCTTGAAACATTAAGTTTAACTGGTCTGGATATGTAATCGGTATGTCTAAATTCTGTAATCAGAAATTACACATACAAGTACAATTAATACTAGCCATATCACATGCATAAATACAAATGATCTAATATGATGGTTGTACCAATTAAATGTAATGTGTTTAGTACTTTTAATAGCAATATAAAACGGATTTTTAGTGATATTCTACGGTCCTTCTACCACGTTGTAATAATCTGATGTATACAACGCATGTATATTAGTAGTTATAATAGTAACTTAATATTGTGATTGATAGTTGAAAGGGGTGAATATAGGTGTCCAACAGGTTTGTAGTGGTTGGCGATATGTACATTAAACGGTACTGGGCGTATCGCACACCTGACCATTATGTGTTTGATTACAGGAAAATGTTGTTATAGTAAAATGTATGTCAGAACTGCATGTTACACATTGATGTAATTTTTCAACTTGGTAAAGTTTCATTCAACAGCTTTGACACACATTATGTATTCATCATCAATATCAGATGGCTTTGAATATCAGTAGTTATAAATAATTCTTTCTGTATTGACAATGTTATGAATGTTAATATGATGCTCTGTTATTTCTGGCAGAAATAAGAGATAAGCTGAGGTGGCAGCGTGATATCTATTTGTATATCAATATATTTTATCATAACCGCAGGCAATGCTTGATTCTGTGAAATAATTGATGTTACTTATCAATTCTCTTTATTTCTCGTTGGAAGTTCATTAATAAAACTTTCCAAAAATTTTGATTTCATGTAATATTCTCAATATCAATAAGGAAACACTTATATTGTAGACGTTCTCTCCAAGCTCAACAGGATGCTAAGAAGAAGGATGCTACAGACACGTTTGGCACTAAGCTAAGGAAGGGGTTCCCTGTCAGTATTATGGCCCTTAAGGTACAATCGACAGCAATGTCTCGCCAGCATACATAGGAATTTAACGAAATCGAGGAATAGTAACTATTTATGTTTCACAGATATATCTCAAACACTACGTTAATTGTCATGTAGCATTAAGTAACAGTCATAGGTAAATTTACCTTCGTGTACTCTTGTCTTGAGTATAAGGAAATAGGCTATAACCTTAGGTTTCTGTTTAACTTTATTTATGTGGATATCATAATAAAGCATCTATTAAATGAACTGTAAATATATCTTTAAAACGTACAAGATATTGATATATATAAAAGAAATCTATTTGCAGCAAATACAAGCCTATGAAGATGCACTACGACAACAACGACTGTCGGGATGGGTAAGTTACAACGTCATCAGAGAAATACTTTCAAAATTACCAAGGGGAAATATCGTAACACGTTTGACTTGGGCGGAAAACTTATACCGAGGCAACTAATAAAGTATCAGTAAGATCGTTAACAGTACCTTCTTTTGCAATGTATATCATTATCCCAATCATGTAATGTCACGCTTTCAAACCTAGAGTCATCACCATTAAACAGATTAAGACTCATAACCCTAATCATATATATATATATCAACAATACCAACAATACGAATTCTCCATGGACATCATAAACCTTCATCTTTCACAACAACAAATCTTCCTCATAGCCTTAAACCATTATATTCAGGACCTCTAAAGGTTTTATAAGTCTGTTATGTTTTTATTTATCTTAAGTAGAGACAGATTATTTAAAGTGAAAGATAGAAAAATGGAGATCGTCACGTTAATGATATTTCTATTCTCCATCGTTTCAAAGGTGGATGGGTGGGTATATTGCTACAAACATTCTTTGTTCGTCTCGTACTACCGCGCCCCATTATGAAACGTCACATCGCGTCCCGTCCCTAATCAATGATATATCTTGTGAATCTCCAAACAGATTTACTACATATTTTTCCCATGGTACCACAGCAACCTATCCACACCTGATCAAAATCAGATTTACATACGAGCAATGGCCTTTCAGGTCTTTTCAGCCTGTTATATATACTCAGTCCTTATTGATTCTAACAGTAAAGACATAAATAAGTATCTCTTAAGAAGAATCGAAACCTTGATATCAGCTGTACAATCGATTAATGTTCGATAATATTCTCTAAAGAAGTACATAGGTGAAAGCTCTTGCCTCGTTAGGTCTTTAATGAAATCAGACTTTTATTGCACTCTTATTTATACATGGATATATAATAGAAATATTTTTTGTCTCAAATTTCTAAAATTATTCAAAATTGAATTCAAATTTCTGTAAGTTATATGACGTGAACAACTTAATCTCGATTTTTAGGTTTGACATGGAATAGAGAAACAAAATCCTATATGGAATTACTAATACATGTCTGGATGGATTGAATGCATATTGTCAAATTATATTAAATTGTTGTTTGGTAAAAAGATAAAATAAGCAGAAAATGCGAAAAGTCATTTTAGGCACTTTATTTCTCCCATGCGACAGGCTGTTTCGTTCCATTTCATGCCGATTTTCTCTTGTAGACGAGACGTCGCCCACCTAGCGTAAAATGCAAGAAGAAAAAAAAAGCAAAGAAACCTAAAGTCCCAAAAGAGAAGAAGAAAAAACCGTCCAAGGTCAAGGATTCTTCAGCTAATGGTTTAAAGAAAGAGGTATCGTTCGCGTCCCCTCTGTCAAAGGAAGACCAGGCGCTGATTGTTAACCCAGACATGGAGACAGAATTAGTCGCTATCAAGATAGAGGTGATATATTTGTAAAACCAAACCGCACATGTGTAAATATCATCTTATATCGAAAGCAGTTATAAAAACAACAAAAAATAAAAAGATGAAAAAAAAGAAAACACCGTTTGGTAGTTGCTTCGTTCTTAGATTCTTCATTGATAGACATGTTTGTGTACTCTTCATTCAGCCAAAACTGACGGAAACTACTTCTGTCGTAAAGGGGCTCAATTCATTTAAGTAAGATGTTTTATTATAGGACCCACCTGAGCCGGAACCACCAAATAACGATGACGACTCCCCACTGGAGTACCGAAATGACGGATATATAGAACTTGTACTCAAAGTAATGGCACGTATGTGTGATGGCCAGAACCAGCACTTACAGGTATTCTGTCTCAGTGACGTTACATCCGTTCTCGATACATTACCTCAGTTAAAAACGTGTTATGAATTTATAAGCAAAGGTAGTTGAAATATGTCATTATCTAGTGAAGATACATATTCTATTGTGAAACAAATGCTCACAGAACTTTCAAAGCATAAATGCGTCGGTAAGATTACCTTTTTGGGGTCCGGCGTGTTGCTATTTGATTTAGTTATGAAAGTGATTCTTGAAGAAATAACGAATATTTAACAGTCTTGTATTTCTGCTTGAACTCGACTTAAAAACAACTTACTCATTAGCCGGGCACCATACCACTAGGTTACAGAGAAATTCCCACTAGCAGAGGCTGAAATGACCTATATTCTCTACTTCAATATTTTACTAGAATTGAATGTTAGATCGTCACTGGATGTTCCACTTTAGGTACTATAATATACAAACCGTCGCCGAATAACTTTAGAGATGAGATTTCGCTGATTCACAATAAACCAACGGTGTTAAATTAGATTCTATTTTCATTATGGCAGTTAGGATTTTATCGAACAATGTAAATTACAGATGGAAGTTTGTATGGCGGTCGTCTATTCAATGTTCATGACATTTTGAAATGCTCTATTGAAGGATTACCTGCGAGAACAGCCAGACAATGTCAAGTCATTCAACATTATCGCTGAAGTGACGAGGTTCCTGAACGTTGTGTATTCCAACATAACCGGTAAAAACATCGACCTGGTTATCCAACTGTTCGACACTATGAACGAGTTCACGGCAGTATGTACCATTAATCACTCGATGTTTTTTCATTCTAATTTGATTGTTACGGGAGATAACTCATTCACTAGAACAATTGAAACACTTACAACTAGTACATGCTTCATATTTACAGGGAAATCAGGAAAACAGGATTGTGATTTACGACAATAAAATCATCGACTACATAAACTTTATCTTGAGAGCTGGCGACATCGAGTATTGCTCGACAGAGAAGGTAGGTAAAAGATATATTGAGATAGGGATCTGGTGTAATCACCAACTTCTAGAGACCAATCGTCTTCTAATATAATCAGAAACTCCTAATCCTAAACATAGGTACCATTTGTATTACATTCGAGTACTTGTGTCTGCAAATGACGATTCTTGGCAGCTTAGTTCCAAATAAAGACTTAAGCGCACCTGATTGTTATGGTCCCCGAGAACTGTAATAAAACACACAAATGAGTATTACCTAGGAATATCGATTTAGAAGTAGTTACAGTAGACTCGAATAGTTAAGCTTGTTAGGCGAATGAAGAAAATCCGAAGTGATCGCAAAATGTTAAGTTCATATTATCTGCTGCTGATATTTTGTTGGTGGTTATTTAAATGTTCCATCCCTTTTCATCCTGTATGTTAAAGATAAAAGGGGATAGTTAAAGTAGGAGACTTAACACTATTTGTCTTGAAAACAAAATATAATCCATTGCTTCATCTGATGTGGGTGTAAGTTTTTGTCAGGGTGACGGAACTGTAAATTGAATTTAAATTTGCTGCTTTGTAGATACTTGCACTGCGAGAGAGTATAGCAAATTTGATTTTGTCACTAATAGAGGAAAATGGACATGGGGCATCAGAGTTAACAGTGGTAAGTAAAAACTCAAATATATGAAATAATGTTAATGTTGCTTTTACGACAAATATGTCTAGAGAAATTGCACATCATTAATTTGTAAGTTGTACTGTACAATATCATACATAGTTTCGGCATGTGTATATCATCTAATATGTACTGTTACACACTAAAATAGGGATTGTTTATCAAATAAACATTTCGTTTCTGTACAGGAAGTGAAAGATACATTGGACAAGAAATCCGTACTCCAGTTACTCACGGAATGCTACGAGATGCACCAACCAGACAAGAAGAAGCTGGAAGAGCTGAAAAACATTACATCTGGTGACGTGATGGTACCTCAGTCTAAGATCAAGTCGTTTGCCTTCGCTGGCGGCAGTTTTCTACAAGGTGTCATGGTAATAATTCAATACCATATAGCATAAGAATACTAAGAAGTAACAGAAAATCTCATTCAGTACATGGAGTACTTATTGTGATTTAGGCGAAAATATGTTACAAAAATAATGAAATAAAATCCTTTAAAAAGAATAGAGGTTTTTACACCACACAACCAATGAAACATTTAAGTGTGAAATCATCTTCATCAGACAAATGACCAGTGTGAATCGTACTGGCACTGACCTATGTAGTGTAAAGGATGGTAGGGAATCGACCATTTTTTGGTGGTATTGTAATCATATGTACACTAAAGTAGAAAATAGTGTGACGTGAAAAAGATTGAAGAAAAAGTACACAAGATGATAACAATTACTGTAGTCGATTCGGCTTCGTTTTGTTTAACATTTGGTCAATGATGTCAGAGAGTCTGTGGCCTTCGACGTCCCTGTTAGTACTGTACCGTTTCGTCGTATCCAGATGGCCTACTTGAGGGGCGGTCTCAAAAGGTGGTGTTCCTTGTCGACTATTTTTTTTATTTTTGAGATGATTTTGCTGCATGGGATGATATATTGGTGTTAATTAATTTATTTTCAATTGAGAGTACTTTCGCATTGATCTGGTGATGTTTTGCTTTTACTCCGCATCTGTCGTTCATTAAATCGTAGCCCGAATTTCCTGCTTGTCTCTCCGATGTACGAAACGTCACAGTTCTTGCCTCCGATTGGTATAAGATTTCTACGAGGCTGTCTGTGTGTTTAAACATAAGGACAGACTTGGACATTTCGAAGAGTCTTGTGAGGCTTCATTGTTGTTACAAATGGTTTCTAAGAAGTCTTTTATGTAAGGGATGTTCCTTGTCTCTTGGTCTTTTCTTTTCTTTCCCTGAATTCAATGTTTACTCCCTTGGATTCAGAATATCGCTATCGTATTGACATGATTTCAATTTTCATTATAATGCGTTACAGTACTATGAAGTCACGCTGCTTTATGTATGTCTAGGGTAACCAGAAGGATGAGCTGGCTGATATTTACATGGACGTCGGCTTTCGTTTGTATCTAATACTGGCCCGAATGGTGGATGTCGACGCCAAGCTTATTGACCTTTGTGAGTAAACATTTATATTGTTCTATTACGACTAAAAGATTATTTGCGTTACAGAATAAAAACACGAAAATGTGTCATTTAGATAGGCCGCGTTAATTCAAGAACACAAATCGGTCTTATTATGAAATACTTTCATTAGTTATAGAAGCATTATCATGGATGTATCATATTATAATACATATAAGTACTTATACTTTATTGTCGTGTTTCCTCCCTGAATTACAAGTCATTAATTGAGTGAATCAATATACTAGTAGACAAATTAATAAATAAACATCTTTATAAGATTGTGCCAATTTGTTTTTGTTGATTTCTTATCTCCAGTGAGAATGCAGCCCTTACAGGCAAAGGCATTCAATTTCTACAAGAAGAATTGCATGTCGATAGAACTGGTAAAGGACGATGAACTCCAGAAAGTCAACTTTCGGGTCAAAAACAAGGTATAATATACTCGCTATGATCACGTGTTCTATATATATTTTTCATTTACATATTCATGACTTTACGGCAAGAAGTATCTTACTTCACAGATATTCTGCCGAGTTTGACCAATGGATTGAGGCGTTTGTTAGGATTTACACCATTACCTGCCAATTTCAATGAGGATGGGAATGAGTCAAATTCTTATAAGAAGGGGTATTTGTGGTTACAAGCATACTTGAGAAAATGGAATTTGATAAAAGCTTGTCAAACTGATATAAATAGTTTTAACAATTATGTCTGTTCTATCACCAAAACTCTGTTCCAGCGAGTGTTACGGGAAGAAGTAAAAGAAAGTCTTAAATGGAATGTCGACCGTTCCTCTCCCAGCAACAAAATCCGTGACGTCATGGAATGGACCAAAGACATCATGAAAGACATAGCTTACCAGAGGAAAATTCTTAGTAATCCTATAGCTATAGGTCTCACCAAGGGATGGTAGGTAGACTTTGTAACCCTATAGCTATAGGTCTCACCAAGGGATGGTAGGTACACCTTGTAACCCTATAGCTATGGGTCTCACCAAGGGATGGTAGGTACACTTAGTAACCCTATAGCTATAGGTCTCACCAAGGAATGGTAGGTACACTTTATGACCCTATAGCTATAGGTCTCACCAAGGGATGGTAGGTACACTTTGTGACCCTATAGATATAGGTCTCACCAAGGGATGGTAGGTACACTTAGTAATCCTATAGCTATAGGTCTCACCAAGGTATGGTAGGTACACCTTGTAACCCTATAGCTATGGGTCTCACCAAGGGATGGTAGGTACACTTAGTAACCCTATAGCTATAGGTCTCACCAAGGAATGGTAGGTACACTTTATGACCCTATAGCTATAGGTCTCACCAAGGGATGGTAGGTACACTTTGTGACCCTATAGATATAGGTCTCACCAAGGGATGGTAGGTACACTTAGTAATCCTATAGCTATAGGTCTCACCAAGGTATGGTAGGTACACCTTGTAACCCTATAGCTATGGGTCTCACCAAGGGATGATAGGTACACTTAGTGACCCTATAGCTATAGGTCTCACCAAAGGTACCACCAAGAGATGGTAGGTAGACTATGTGACCCTATATCTGTATGTCTCACCAAGGGATGGTAGGTACACTTTGTAACCCTATAGCTATAGGTCTCACCAAGGGTTGGTAGGTACACTTTGTAACCCTATAGCTATAGGTCTCACCAAGGAATGGTAGGTACACTTTATGACCCTATAGCTATAGGAATCACCAATTGATGGTATGCACACTTTATAACCCTATAGCTATCGGCCCCACGAATAAATAGATTGAAAGGACAATGTAACACCTATTATTGCTTCCCCGTACATTATTGTAACCTGGTCACAATAGTAGTTTAGAATACAATAGCGTAGAATATAAATTATATCTCAGATGATATCAGGTTAATTTGATACGCCAATCAAAATAATAAAGAAACTATCGACATTTTAATAGAATCTGAAAATGCAGTATGTCGTAACTGGATGTGTTTGAGTAAATTGTTATAAATTAAACCAGACCTGTTTGTGCTGTTGAAGTTAAATTTAACCGACGTGTTTACAGGCTTATATGGAATCACATGGTGACCATCCTTAGTTTTGCTATCAACATCTTGATGTTGGTCACGTGGCAGGCGAAGGCGTCGCTAGCGACCCCTGGTGTGATGATGGACAACACTACTGCTATCCCCGCCAGTTTGATAGAGTAAGAAACCTAAGAATGACATTTTAGGCATATAAATATTTCAGTATTTTCTTTAAGATCAGTTCTAGAGCTATTAGGAAAGGTCATATACGTTAAGTTCTGCATGGTAAAGTTGAAAATGTTGAAAATGATACCCTGTTTATAATTTTTAAAGTAACTAAGGACAAATTTCATAACATCGGTACCATCTTTCGAACATAGCAATTAGGCATATAAACAAATATATTCAACCCAGTGGTTGATTATCACTTTTCACTTTTATATTTCCACTCGAAATCTAATGTAAATATTTTGCAGTCCAATTCCTGTTATAACGACACTGAAAGTGAGCGAGTACGAAATGGCTATCTACACCCTTGGAGGCTTGCACAACTTCTTCACCTTGCTCGTATTTATCAGCTACTTCGTCGGGAACCATCCAAGAATGCCTCACTTTCGTGCCATATTTACCTCAATGCGGTAAACAAAAATGTCTGCAACATGTCGCCGTTAACACTTATTATAACACTATCGGTATCTGCCTAACTGTAAATAACAACAATTTTTGTAAATACGACTTTACCTATATACTAATGAATGCTACTAGATGAAAAATACGATCGTCCTTCCGGAGCTCACCTCCTGATTAACTCCTGTCAAAGCAAAGCAAAGTATGGCAAAATGAAGTCGCATCATACGTTACATTTTACTCTAGAAATTTTCTAATTTAATATCATGTTCGCTTTTAAGTATTCGCGCGTTTAGAGAACATCAAAAAGAGATATACTGATTCTGTTGTTTTATTTGGTGTAAGAATGCAAGTTGAGAATTATTATTATATAATTACAGAAAAATGTGTTCACGGAAAAAGAAGGACGATGAGTTAGAGGAAGACAAGAAGAAGAAACATCAGTCAAAACTAGACGCGAAACTGTTTAGTTTCACTACATTCTACTACATGGTAGGGATCAATAACATATGTATGTATGGAAGTGTCGTGTTATATATTTGTAGAGAACTCGTATATGACTATGAGTAGATGATAGAATGTTTACTTAGCACATCACTAGATGTGATTTACAATGCATACATGTTTCAGGCGTTCCTTGGCCTCTCAGTGGGTGGAACTGTATACCATGGCTACTTCTTCGCCTTCCATCTTCTGAACATTGTGAACAACAACCAACTGCTTGGTGGCGTCATCAAAGCCGTCACCCAAAACGGTAGGTAGGATATGGTTGGTTATGAAGAATAAACAGAATCAGCATTATAAATATTAGAATTCGTCCTTTTGCAATATGTCGATTATCATTTCGTCTTTATACTTATTTGACCATAATTTCACTAATAAAAAATCAAGTAATTAAGGCATTTATCGTTTATCTGTTGTTAGGAAAATCATTGCTATGGGTGGCTGTCCTGGGTCTCTGTGTGTTTTACCTGTACGGAATAGTGGGTTTCGCCATGATGCGGAGTATGTTTCAACCAAGTGACTATCTGTACTGTGACACACTTTGGCAGTGTACTATCACTGTGGTGCGGTACGGACTTATAGGAGATCTGTTCGAGGTAAGAACCATCATTGTGATGTAATACGGTATCATAAAAAACCAGTTATAGGTAAGTAATATTGCCATAACACTGTACGCCTAATCAAAACCAGTTATAGGTAAGTAATATTGTCATAACACTGTACGCCTAATTAAAACCAGTTATAGGTAAGTAATATTGTCATAACACTGTACGCCTAATAAAAACCAGTTCGGGCTAAGAACATTTGTCATAGTTAGGTACGGGCTCATTAAAATCTTTTCGAGATATGCACCATCGTAATGGTACCGCACGGGCTCATTAAAACCAGTTAGAGGTAAGAACCACCTTAACGGTACGTTACGACTTAATGTAGGTAAGATCAATATTCAAGGTATTACATGAGCTTGTTAATGACCTTCGTTTAAGAAGGATTTCCGTGAAATGATATACATTTTTTAATCACGCAACACATACCTTAACATCCTTTGTTAGTATATAACTTTATTGTTTTGACATTGTTGTCAGCTTATAGTGAATTAGCTTGGATGCATGAATATAATGAATTGCGATTTAACAAACAAATGTTTATGTCTTTACATTGCCAAAACCTCTTTCACAGGTCATGAAAGCACACAGGCTGGAGGCCACATTCCAGAAGTTTGGCTTTGTTGTCTTGTATCATGTCTCCTTTTTCATCTTCATCACAACCATTGGTCTCAACATCATCTTCGGTATCATCGTCGACACATTCTCAGAGCTCAGGGATCTCAAGGTTAAGTTTCCCACACAATATATAGTGAATTATCAAAACTGAATATATTTTCAACATGTAAATAATAATATATGTAATATCGAAGAATTATTCAGTAAGAATAGAACGATAGGGAAATTAGTGCCAGATTAGAATATGATATTTTATGTATAAGTAAGCTCCATTGCATAATCAAGGTGTGTGTTTCTGTTTGTAGTGGACAGCGGAGGCTGACATGAGAGACACTTGCTTCATATGCAGCAGAAATAGTTACGATTTTGAACATCATGGCAAGGTAAGATCTCTTGATGTGTTTATTGTGAAGATCCAATCAACAATAAATAGTAGAGATCATGAAGTACGTCAAATATCAATATATATTGTAGTCGTTTATCTATATCAAATCTTCTTGCATTAGCTTCCTTTCTCTGGATAACAAGTATGTCATAAAACCGTGAAAATAGGTGTTTTAATGAGAATAATAACAGTGTAACATAAGTCATGCTTTACACAGGGATTTGACCACCACGTGAGGCACGAGCACAACATGTGGGCGTACATCTTTTTCTTCATACATCTTAACGGAACCAAGATCAACGACTTTACAGCTCTAGAACTCTATGTTCACAAATTGGTAAATATTCACTTATCACATGGAGACGGACTACAGGGAACGATTCATTACCGTATTCCTTGTTTCATTAATTTAGTAGTTCGTTAAAAAGAAAACGTACTACATACTTGTCAACTCAATGTTCAAGTTCTAGCAACTTTTTATGTTTTAGTTAACAAATATAGATTCCCAGTATTCTTATCATTATGACATAGACAGCCATGCAAAAGACAAAACTATTTAAGGGTCCCGCATCGAATAACGGGTTCCTAATGTGAAATTATTTGCTGATGACACATCTTTATATGGCTTAATTGAGGGCGATAGACAAGATACAGCTAATATACTCAATAATGATCTTCAAAAAATGTCTAGGTGGGCCAATAGATGGGGTATTATTTTTAATCCTGACAAGACAGAATCCCTACTTTTTTCAAGGAGAGTTGATTCGGAGATGTTGCATCCAAATCTGTACTTTAATGATTCAGTTATTAAAAATGTTACCTTCCATAAGCACCTTGGTCTAACTTTTAATAGTCATGCTAATTGGTCAAACCACATAAACTCTATCTATGAGAAAGCTTATAAACGAATAAATGTACTTAGAATGTTAAAGTATAAAATTGACAGAAAGTCACTTGAATTAATATATATTACATTTATTCGTCCTATTTTAGAATATGCTGATATTGTTTGGGCTAATTGCACAGAAAGGGAATGCAACATCTTAGAATCAATTCAACTAGAGGCAATTCACATTATTACTGGCCTAAGACGGGGCACCAGTCATGCAATTCTATATAATGAGTCTGGATTAATACCCTTAGCTAAAAGAAGAAACTTACATCAAAATATCCATTTTTTTAAGATTTTAAATAACAGATGCCCTCCTTATGTATTTGACTCTATCCAACCTTTTATAAACAATAATAATGCTCCTTATCCACTTCGACACAATAGATTGTTTGATGTGCCCCATACAAGAACTTGTCAATATAACACTAGCTTCTTTCCAAAACTCATGAATGAATGGAATGGCCCATCTTGTCTGTATCCCTCATTAACTTCTATTTATGCGATAAAAAAATCTTTTTTATCACAGCAAACTACCATTCCTCCTTTCCACTGTAATGATACTTTCAAATATAAAGGACAAAGAAAAGCTAACATAATTTTATGTCAACTAAGAAACTCTGCAAGTAATCTGAATTTTGATTTATTCAATTCCCACCTTAAAGATAACCCTGCCTGTAACTGTGGCCACCCAGTTGAAGATTGTACCCACTTCTTTTTCCACTGTCCCTTCTTTACTAACCAGAGACAACTCCTCTTTAATTCCCTTTCTGACCTTAGTGATTCTATACCTCCTTCAATTGATACATTTCTCAAAGGTTCTCCTATACTTGATGCAAACATGAATAAATTTATTCTTGATATAGTTCAGAGATTCATAACTGACACTGGTCGCCTATTTTAGCAAATGTACATCCCATTCTATACTTCTATCTTTTCTATCTCTCATTTGTATTTGATGTCTCAAGTGTGGGTCCGCCTGTCCATTTTAGGGACTCAGCTCAGGATTATGTGCAAATGGACTGTTTGAACCTGCAGCCTGTCCCACCATAAATGGACATATTTTGACCCAGTCTTGTAATATCTTGTGATACCTAATTTGTATTCTTTAATTTATGTTACTGTTCTGGTACTCAATAATACAAACGATGGTGATGCCTATTTTGCATTTCGGTTATATAATCATCCATTTGAATCTATCTTCTACATTCTTATTCCTAATATTATTATTATCTGTTATCTCTAATTTTGATTGATGTGTCTGTATACTTGTTTATGCACTGTAAGGAGAGGGCTTTCATAGGCTCTGCCTGTTGCCCAATTCCTACTGTCAATACCACCATGACAATAAAATATTCTGAAAGAATAACGGGTTCCCTATATTATTCGGCTAGTCCGTCAAACAGTTCATCTACCCGTCTATAACTTGTGTATTTGTGTTTGGATTCTCACCGAACTTGGCATAGTGCTATATACTGATGCGACCTCGCATGGGTTTGATAACCAGTGAAATCCGTTATTATTTGCAAGAGGTATTGAACTGTAAATGACAAAAATATACCTTTTTGATACTTTTCATGTACTAACTTTTGTAATTGTAGGTCAATGGTCTCCAAATTTGGTATATGATTTCATATCGCATGGGTCCAATAATAAGCGAATTGCGCTAAGATTTGCAAGAGTTATGGATGTGGAATGCCGAAAATTGGCAATTTCATTATTTTCTGCACAATAACTTGAGTATTCGTTGTGTGATGTTCTTCAAATGTATGTGGGTTCATATCAATTAGACCTCACATGAATCTGATAACCAGTGTCACCCATCAATATTTGCCAGAGTTATGGGACCTTGAACGCCGAAAACGTTTAGGTTTATAAATTTGCGCACATTGCATTTTTGCTGACGGGTTTATGTACATAAGACATCGCATTAATTCGATAACTATTGGAATTTGTTTATACCTACAAGATTTTTGGGACGTTAAACGCAAAAATAATGGCGATTTTATGCCATTCTTTACAATTACTTTTATGGCTGTATTCGGTTTTCACCAAATGTGCGTGGGTTCTGCTCCAACTATAGTGATTCCCATAATGGTCATGTTTGGGTACGAGACATTGATCATTGAGATGAGGACGTATTATAGCGGTAGTAAACAGATATTTGTAAACTTTATGGACTAGATAAGAATGCAGTAATGCATTACATGTATCACCATCTCAGCATACGACTTCTGTCTAGTATGTTTGTACTGTTGATAAATACAGTTAATTAAAGAAATGACCATTTTTACTTTATTGTATTTAGCACCCCACTCATTGAAACATAACAATAAAACATATATATGGTTTAATTATGTCTGTGTTTAATTTTGTTCAAGTTATGAATTTGGAAATTTTATGTTGGTATGATATTCAACCTAAACTATAATAATTTCCAAAACCAATCTGCAAGACTAGGAGAAACCATTTTTGCGATAGTATACAGGCGGGGCCCTTAATTGACATTGGTCTAGCTGTTATATCTATTTCTACCTAATTGTTGTTTGCTAAGTAATTACATGTAGAACCCAACGAATAGTTATGTGTTAATATTGATACAAATCAAGTTTGTGTTATTTCCTAGTGAAAATAGTTACATCCCTTATTTTACTTTTTCACGCTTTATGAAGGGGATGATGAAATCACAAAAGAAAAAATATAAGTTTCCACATTTAGGATGCAAAGTAATAATTTTATCATCTGAAAATCATTTTGTTTTAATCAACAGCTGCTGAAGGAGAATTACGATTTCTTCCCGTTAGACCGCGCCCTGTCTCTGTCTGGTATGGGGAAGGACTCTACAGAAACCAAGATCGACGACCTCCTGTATCACGTAACATCCATAGTAGAGAAACAGCGCAAGGAGGTGAGCACGTGGGAATTACATAATGTGTATAACATGGCCTCTGTTGACATAAACGTAAAACTTCCATGTTGTTAAAAATCTCATTAAAAAGAGGGATACGTCAGCTATATTTCATGTTATATCATAATATATCCAGATACATAAAGACAATATGAATATACAAATTAAAACGTTTTATGTTGATAACGTTACTTCTACCAACAATGTATTACCAGAAATATGATGAAGTACATATGTTAGCAATACGATAACCTTGTGTACTTTTAGGAACTGGAGAAAAAACGTCACGAAGAAAGAGCTCGGCAGAAAGTTTGGGAACAAAAGCATCGCTTAGGATCGTTCCGAAGGCGAGCAAAGCTCCCAGCGCCATTAGAGAAAGACCCTCTGACTGGACTTCCGGTTGCACCGAGTCAGCATGATGACCAACCCCATGGGCAAGCCGCCCAAATGAGTCCATTCCCTCCTACGCAGTACTTAAAGCCTATCTTCCCGCAGCCCACAGGTCTATCAGGTAGGACCACGCCTAGGAGATTCAGTGATGTGGGACTCGTCACCAGCCTGCTAAGCCAACGGGCAGAGGCATATACCCCGATGCCATCCGCCCTGTCACGCTTTGACAGAAGACCTTCCGCTAGCAGTAGAAGTGGAAGTCCATCACGTCTCGACCACGAACCCCAGCGATTCAGGAGACGAAGTCCATCAAGGTATGAAGACGAAGAACTTATGCTTGGAAGTCCCGATCGCTTTGGTGATCGTGGCAGAAGTCCATCTAGATCACGCATGGGTAGTGAGAGTGATCTACGTGGAAAAAGTCCCAGCCCACTGTCCCGTCGTGATACTATGACCAGCATGTTAAGTCCCCGGTGGGCAGACAGTAGGTCGACCAGCCCACGCGGAGCAACAGTTTTCTTCCCCGACACCGATCCCTTTCCTCCACCACCACCACCGTTGCCATCGATGGACAGGCGGGGAAGTGATTTCCGTCTGGAGACGGTAGAAGGTCCTCAATATTCCCAGGACTTTGATTATCCTGATTATGATCAGGATGATGAGAGCTATCTAGACAGGGACCGCCGGAGGGATAGGAGGGATTCGCAATACTAGATAAAGAATTTGCAATGTTGAATATGAATTCAACTTGGGGAGAAACAGGACAAAATTGCGAAACTAGGCAGCATTTCAGAGAGACGACATTTACCAGTGCGGCAAGACAGGACAGCGTTTTCTTCCATTTAGTTGCCCTAAAGCTCTTGGGGGACATCAGTGGACTTGGTGATGGCGTACGTGAATACACGGCTAAACGATAAAGACAGTTAGACATCGCTCTAGCTATATCAATATGGTGCCAATGCCACGGAATGTTAATTTATACACCTGTCGTAGATACAGGTGTGCAGGTTCTTCTTAAACGGATGAAATCTCTAAAACCAATAGACATTTATATAAAGTAGTCGGTGCAAGTAGCAGATAAATTGGGTGTGTGGACGCCAAACTTCCCATCTCTTAAAAGAATAGGTTATACATTGATGTGAATACTGAAGTTACAGGTAAAAATGAAACTTCTCTGGTATTCAAAGAGAGTTTCGAGGCTACATCTAATCTGACATGAGTGTTGTTTGCTTTGCTACCAATATATCTTAAAGAAACGCTACAATGTGTTAAGAGTTAAGCATTTACATATAGATGTAAATCGATAAAAATAGATAAAGGTTCAAGATGCATGTACCATAAGAAACACATTTCCTTATAAATCTATACATATTGGACAACCCATTCTGACAGGCAGATTGAATGTATATTGGGCAGGCAGATTAGTATCATGAAATATACTAATTGTGAATTGTGATGTTGTCTTCACATGTATATTAAGAAAATCTATCGCATATAACGCGATACTCACAATATTGTATTATTCATTCATCAAGACATGCCTTCTATCGTATCATTTGAGAATGACGTAAATGTGTTTAAACATGATTCATTGACACATTTTCTATCAGATTGAGCAAATTCATGGTATATAAGCCTATATAATATTCAGTGTACATGATAGTTAAGTTTAGTCTAAAATTGTTCAATATTGTTAATGAGAAAATGCTGAGAATTTCGTTCGGAAAGGGTGTATTTCCCACGTCACCTTCCTCACGTGTGTAAATTCTATTCATGTAGAATTGATATCATAGAGTTTACTATGAAGTTCACTGTGTAATGTATAATTATCAGTCTCGTGCTTCTTCTATCATTCAATACTACAGGTATTCAAAACTGCCATTTTAAACTTATTTATGTCTCCATGTTTATCATTGATATGTATAAAAGGTAATATTTCACGGCACGTTGTAATGACTGTACCTACAAACGACATTCCTGTGTTCTTGTCACGTTCGTTATTGTGTAATGAACTTCATTTGTTCACGTTTTTGTCCAATCTTTGATTTTAGGTTCACCTGCAAGACGTGTTCATTTGTTGATAGACTTTCGCGTCGAGTTTACTTTATTGCACAAAATTTTACAATCACAAATATCAACATACACTAGATAAGCAATGTTGTTATCTCTCATTTATTAAACATCCGTGTAGTTTGATCATTGAAGTTACGTTTTAGACAACTGAGACTCGAATATAGTTTGTTTTTCGCTATTATTTAGAAAAGTTGATACAATGAGTGTAAATCTTTATTTCATCACCGACTTTAGATATTAGAATATAACTTGCATAGTGAATATGTCAACATGTCAAGTTTCCTTCCAGAAAATGTGTGTAGTTGTGTTTATTCAAACATACTATTGTGAAATCTGAGTACGATTTATTTTGTAAATACACACAGCATGAAAACAAAGTGTGTATGTTGCACGTTTAATTATACACGATGTCATCAATCCTTCGCTATCGACTTACTGTACATTGTTAGTCCATTTCTGAATAAACTCCAAAATCAAATTACACGTGTACTGGTGAGTTATTTATACTTTTATTTGAGAAAGTATCATTACATCTGGTTGTATTTATGTACAAATCAGGTTTATGATGATAAATTGTAAATAATGATTGCATTCCTTACATGTCTTTTACCATTCTACATATAAAACTTAAGAAAAACCTTCAATGAATGAAAAACAAATCCAACTTTTATGGTGGAAAATGGGAGAATATACGAATTACCAAACGTTGTATGAAATATCTAGAGACATATTTTCAAACCTAGTATATTTCTGTTAATAAAATATAGTGATTATGTTGTCTCTTCAATGCCGTTTCTTTCGAAAGTCTTAACAAGAGCAAGGTATTTGCGTCAAAATACCCGTTGAAATAAAACTGAGGCATACGAGTTTCTTTAAAATATAAAATAAGATTATACAAAAAGACAACCAAGTAAACAGCACCTCCTTTCCATGAAAATTTAGAGTTGGATACAATTTAGCCAAACCATGAAAAAGCTGCGTCATACAACTAAGAGTCTACTTCTGCAGTAACGACACCTGCCATGTTAATTTGTAACTCTCGGGCAAGCTTAGCATGTAATATAACTTTCCGAAATGAAGACAGGTTTGGTGACAATGAAAACATCAGGCATTCTAACGAGCATCAAACACATCCATTCTCGTGTGCTGACATCTATAAAACTTCCCCGTAATCTTTATCAATATTTATCTTTCCAACCCCATGTTTAATGACATCAAGACTCTGGGAACAAGCTCTTTTATATCCAAAAACATGAAGACAACATTGATTAGGAAAGCAGAGTATCTAGAAATGGAAAATCCAAGATATAGACTTCAAAAACTGTACGCTTGGTGGAAATGTCTCTTCTCTGTTGACGTTAAAGATCGCGGAAAGCACTTGATGTAGAAGAGACTGCCTTGCTCTTGATTCTGGTGGGTATATACGGCGTGTATTTATTTCTTGTTATCGAAAGGAAAGATATCATAAGTGTGTATTTAAAACTGAAACAAGGCTTAGTTAGGTCGCTTTCATTGTCAAGAAGTCACACCTGTGGTTAGCATTTTTTAATATAAATTTAGAATAAGATGCTGTATAATAGCCTGAATACTGTATTGTTGAACTCTAAGAGAAGTGGCAACTGATAAAAACAATCTGCCGAATTAAATGTCAAAACCCAGAGTTTTTCTGATGGGTATGCTAATAGTCAGTTGACGGATCTTACCACCAAACTCGGCGAAGATAATGTCACGCAGAAATTATATCATTTCGTTTTGGCTTGGGGCGAATTTCTCGCGAAATAAAGTTTCAGTACTGTCCATACACATACACTATTCTTTGAAAAGAAATATCCTTGACCAGGAAATGAAGGCGCTCTTTCAGAGGTATTGTAGTGTACAGAGCAGAAAAACCAAACGCATTTTTCTTACAGATTTTTTACTGGCTGCACGGCTGTTCAAGGTTGATTAAAAACTCTTTGGATTTCTTCAAAATCCACAATCTAGTCTTTCTATTTCATGGGAATTCAGTATCACAAGCAGAATGTAAATCTGATCTAATAATTAAATAACTAAGAATTAAGAATGATAGGAAAGTTTGATGACGGCTAAGTTAAACAGCTAAACAAGGTTTGATAAGACAGTCTGTATTCTAATGATATAAACATCAGATTAGCTGGCATGGCTTCCTTTTTAAACTCTTTTCGTGATGTCATACCACAGGTAGAATGCGGGTGCATAGTCATTCGGCATTAGTAAATAGAAGCATGTTTACAAAGAATAAATTTCAGCCGTTTCTACACTAACACCAACGCACGATATTGTCTTGAGTATCTCTCAGATAAGTTAATTTTTCCTATATCTATATGAGAAGATTCTTTTTTCCGCTATTTTTAGTAAAAGTTGCGTAAATTGGGGCTTTTTATTGGTTTCATGGCCAAATCAATTCATCATCTCATGAAAATCGAAACCATAGCAATATTATTTTTTATATGTTTTACTTACTTATATTTGTGCAAATTATGGGAAAATGAGAAGACAATAATCAATCACAGTAATACTTTTATTGTAAAACATACTGGTAAAACTACTAATAAATCATCCTTTTATGTAACTAATTATAAAAAATGTCCAGTTTATTTTTTTCCTTTAAAGTTAGATAACATTGCTCGACAGCTGTGCGTTTAAAGATGATGCGAATTCTGCAACTTGTTACATAGGTTGGAGAAACCTAACGGATCTAGTTTAGATCTTGTAACAGTTCAACATAGACTCACCAAAATACAGTCTCCACAAAGAATCGCCTAATGCTGTTTTTCTTATTTATTGTTATTATTATTTTTTTCAATTACTGTTCCTTTGAGAATGAATATTGTGTAGATATTTTGTAAATATCATACAAGTGTTTTGTCGATGTAATTTGCTCTAAAATTGTATGACGTTTATCCCTATCGTAATATTTGTAAATGTATTCGTCAATCAACTAGGCAAATCCGGGAGAAAATCAAACGGTAAGCATTAGCGTCTAAATTAGATTGAAAATGAAATGTATAATGCAGTCACGTAACAAACGAGAAAAGGAATCATACCTCAATGAAACATTCAACTAAGGAGTTTATAATGAGGAGTGTAAATATATAATAGGGAATGCTGGAATACAGGGGACGTGAAACAAAAGGCTGTAAAAAGGAATTAAATGTCAAGGCAACATACAAGTATTTTAAGATTACATCCCAATAACAGGGTAAGTAATAGATCATTTGAGATAAGGAATTATTGCTCAAATGTAAAAGAATAACATTGGTTGTATGTATCTACTAAGTGAAGGTTAAAACACAAATGTTTACATGGCTTTTGTCGAATGGAGGCAAACGAAAACCATGATTTATTTCGATATTTACGCCTTCTTCACGACATGTGTTGCTAAGAGATATTTTACAAGGTAAATTTAAGTGTCCGCTTTTATTCTTTCAGTTCTCGTCTTAAACCGAAACCGATTTTTATTTAAATTGATTTAAACTTGTCTTATTGCACATCTATAGCAATAGGAATATGCACAAGTTTTACAACTTATACACACACATTGTATTTACAATGTTGCAGTATGATATAATAACAATTATAATTAAGCTTAGAGAGAGAGAGAGAGAGAGAGAGAGAGAGAGAGAGAGAGAGAGAGAGAGAGAGAGAGAGGTGTATAACACGTACTTTGTATGTTTAAAATAGTTTGTATATATGTAGATCATGCCTCTGCTCCTTCTCCACGCAAGCATAACAGGTGATACACTGATCACATGACTAAACTCACAACTTGTCAATATCTATCACTTCTCGTGCTTTGTATACTTCCTCCTCGCCACTCGTTGCTTTCTGGAATATCCGTGTCCACTTGTTCGCTTACACATTTCTTTCATAAAGATATCAGTGATATCATTCACAAATATTAATAGTATAAAATATATGACTTCAGGTGAGTTTTAAACCGAAACCGATTTTTATTTAAATTGATTTAAACATGTCTTATTGCACATCTATAGCAATAGGAATATGCACAAGTTTTACAACTTCCATAAAGCCCTTTCCAAACAAATTAATATACACACATTATATTTACAAGGTGGCAGTATGATATAATAACAAACAATTAAAAACAAGCTTAGAGAGAGGGGGGAGAGAGGGAGAGAGAGGGGGGGGAGAGAGAGGGAGAGAGAGAGGGAGAGAGAGGGAGAGAGAGAGGGAGAAAGAGAGGGGGGAGAGAGGGAGAGAGAGGGAGAGGGGAGAGAGAGAGGGAGAGATATCAGTGATATCATTCACAAATATTAATAGTATAAAATATATGACTTCAGGGGAGTGATGAAGAGCGGGATAGAGAATTTCAAAGATATGCTTGCTAGAATCTGTTAGAAACCGATATCGGGGATGTTTTTTTAATCCGGACTGATTGAGTTTTAACTAGTTGATTAATTTGATATTTTTCTTTATTTCAGCTTTACCATAACTAATACGTTTCTTATTATTACATTGACAAGGCAAATCACACTTACCTATGTAACGAAGTCAACTAGTACTTTAAAGTATTCAATACTTGTTTAGCTAATGGCCCACTGTAAACACACAACTCATTTCATCTGCTCAACCATTCACATACACACCCAGAAACCACTTGAATCTCTCTGTATCGAGCGGAGAGCGAACGGTCGTATAATTAAGTGCTCTACTTCGAACGAGAGCTGTACGCCTGGAGAAGTGGGGCCTTGTGGGATCATCGACTCGGCAAAACACACACAGCACTGAGTGTGAGACCTCGTACAGTCGGCTAAGTCTATTTATAGAACTGCCCTGTAAGTGCCTCGCAGGCAGCTTACTTATCGACGGCTTAGCGATGACTACACAGAGCGAACAGGGTCACACCACGGCGGGCGCTGGGGAACAAAGCAGTGAGCGGAGGACACAACATATTACCAGGCTTGTCTGTGCACCATGCACGCCAATAACATTTTAGATATTGTCCGAGTTACACCACGAAACAGAAAACCACAATGGACACACAAAGAAACTCAGCATCTCATCCGGGAATTCGACAAGCGGAAGCACCTTCTGAGACCTAAACCCGGCGAAGTTGTGTCGTCTGCTTCAAAACACCGCGCTTGGGTGGAGATCGCACAAGCTGTCAATCTCACTAACCCCCACGTTCACCGGACCGTATCGGAGGTACAGAAGAAATGGCAAAACCTTTGTTTACGTACCAAGAAGGACAAAGATGGACTTCCTGTGGACAGCTTATTTAGCGCCGTGACACGGGCAGGCGAGTATTGTGAGATATGTTGTTTTCTTTGTAGCGTGTCCACATTTAGACATTCTGCTAAGATAACTCAGTGAGAGGCCGTAATTACACCGTAGTTATGCTCAAAATTGGGCTATCGTTGACTGTATACCATCATACGAACTTGTATATATGCTAACGGTATATGTTGTAATGTTGATTTCCGTGTAACATATTATCAGAAAACGACATTATCTTAAACTGGCATTGGCAGTCGCCCACATCGATTATTTTTAAATTGATGATAAAAGAAATTTATTAATTTATATTCTCGTTTAGTTTTTGTATGGTTTTTGTGTAATATTTTACAATTGGTATTGATAGTTTACTATACAGCAGTGCATAATGCTGTCAATCAGGGTGTCGCTCAATTCGTTCCAAGACTGTGTAGGGACTGGCCACGTGTACTTCTAGATTGTCAATGTGGACGGGGTCCCTGGGTGTTTAGGAAAATAAAAAGTTGGGCAGGTGCCTGGATGTTTTCTATGCAATAGGGGGGATTTTTTTTATTTGTTCACTGGGTTTATCATTCCATTTGCAACCAAGGTCATTTAGAGGTAGGATCTACTTGTAGCGTTGTGGTGACTACCCAACTGAACGATATAAAAGAGGGGCACCGCACGTCATCTATATCAATAGGGGTCAAGTATAAAGACCAAAGTCACAACCATGACTCCAAATATCGATCTGTTTCTAAGTTCCCTGGGAAACACAGTCACGGGAAGGGATCCCTGAATTTCCAGATTTAAAGGGCGGGCGGGTCCTCTGAACATTTCTCGACAATGAGGCCAGGTCTTTGGAGTATGTCTAAAGTGACATTGAGGACAGGACTTCTCAGTGTTTCAGGAGTGATAAGGAGGACTGGTCCTAAGCATTTCTAAAGTGACAAGCAGGGCGCACCTCCTGAGTATGTCTACATAGACAGAGAGGGCGGTCTTCCTTTTTGTGATAGATAAGAGTGGGCGGCCCGTAATTGTGTTTAGAGTGACAGAGAGGACGCCCCTCCCTCCGAGAATGTTTAGAGCAACAAGGGGGGGGGGGGGCGAACCTCTTAAGTAATTTTAAGGCGGAGAAAGGAGGGTAGCCCCTAAGTTTGTTTATAGCGAAAAGAATGGGGTTGCTTATTTTGCGGAGGATGTATGTGTGGGAGTTCGGTGTGATAGGAAGGGATGTATGAGATGAGGGAGTTTAGATGATGATGTGTGGTTGAAGGACTTGTGAAATGCGTTTGTAGAGGACGTACGTTTTTTGAAGATATATATATGTAATGTGAAGAGGACGAATTGGCTTCCTTTTACTAAAGACTCCAAATCATTGATGAAATACTTACAGATCCAACGTTACTACAAGAACAGCATGGGCAGCATCCGCCGGCGCTTTCCTCCATACAACCACGCCCACTCCTTATACAGCCGTACCAGTCTGAGGAAAACAGCACTGGTAATGGCGCTCATCCTTTGGTCCCTGTCAAGATTGAGAAGGTGGATTCCGTGGACGAGATGATGCGTACAAACCATGCGGACATATCAACCGATAGGTAAATTTTATCTGTTCAGTCATATTTACTGTATCATATCTCTCGGACAATCGAAATTCCTATAAAATAATTACACATGTGCGTACATACACTGGGAACTTCCACACCTGCGTACGCTGCATGTAAACAGGCCATAAAGTGTACGTCCACACATGTGTACAGAGAGGTGACAACTAGAGTAAGGTCGTACGGTGTAAACCAACGGGTAATAAGTAGAGTATACATCTACACGTGTGTGCGCAAAAAAGATACATCTTAAGTATGCATCTAAATGTGTTTACATAGATTATACGGCTGACTACACGTGTAAACTATCAGATCATAACTGGATTTAATACACATGTGTGTACATAAACCGGTAATTACTCCAAGGAATAAGATTACGGGTGTGTACACAAACAGGTAATTACTCCAGGGTATAAGGCTACAGGTGTGTACAGAAACAGGTAATTACTCCAGAGTATACGGCTACAGGTGTGTACATAAACAGGTAATTACTCCAGAGAAGAAGGCTACAGGTGTGTACACAAACGGGTATTACTCCAGAGTATACGACTACAGGTGTGTACACAAACAGGTAATTACTCCAGGGAATAAGATTACGGGTGTATACACAAACAGGTAATTATGCCAGAGTATAAGACTACAGGTGTGTACATAAACTGGTAATTACTCCAGGGAATAAGATTACGGGTGTATACACAAACAGGTAATTATGCCAGAGTATACGACTACAGGTGTGTACATAAACAGGTAATTACTCCAGAGTATACGGCTACAGGTGTGTACACAAACGGGTAATTACTCCTGCGAAGAAGGCTACAGGTGTGTACATAAACAGGTAATTACTCCAGAGTATACGGCTACAGGTGTGTACACAAACGGGTAATTACTCCTGCGAAGAAGGCTACAGGTGTGTACATAAACAGGTAATTACTCCAGAGTATACGGCTACAGGTGTGTACATAAACAGGTAATTACTCCAGAGTATACGGCTACAGGTGTGTACATAAACAGGTAATTACTCCAGAGTATAAGACTACAGGTGTGTACACAAACAGGTATTACTCAAGAGTATAAGACTACAGGTGTGTACACAAACAGGTATTACTCAAGAGTATAAGACTACAGGTGTGTACATAAACAGGTAATTACTCCAGTGAAGAAGGCTACAGGTGTGTACACAAACCGGTAATTACTCCAGAGTATAAGACTACAGGTGTGTACACAAACAGGTATTACTCAAGAGTATAAGACTACAGGTGTGTACACAAACAGGTATTACTCCAGAGTATACGACTACAGGTGTGTACACAAACCGGTAATTACTCCAGAGAATAAGGCTACAGGTGTGTACACAAACAGGTAATTAGTCCAGAGAACAAGGCTACAGGTGTGTACACAAACAGGTATTACTCCATAGTATACGGCTACAGGTGTGTACACAAACAGGTAATTAGTCCGGAGAATAAGTTTACAGGTGTGTACACAAACAGGTATTACTCCGGAGTATACGACTACAGGTGCAGGTGTGTACACAAACAGGTATTACTCCGGAGTATACGGCTACAGGTGCAGGTGTGTACACAAACAGGTATTACTCCGGAGTATACGGCTACAGGTGTGTACACAGACAGGTAATTAGTCCAGAGAATAAGACTACAGGTGTGCACACAGACAGGTAATTACTCCAGAGTATACGGCTACAGGTGTGCACACAGACAGGTAATTACTCCAGAGCGTACGGCTACAGGTGTGCACACAGACAGGTAATTACTCCAGAGTATACGGCTACAGGTGTGCACACAGACAGGTAATTACTCCAGAGCGTACGGCTACAGGTGTGCACACAGACAGGTAATTACTCCAGAGTATAAGACTACAGGTGTGTATACAAACAGGTAACTACTCCAGAGTGTACGGCTACAGGTGTGTACACGAACTGGTAATTACTCCAGAGTATAAAAAGTTATGGTTTAAGTATACATCAACAGGTGTATACAAACAGGTTGATACTAGAGTTTACATCAACACGTGTATACTAATAGGTTAATGCTAGAGTTTATATCAACATGTGTAAACCAACGGGTTATTGCTAGAGTTTAATTCAACACGTGTAAACAAACAGGTTATTGCTAGAGTTTAATTCAACACGTGTAAACAAACAGGTTATTGCTGGAGTTTACATCAACACGTGTATACATCAACACGTGTATACATCAACACGTGTATACAAACAGGTTATTGCTAGAGTTTAATTCAACACGTGTAAACAAACAGGTTATTGCTGGAGTTTACATCAACACGTGTATACATCAACACGTGTAAACAAACAGGTTATTGCTGGAGTTTACATCAACACGTGTATACATCAACACGTGTATACAAACAGGTTATTGCTAGAGTTTAATTCAACACGTGTAAACAAACAGGTTATTGCTGAGTTTACACCAACACGTGTAAACAAACAGGTTATTGCTGGAGTTTACATCAACACGTGTATACAAACAGGTAATTCCTACAGGTGTGTGCACAAACAAGTAATAATTGGAGAGTAACTCCACATGTAAACAAAAATACTATATGTGTGTACACAACAAGTCATAAATAGAGAATGTGTCCACACGTGTTCATCAGCAGGTATTTACCACTAGAGTGTACGTCCACACGTATTTACACCAACAGGTGATAACTCGAGTGTGCGTCCACAAGTTTGTACACAAAATCATAACACGAGTGTACGTTCACACGTGTATACACGAACCAGTGTAACATATATTATTATTTATTTCAATGCCGCTGCCTTACTTAGTCTGACTCTCAACCGATTGAGGTAAAGATGTTGTGTCTAGCCGAGGGTTATACTGCGGTTAGTACTTTACCTTTACTCTCTTTCCAAAAATAGCTCGTCCTCGAGTTTCCAGGGGTTACAGCGATGCTTGTGAAAGTAATAAAGTATTATTCCCGAATCCCTTTGCTACATGGGCGCAAATGTAACAGAGGTCATTATTCATTTCAATACCTCCGCTAGGATTCGAACCGGGGACCCCTGCAAACTAGTCTGAAGTTCAACAGATTGAGTTAAAGAGAAATGTTAGTATTTTACCAGGATTACACAGTTAACAGCTAGAGTATACGTCCACACATGTGTACACAAACAGGTAATGAAATCGTGTAGTCTTCCAATACGTTATACACAATTGTCGGTTGATTACTGGATTACAGGGCAAAACATTAAGGTGTTCTGTATGTATTAACTTTTATAACACAATGAGATCATCTGTAATTCAATCGTTTTCTGTTCTGTGTTCTAATAGTCTTGGTTGTGATCGGAGCATATTCCGACGTGGTGTAATTGTGTGTCATACATTAATATGATATTTGTTTCCTCTACAGTCGTCCAGAGAGCACCAGATCTCAGTTAAGTTATGGTGACGTGGAGTTTATCAACTCGTCGTCCCAGCCGGAGTACGACATGTACGCGACAAGTTCGGGCATCGTGCATACTGCACACGAACCAGAGTCTATTGAATCCGTTCCGACCATAACACCGACTTCCGAGTCCCCCAGGGGACAAAAACGGAAGGCCGGTAACTTAGACGATTCCGTGGACACCTTTGCTAGTTACTGTGTAACGGACACGGACCTTGTAGACGTCAGGAGAAATTTAATGATGGCAGAAATGCAAAAATACAAACTAGAATGTGAAAAATTAAGAACTGAGAAAGACAAACTTCTCCTTGAAACGGAGAAAATAATGATGGAAAAAGAAAAACTTATGCTTGAGCTACAAACGTTACGAACGACAACGGAAGAGTTCCGTGGAAACCAACACAAGACAGTATCTCAGTTGGAGAAAGAGAGACATGCTCTGGAGAATGAAAAGTTAGTGTTGGAAATAGAAAATATGCGAAGTATGCACAAGGTGGCCGTGGAGAAAACACAACTGGAGAAACAGAGGTATTCGTTAGAAAATGACAAATTGAATGTGGAAATTCAGAATCTACGCGGGACAATTAGAACTAGTACCTACTAAGACGACATGTAAACGCGCAATCATCGGACTGGTAAAACTAAAAAAACAAAAACGGTTTTTTGGAAGCAAGTTTCTTTATTCGTTCAAACTATAGGACTAAAATTATATTACACACGTGGATGTTGACCACGTACGATGTACTAGTGCTCCCTATACGCTTTGTACGCATGATACATAACATGAATTGCGCGAGAGAAACAGGTGCTTCTCTTTTTCACGCGAGTTAAATAATTTTGTATTACGCCATGATTAATGTTTATGGTTTTGTTATTAAGGCAATGAATTTACAGCTAGAGTAGTTTACAGGTTTTGTTTATTAGTGTAACAGAATAAACGTAATAAGAGAAAAAGAAAATATTCTTTGACGTCCTCGCACATCGTCTTTTTATCGACTTTTAACTTAACTCCGAAGCTTGTAGCCGATACATAGACTTAAACCAATTCTCAGTGGTAACTCAGAGCACAAATCTCACTGCTCGACTTGTCAGACAGATATTGTCCCTTGCACTCATTTTGTATATTCAAAATGCGAAGACAATGGGTACCAAACTAGTATTCGGTATAGGAGTTTGTAATTAATTAAAGAATCAAACTTTATTAAATTGTTCATTTAAAACCGACACAACATTGTACTGATCCTGTGTTCTGTTTGTACAGCATACTTTAGTTAAAGAGTTCATGTACATTTTACCTTGGTGCTCCAGTTTTTTTATGTCCATTGATGGATGCGTGTATAAACAGATTTAATGGCGAGTTGACTCTTATTGGTGTTTTGATTTAAACCATAATCCAATGCAAAATGTATTAAAGTTTCATAATTTAAGGTAATTAATGTTTACTCATTATCCCCAGAGAACACGCTATAAATTATTATGGATCAATATTTTGTAATTATGCTTTTCGCTAAGTTTTTATCATCATTATTATTATCATTTTTCATTTTCTTGGACACTGCTTCGTATTCACATATGCGTAGCTTCATCATAGTCCGGAGGAAACTGATAACCCAGGGATGATAGGTTCTCCTCAGCCGTGAAAGCTTCGTTATCCTTCCCTTTGTCGTCATACCTTATGAAGGTAGTTGGGGTTGGGTTTGAAATTTCCATCTGGATTGCTGATTTCTTTTTATAGCGAATTCCATCCCTGTTGATGTCTTCAGCAGGTCCCCACTCTGGCAGTGGTTTTGTCAACTTCGCCAAAACCTAAGTAGGTAGAAAGTAACGCAGATTGTGATTGGTGAAATACAAATATAGCCTATGGTGATTAGATGACGATTGGGGGGGGGGGGGTGTTAATCCAAGTTGGCGGCCTTAGCAAACCCCTACGCTCCTCAACATCATCCACATTATATCGTCATGGCGGAGTTTGTGAAGTCATCACTCACAGAGTTATCGCCCCTGTCCCGAATTGTCTCCCCTGTTCTGCTTGTCGTATTTCAAGTACGCCCCTCTATGTAATGGTTTTGACGATGTCATTGATGTATTTGGCTATGGTAGAGTACGTATTTCGACTGACTGGTTGGTTTTGACGGCGCCATTAAGTTTTCGACTGTACCGTAGAATGTATACATCTTTTTTTACAACGGAAAATGACTTGTATGGCATGTATTATTGGTATTTCGCATGCAAGAACATAATATTAACATTTTTATTTCATTACGAAATAATGCTATTTTACTGACAAAAAAAAATCATAAAATTATTACATTTCTTTAAATTATCGCATTTTTCTATTTGCAAAATTTACATTTTTCGCTTACACATTTCATTGTTTTTTTTTCAAAATATGAAATGATGACACAAAAATCAAACATTTGCTGCTGTTTGTTGTTGTTTATTGTTGTTTGCTTCTGTTATTTGCAGTTTTAATTGTCAAAAGTTTACCATTTTACAATTTTACTTACAAAATATTACTGCCAAAAGCATTACTTGAAAAAAATACATACAAAACTATTAACATCTTACATTTCTTTTCTTTTTTTTTTTTTTTTTTTTTCAAAGCTTTGCCTTTAAAAAACAGTTTTGCCTCAAAATGCGTAATTTGAACTTCGGTGATATCCTAATGTTGGTTACTGGTCTCCGGGTTGTTTACAATTGTCGGGAAAGTGTAAAGAACCCGTATCAAACGGTGTCATCGATGACCAATCGACTCATTGTTGCCCGCTGCATTTTAAGGGTGTAATAGAACACCTTGTTGTTTTTATTTTATTTTTTGTTTTATTTACCAAGTTATTGTAATTTAAGGGGAATTAGAATGAACTAAATACATTTTATTTCAAATTTATATGAAATTTGCTTGAAGTCGTTGGTGAAGCAAATCATAACGAAAATTCTCGTTACTACTCAACAAATTTTACGCCTAATTAATCCCAGTTCTTAATGCCTGTTTGCCCAAAACTTTAACACTAGACTTTAATACGGGCGTCACGGCTTTCATTCCCGATCTTACCAGAGGGGCGGCCAATTTGAATATGCCTTTAAAGATACACCCAATCCGCGTTCTCGCTGTATCCGATCTCCTCTAAAAACGTCGGCTCCACCTCTGGCCTGATTTAGGTAATATTTATCGAATAGACTCCCGTCGCTATTATGAGTTACTTTCTTCGATACTAGTTTTGTTTCGTGGCCACAAAAAAAAAAGCAAACCTGCAGATATTCTCCGTAATACAACACGATGCGATCGGGTACATTTCTTGGACGATTTCTAGGAATATTTCCTCGGTAATACCTGTGAGAAACTATGAATATTTCTTCGGTCCACTTCTGTTACCATCCGCGACGAAACTGACGTTTCTTATAAATCAATATCACCTTATCCCTTTTATTAAATTTGTACGGCGTTCTCTTCAAAGGTTTCTGGTCCTTTCTTCCGATAGAAATGAGGCTTTGGGGGCAAAACGTGCGGCCTTGAATGTTTTCTACTGTTGTAGCTTCGAACGAGATCCGGTAACACGTCGGTGAACCTGTACGTCTGATTCGAGTGGAAGTACCTATACATGATATTTTTCAATTTCCCTATAAACGATTCGGCTAAAAGCAGCTTGTGAGCACTTTAACTCGCTACGTGTGTGAGGCCCTAGGGATTTAAAGAAGCGTTTAAACGAGTCATTCAGAAACTCCTTTCCGTGGTCCGATCTTACTAGTTCTGGTTTCCTCTCGGCAAATATTTCTTTGAAAGCTTCCAAAACAGTGTTTGTATTCTTGTTTCCAAGAGGCTTACCCGTGCATACTGGGAAAAATGATCGATGACGACGAGTAAAAAGCACACACCGTAGTTAAGTTAAGCTCTTTGATGTTGGACACGTCGGTCAAATCTGCAATGATCCCACATGTAGTCAGCTCCGATTAAAGGGGTTTTGACCCGAGGGGTCTAGCTTCTCACTTGTCTTCGAACGCTGTAGTGATCTTGGTTTTGTAGTCAATCAACGATCTGTGATCGACCGATCTTTTATTTACCTTCCTTTTTAATGCCCTCAAACAACCTAGAGAGACCCGGAAAACCTAACACGTGCTTGGAATCGTGCCATATCTTACTCGGATAATCTTCCTGCTTACTTTACGACATTTTTTCCTACGTCTAACAAACACATTCTGTTTATGCATTTTTCTGTGCTGCTAACTTTTTAAATTATTTTAGAAACGAATCTGTCCTTTGTACTTCACACAAGTCTTTGGTAAATATTTCTAAAATCAATAACCCACGGTAACAAACCCGGTTAACGCCAATTAACACGTTCGAAAAACCGTTCTTCGCAGATATCCAGTCTTTTTCTCAGTGTCCATCTCAGGTAAAATTTGTAAAGAGAACGAACGGCGGCAGGCATCGTATACACAGAGTTCGACAACATGGTAGAAATGGCGCATATTTCCTCTAAATGGGTCATATGTATAGCTTTTCATTGCATCCGGCCTTAATTTTTTCCCAACAATTGAAAACAACCAAGAGGACCCGTAGCCAACATTAGCAAGTGAAAAATGTCAATTTTGCAAATAGAAAATGTGATAATTTAAAGAAATGTAATAATTTTATGCTTTTTTGTCAGTAAATAGTAATATTTTGCAATAAAAAAATAGTTAAAATTATGTTCTTGAATGAAAAATACGCCATACAAGTCATAATCCGTTGTGAAAAAAGATATACACTCTCCGGCACAGTCGAAAACATAATGACATCGTCAAAACCCACCAGTCAGTCGAATTACGTACTTTACTATAATTAAAAAATCCATGGCGTGGTCAAAACCAACACGTCAGTCGAAAAACGTACTCTACCATAGCCAAATACATCAATGACGTCGTCAAAACCAACCCATCAGTCGAATTACATACTTTACTGTAGCTAAAAATATCGATGACGTCGTCTTATCATCATAGGTAGATAGAGCAGAAATAATGATATTCAAGTGCACTTAGGTCAAGACAAATTGTTCGTCTCAGTAATACTCAGTTAATTTTTATATTAGTGAATCAGATGTACCTGCCAGCCTCCGTGCCTGCAGTAGTAAAACAGGAACCAGCCCGGAATAGCCATTATAGGGAACAGAGTTACCATCCACCACAACATCTCCCCCCAGGCGGGGTACACGTACTCTAGAAGTGTGATCTTCTCGTACTGTACAGCCTTAAATACAATCACCACCTACAACATATAATACATGCTCCCGAGATATTTTGAAATAAATAAGATTAACTTACACAAACATATCATAACGCCGGAGAAATGTGTTGTTCTAAATTGTAAGTTTACTGGCTCTAAAGAAAGATGTTACTATATAAACGCTTTGTAAAACAATAAACGAGAATGTATACGTTATGTAATCACCAGATTTAACGTCCGTAAGTACTATTCACTACTATCTTCTCCCAAGAAATCGGTTTACTACCGTAAAATGATTGAACATGTAACGACAGCATTGCAGAGGAATTGCTTTCACACCAACTGTAAACCCAGTTAGAGTTCACATACAGATAGTAATAGAGGAAGTTTCCCTTAACATCAGCTTTAGCCTGAGTAAGGTAACATTACACATACCGACAATACTAGAGGGGTCTTCCCACACCAGCAGTAAACCCAGTATGCCCAAGGAGTCCGTTTCATCATCATCTGTATGTCCTTTGCAAAATTCGAGTATCCTGTAATAAATATATAACCTATCAGGCAATGTACAGTGTCCAATTATGATTGAACTTAAAACCCCGATTGTTGATAAATGTTTTAAAATGAACTCTCGCCGTCATATTAATTGCCTCCTTTATCAAAGCAGATACCAACAGGCGGGCCTATAGCTTTCTACATGTCTTATGATCTGACTGTTATGTTATCTTACCATATATCCAGTTGATGACGATACACTCAAAGAGTCCCACAAATAATAAGGGGAAGCCACTCACGGCCGAGTCAACCAGCTCCAGCAAATACAAGCCTCCCTGTAGTTTGTACAAGAGATAATTTGGTAACTGAGAAGACATGGAATACACACGTTCGAACAACAGAATGAGGAATTAATTACAAATCATTTGGCTGATACAGAATTTTTTCATTGGACGAAGAAAGGATCAGTATTTCAAGAGTACCTACCCTTGTGGTCATGGGTAGGGCCAATAAATAGAACAGCGCTGCCACACCTACCCGGAACAAGAAAGAGTTTTTCCAGTTCTTCCGAAGAATATGCGCATACTCATCAATGAACGAGGACATTACACATTCCATAATGGAAAACTGAAAACATGATAAAAAGAATATCTAATTTGTTGCATGATTATATAGAGAAGAAATCAGTGTGAGTTATCGCCCTTTGAACGCGGAACGTCTCCTGTAATGCTTATAGTATAATAGATACACAGCTTTGGTTTAACTACGCTGCTCTCGGCCAGGGCTGTGCTCCGTCGCAAAAAGGCGGGTTTAGCAGACAAAACATTTATACAATGTAAACGATATAAACCCAATAACCTGTGAACTGAAGCCGATGACGAGTAACATGAAGAAGAAGAGGACGGCCCAGACGGTCGGCGCTGGCATGTTAGAGATGGCCTCAGGGTACACAACAAAGGCTAGACCACTACCTGGATTAAAATAAAACTAATTATAACACATCTTACTTACTGAACCAGCTACCTGGATTAGAATATATTTAATTATTACACATCTTACGAGTGACATCGACATACCGAATCTTATTGAACGTTGAAATCTGATTGTATACTAGGCTTTATTAAGACATACAGAGTCACACTCATACTGAATCTAACCAATCTAACAAGAACTAGACACCTAAATAAGAACAGATTCGACACTCCCATAATTCTCCTAGAATCTTACATTATTACATTGCCTTCTCGAGAGAAAATGTATCGAGCGCAGGATTGGGTGACGTCGGTGTTTGAAAAACACTTGCCCTTCCTTAGCAAAGATTCATCGTAGAAAAATAACAGCGATATTGAGATTCATTATCATATTATGAAGAGTTAGGGCACTGCTCGAACTCTTACTTCGATTTTAATCTAACTACAGAACTAAAGACATTTAATTCCTCTTCATTAATATGAACAAAAATCCCTTAGTGCTGAAAAAAAACACGTGCGGTTAATTGACCATTTCTCGCGCCTTTTCCATCTGTTGTTTAACATTTATCACAGACAATACCTCCTGTCGCTACATCCTCAACTTTGACCCCTTTTGCGTTCGCCATGAAGCCCAGCACAGTAAAAATGACGAACCCGGAGAAGAAGCTGGTGAGACAGTCCACACACGGCACAATAAGGGCGTCTCTGTAGTACGAAATACATCTAGTTCACTTTATTTTGTTTACGTCTTTGTACGTCATCATGCCTACACTAACGAAGTAAACAAAATACGTTACTGTGCGAGTTTAATGACACCCATTACTAACTAATATGAATATCTAACTCATTGCTAACAATTTCTCGCCGTATTGAAATGGTTAAAAAACAAATGATATGTTATATAGTTTTGATCGTCATCTCGGTTAGGTAAATGTTATTCAGCGCTAATCTATTTCTTTGCATGAGACCAGGTCTTCAAATTTCTATTTCAAGATAAATATGACTCTGTACTTACGTTGTTACGACTTACTCTACATTCTAATGTGCCGAGCTGACGATTTTATACTTGTTCCTATTATAGGTACAGACGAAATGACATACCGTTGTTAATTTATTTTGTCATTTCCGTAAACTTGATTTGGATTAGCCTTATTCATGGACATATCAATTTTTGTTTTTGTTTTCAAACAAAGCTATGAAAAATATTGATGGAAACTCATCTCTTCAGAATAACTTGAACATCTGGTAGAAGACAATATGTTACAGATAATTATGATGGACTGGTCTGTAGGCGTCCAAGAGCCTATGGCAGTATTGTGTCTAATTGTAAGACGTAGTTGTACGTAGAGGATTGTTGTTCACGAGACTAGGGCACGTGATGTAAGCTTCAAGATACACAAAGAAACAGTTCACCGTCTAGCACTCCTAATAGGATCCACAATATCAAATTTGATATGTATCACTTGTTTGCAGTTGACTCTGCCCCGAAATGAAAGTTTTAAAGATATTTTAAAATGCGGCTGTACCCAAGGAAGTGATGCCACCCCACACGAAGAACAAGATCTTCCTCGGCATTGTTCTCCTTTTCCTGTTCTACCTACTATACACGCATGGACGACATGACTTAGGTGGAGATGTACATGACACAAGACTTCGTGGAGGAGTGGTACAGGACCCCGGGGAGGAGTGGTACAGGACCCCGGGGATGGAGACCTCCCTCTTATTTTTATTGGAGGGATGTCAGGCAGTGGTACCGCCTAACTTAGAGTTATGATGGATGTGCATCCTGACATCCGGTGCGGAGAAGAACTCGGATAATTCTGTATTTAAGCGGAATGCGTTGGTAGAAATGGGAGAAATTGATGGCGAAGAAAATTAATCTAGAATGGTCTTGATGGTAAGGGACGGTCGTGCTGTGTCGTTCCCTAGAACAGAGACGCTTGAGTATTACCGGTACAGCAGCAGTGATGTCCGCGACTACACGAAGCACTTAACATTAAATGCCTGCATGTGGGTCAATACTGGTGAAAGTTGGTCAGGCACGAAGAGCTCGTGCAGTATCCGGAGGATTGAATGAAAATCATCTTCACGTGGCGTGGAGCAATACCATTCTTCAGCACTCTTTGTTTGTAAGGAACAAAATGGTACACTTCTCCTCAAAGTAAGTGTACTGATCTACCGCCGGTAATACATGGGGCCGGGTAACTGTTGATAGGGTTCCATAATAACAGCTACATTCAGCGAAACGATGTCAGTGTTCACTTTTTTATCGGATTGGTTGAGAAATGACAACATTGACAGTTGCTGTTTCAAGCATTCAGTGACGCTGTGTCCTTTATACAAGTCGTTCATGGACTTGTTAGTGAGCCCCTGGGCAGTACAGTCACAAGCCAGATTTTAATCGGTCAACAGACTATCATATCGATCTTTAAATATTATTTCCTTTATGAAAGATGAAATTGAGCTCTAACTGATCATTTTAATTTGTTGTTGAAGTCAGTCGTCAATAAATGAAGCCGCGTCTGCAATGAAAATCGGTCCGATCAGGAAAAAGGCAGGAAGTGCCAGACCGCATACACAAATTTCACCCGTGCCATTCAAATGTAAAGTAGGTGTTAGACAAAGGCAATTTCGTTTGACAACTGGCTGATTTTCATTTTATTTTTCCTGCTTAACAACAAATAGTTTTCTGTTTTGGGAATCGGATTTACTTGATATCACAGAACACGTAAACGGTATGTTAACAGTGAGAAGGAAACTGCGCAGCTACAAAACCGATCGATACAGCGTCTCTGGCCAAGTGGGTGGACGATCTCCCCGAGGACGTCCGCCGAGATATATATAGGATAGCCCCGTCACTTGGAAAGTTTGGACACGACCCTTGGTTCAACCCTCCTGAATACAATTATCACAAACGCTCATGAAAGTTCATTGAAATCACAAAGTGTTTTTTTTTCTGGCGATGATGTCATATACAGTCTGTGCGAACATGTGTCCTTGAGTTGTAGAGTTCTAAAGTCAGTGGTGTGTTAATAGTACCGCTTGTTAACAGGTCTTAAGATAAAACATTATTGCAGCAACGATGGAATAGTTGATATGTTGTTATCGATATATAACTGAAATAGCTCCCGGTGGTCGAGGCTTCCGTTACCTACAGCAAATTACCCGCAGGCCATAGACAGTATGGGTCTCTTCAGATAATACCTAGCAAAATAAATTATCTCACAAGCTTAAGTTTTATTTTGTCTTTATCAGTCTCATTTCCCTTTCTCAATATACGTTATACGGCAAATACATAGTTTTTTTTTCTTTTTACATTTATGAGGGTAAGCGAAAAAATAAATTCAAATGTGAACAGTAATCATTTTTTTTTAAAATTTTAATCGAACATGTTTTCGCATAACCTTATGTTAAAATGACTTACATTAAGAAACGTAAAGATAGTTCTACCAGATTATACACAAGAATATATACAGTTACATTTTAATAATGTGTCAAGAAATATTGAAAAAAGCAATATTATGCTATGAAGTCGCATTTCCGTTCGGGACACAACTCTATCGGGAAACCTTCTGGTTTTTCAATCAAGTATTGGTCAGTTTACAATCACCCTATCGGTATGAATGAGAAAGGCGTATTGTTTCCGACACCAAAACATCCACATAAAAGGCTTTCTCATATGCGGAAAGACTGTTCATTGCACATAAGCCCATACCAAGAATTCAGAGCCAGACCGTGGATTATTACCGAACCTAGATTAAACGGGACGGCTATCGAAAGAATGACTTTTACCTGAGACAGAAGTTGTCGAACCTATTGAAGCTAGACATAAGAATCAGCCCACCAGAGCAGGCACTGAGGGAGTAGAACACCTGAGTGGCCGCATCGCTCCATACCTGAAAACAACAAGAGAATCCGTGAAAGTGATGAATGCTCCCCGAAAACAGTTTCATTGTACACAAAGTGTTAACAAAGGACATTAACAGTGTAATTATTAAGGGGTTTCAGGCTCCGAATTCGGTACACTGCACATTATCGTAGTATGACAAATGTACTACACGATATACACAGTATCATTATCCTAGTTTAAATGAAAAGCAAAGTTTGCTGTGGACACAAAAGGTTTTACAAAGGACAATAGCGCTGTGATTAAGGGGTTGCAAGCCCAAAACTTGAAACACTGCACATACTTTTAGTATGTCCAATCTATACACCAAGTTTCATTTTCAAATTACGTCTAATGCACGCAAAAAGGTATGCTCCAGACACGAAATTTTAACAGAGGGCGTTAGCTCTTTTGTACACAGAAACATTGCCTTCGTATATATACATGAAGTTTTATATATTCTAGTTTAAATGCAAGCTATATCAAGTTTTGCTCTGGACAAAAAAATTAACAAACTGTAATAACGGGCCCTGAATTTGGTTCACTGCATTTTGTCAAGGTGTGATCAATGTATGCACCGATTTGTATAATCCAAGATTTAACACAAGAAAAATAATGCTCCGGACACAACTTTTTTCAATGGCCGATAACTTTATTATTAAGGGATTGCGAGCCCTTACATTGGTACACCGCACATTGTCTTCGTATGATTATATAGCAAATTTATTATTATCCCAGTTTAAAGCAATTTCAAGTTCTGATTTGGACACACATTTTAACAAAATGAAATAACTTTCATTAAGAAATCTCGGGTCCGAAATTTGAGACACTGCACATCGTCTTAGTATGTCCAATGCATACATCAAGTTTCATAATCCTTGCTCAACTATTGACAATGTTGCTCTCCGATCACGAAATGACGGACGGACAAAGCGATGACTATATGCTCCAAGAAAAGTTTTGGAGAGCATAAAAACATTCAGTGATCAAACGCTACCCCATCTGTTGTCAAAAATCTTTAAAAGAATATGAAATGTGTTGAGAGAAGACCTACCGTGGAATCCTGAAGTCGATCCCATGTTGGAGTAAGATAGTATTGGATTCCCTCACTTGCTCCGGGTAGTGTTGCTCCTCGGATCAGCAAGGCTGTCAGGAGAAGATAGGGGAACGTCGCCGTGAAGTAAACGACCTTGACGAAAAGATAAAGCTGGCATTTAGTGATTATAACAGTACTGAAAGATGTCTCTAATATCTTCTCATCTTAACAACCTGCCATTTCTTTTTTTCTTTTCTTTTTTGTCGTCGACAATACACAGAGGTTACGCCTGAAGCAAAGTAATAGTGCGGTTACTCAGCTGTCGTTTAGCACGATTTTTATTCATTAGTATTATATCCTTCAATTTGAATGTTTAAACGTCTTCTTTTGTTTATACTTATAAGTGTAATAGTTGCCACATACCTTGCCAAGTGACTGGATACCTTTGGACAGGACGATCAGAACAATAACCCAGGCCGCCAGCAGACAAAGTGCTAGTTGCCATTGAACACCGCCCATGTCTTCTAGACCAGTAGATATATTCAGGACCGTCTCACTGAAAACAGATAAAGTAAACCGTCAATTGGTCTCGGCGGGACATTATGTTATATCTGGTATATTTTGACTCTAAATGAAGGTTTCCCATGTTTGTTAATTGGCCAATTAGCTTTTATTTTAGATAAAGGGTGTCATTTTGTATCGCCAATCACGACTTCAGTCTTTTATCTTACTGAATCATGTATTTTTCATTTGCGGTGTAATATAAAATACGAACCATGTCTTTTATAGTGCCCAATAATTATAATTAGTCATTGTTTTACCTGCTGGTGGGCTTTTAGTCTCCATGGTTTGCATTAAACTGCGTGACAGGTTTTAATTCATTCGAATGGTGTCACAATTCAGAATATACACATGTAGGTTTTTATCACAAAAAAATTTCGTCAGTCGCCTCCTAGGCTTCAAAATTTAGGTCATTAGCATCACTGACGAGTCCTAGAGGGACGAAACATCTGTATGGTGCAGTTTAATCATAATTTGACTCTACTGCATCTAACTCTGAAAGTTTTGATAAATGGTGATTGACATGTGTGTCTTTACGGCCTTCTGTAAACCATGTTTTTTGTTTTTTTCCCGAACTTTGTGATTTGGCATATTTGCTATTATCTTATATAAGGCCCATCTTCTCAATTTGCCTAATAAAAAGATAATTTCCCAATCTTTCATATTTGATATTCTTATTATCAAATGATATTACGTGCTTTTGTCATTCACGTATTTTACATGATTTTCTATAATATAAGTCATGTACTTCCAATCGCCACATACACCTTGTCTTTTGCATTGCCAAATGTTTACTATCATTATCCTACACATCCTGTCTTTGTACCACACAGTAATATGCCCTTCAGCCCATGTTTTCCCCACTAACATCACGTCAATTAATCACTAACATTACGTCAGTTTACCACTAACATCACGTCAATTAATCATTAATATCACGTCAATTTACCACTAACATCACGTCAATTTAATCACGTCAATTTACCACTAAAATCACGTCAATTAATCATTAATATCACGTCAATTTACCACTAACATCACGTCAATTTACCACTAAAATCACGTCAGTTAATCATTAATATCATGTCAATTTACCACTAAAATCACGTCAATTTACCACTAAAATCACGTCAATTTACCTCTAACATCACGTCAATTTACCACTAACATCACGTCAATTTACCACTAACTTCACGTCAGTTTACCACTAAAATCACGTCAGTTAATCATTAATATCACGTCAATTTACCACTAAAATCACGTCAATTAATCATTAATATCACGTCAATTTACCACTAATATCACGTCAGTTTACCTCTAACATCACGTCAATTTACCACTAAAATCACGTCAGTTAATCATTAATATCATGTCAATTTACCACTAAAATCACGTCAATTTACCACTAAAATCACGTCAGTTTACCTCTAACATCACGTCAATTTACCACTAACATTACGTCAATTTACCACTAACATCACGTCAATTTACCACTAAAATCACGTCAATTAATCATTAATATCACGTCAATTTACCACTAACATCACGTCAATTTACCTCTAACATCACGTCAATTTATCGCAAACATCACGTCAATTTACCTCTAACATCACGTCAATTTACCACTAACATCACGTCAATTTACCTCTAACATCACGTCAATTTACCTCTAACATCACGTCAATTTAGCATTAACATCACGTCAATTTAGCACTAACATCACGTCAATTAAGAGCTAGCATCACCTCAATTTTTTATACACCATGTGGTTGTAATTGTCCTCCCTGAACTGGTTTTATTGTCTATCATTACATATCAGTGTCTTGTTGTGTCTTCATCAAACTTACATTAGATGCCTCCGTGTAGGTTAGATTTTATAAGTAAGAGATGAAGGACATTACTGAGAGTACTGTGGTCGGGGAAAAGTACTGTAACTCACTAGAAATATTTCTCACTTTCTGATTTCTCTACTGTTGTTGTTGAGTTAGTTGTGTTCAACCCTGTAATGATAAAAACAAATGTAAGAGACACCTTGTCACTAGTCACCTGCCGCACTCTCAAGTAGTTCATCAAATGCAACTCATTTTTATCAATCAGAACATAATACAATACACTCTGTTTGATATGACTTTATCTTAATCAGCTGAGCGTTAGACAGGAAATGATGCTGTTATACATCAGAAAAACTTTCCTGGAGAGGGAGAATATCTAGGCCCTATGTCCGCCTGAAATGAACCTCTCTTTATCGATGAAGTGGCAGACGAGCCAGAACTTCCATATTCGATCCCTGTCTGAGTTCTTGAAATAGATAAGAAATCTGTTTTACTTTCCTTCCCTCGTTTAATAATAATAGATCACTGGTAAGCGTACTCGCCGTTTACCTCCCGACTCCTTTCACCTCACGATTCCTTATATAACAGAGAAATTCATGTTACTAAGGAAACAGGATATAGTGTATCCTGGTAACGAAAAAGGAGCGGAATAGTGTATATATATATATGGTGTATCCGGGCATTTGTATGCCTCCATTGGGCACTGATGTATCCCCACCAAGGTAAATAACATGTCCGTTGTATAACTTTCTTGGTTTTTGTTCATTTATAACCAGTCAATATTTTTATAAGAAAGACTTGTGTAGTTAAACCAGGGATCTCCAAAGGAAGAGAACAAAGACGACATTAATGTTCCCCGGTAAAACGGTAGTTGCTTTTTATAGTTTATTTATCTCTCCTGCTAGTGCAATTAGGTCGCAAAGCAGGTATAAATCTATGTGATGTGCTGACTGCTAACGTGAGTACTTCTGAAAGTCACATTGAAATCATAGGGGACTCGATTAAAATGAAGGAGACAATTTGATCGAAATATGAAACACGGAGGAGATACAACCGGGTGACGCAGACCAACCATACTCACGAAGGCGATGAGTGCGGGATTTATAGACCCACACCAACTTAAGGATATTAGTGCTTAGACTGAATAATGTTTTAAATGATATTAAACAATCTGTTTTCCCAAAAGGATAGCACATATCGAACAAAATGTCACCAGCTGAAAATATAATCCTGACAAATATCACGTTCAGAATGCATCAAGCACATAAAAATAAAAAATCTTTTTTTAAATGTCTACATTTATGAAAAAAGCTGTATATATCACTGGGAGTTATATACTTTGTTCTCAGTATTAATCTGCGAAAACCGTACCATTGCGCCCGTAAATAGCCATTCCTAAAACTCGCAATAGGTCGCTAAGATATAATCTTAAATCGCTAATTTTCACTCCCATTAAAATTACTGAAGAATGTATGCTAAATATTTCCCCAGCACACTAGGGATATCCCTTTCTGTTCTCCTTATGGTGAATCGTTTCTTTTAGATTTATGTTGGGGTGTGTTTCACGGTTTTAGTTCTCCCATTATTTCATTATCACCCTATTAAACAAAAATGACGTCAATATAAAATTGAATTGGATTGACTAACAGATTTGTGTAATTATTTCTCAAAGGAAAGACTTCTTTTAAATAAAAGAAAGTAGAAATTAGATTACAGATATGGATGGGTCTGTGCCGTGGTATATGATATTAACAAATGAGTTCACTCTTCTCCTTAACAGTAAAGTTAACATTTTATGTTTGTGCTACGAATTTACAAATTTAACATAATCTGACACTGGTATCAAAACTTTATCAATAAAATTAACCTATTTCTTATCTCACACTAGAGACTACTTACTGTTATACTGCATTGCTCATATATGAGATTATTCTTTCGGCTATTCTATATACTGTTATACAATTAAATACTATTATATTATTCTACAGACTTGTATAGTCTATATGTATTAGATAGACACTATTCTTAAAACTATGCTTCTATAGACTATTACATATATATACCTAACTGAACTATTGAACTATTCTATTGATTTCTATAGAATATTCTGTAGACTATTCTTTGATATCACCTATTATGTCAACGCCATACATTCCAGATTTATAACGAACTATCAATAACGACATCTAGCATTAATAAACCAGCTGATCACGTACCCAAGTTTACAGTCACATTGGTACTGTTCGATCCAGCGGCTATGTCAGTTTCCAGTGCCCATGGTAACAGGTCCGTCATTGACGCGAAGAAGTAGTAAATGCAGTAGGCGATGATGACGTTGTAGTACAGACCAATTAAAGCCGATGATATCACCGAGCAGTAGCCCAGACCTGAAAACAACTTTATTGTCATATAAAACGTGTTGCCAAATACACATTATATGTGGCGTGAATTCACATAGAAGTGACCTTTCCCTGTAAACAACTTCGCTCTCATTTATATGTAATGTAATAGGAGAAATATAGTATTTTGTGTCACCAAGAAGTACCCAAACCATGTAAACAACCTTTTTGGCATTTGCCAGTTTATTAATTGAATACAAATTAAATATGTTGTTTTATGTGAGTTATCTGTCGTGTGAAGTCGCCGAGCAGCAGCCTAGTCGCAGCCGAAAGAGACTGTGATTGACAACACCAACCAGACCACGGAAATGAAACCATGTCGATATCAAGGTCACGTGGTCAGCTTTTTAAACTTATATTACCTTTGAACAATGGGTTGATTTTCCATATAGCCAAAGGCCCAAGACTGGCAAATTGACCAAAACACAACTCCATATAGAATAGGGGCATTCCCACGAAGATCTGCATGAACCAGTATGGGATCAGGAAGGCTCCTACAACACCAGTAGGAAGGAATTGGAAATGTCCAACATCTTTCAAAGATTTTAGTATCAAATTCTTGAATTTTTCACGAACCAAATTATAAATAAATGTTAATTTTAATCTGAAAAGCAGAATTCAACGCCTATAAAGTTGCAACTCCATATGTGATGTTGATAACGATTATATGACAGTTTAGGTGACATAAATTGTATATTCTAAAATAATGATTTTGTAAAGCATATTTCCATTTAAACTCAACATACTGACAACTTCAGATGAGTCTCACGTCACAAGCTCTAGTCGATACCTCTCCCCGATGTCCGTTGATTTATCGATCTACTTTAGTGAACTACCTTCACGACTCAGAGGCAGATTTGAGGTATTTCGGGTATGTACAGCAGGAATCGATATAGACAACTATTTAAATAATTTACATAAAGACCCATATCTATCGACAACTTAACTAGAAAGTGGGCGGAGCTTCTACGTCATTAATGGTTGCAGGGAGCGTTTTGGTTGGCTAAGAACATATGAGGAACCGTTTCAAATACAATTGTGCAAGTTTTAGTTTCTGTTTAATTCCGTTGATGTTGTGATAATAACAATACAAGATGATTTAGATTGTTTAAGATTAGAGATATTAAGTTTGTTTTCATGCACATACTGGAAATTAGATTATAAATTTTGTCGTTTTAACACGAGACGAATTTCCAGTACGTACATAAATCCTTAGATATGTAGAGGATCAGTAGTTGGCTTTCTTCATATCAAATATATGTCACAAGGTTTGAATTTTGGCACTTTGGTTCTTGAAACTAAAAGAATCAAAACGAAATTAATGACAGATGAATGAATGTGTAATTGGATGACATATTATATTTAGCATGTGTCTCATATCTACGTTGTGGACACATCAATAAAAATTGGTCATATCTCCAGAAAATCATTTTGAATTTTTTTTTAAGAAATCTAGCATTTTCATTATCTTATCATTGCCTATTAATAATGAGGACACGGATCTCCCCCGATTTTATTGAATCCGAAAACTTCACAAGAATGCATACAAACAACTTATTGCTAGCTCGTTTAGCTGTTCAACCAAGCCCTTGTCTTAACTGCTGGTTCCTTTGTTGTATACCTTGTTCTCATTTGGGAACGTGATATCACTTACTTGGATTGACCGGGGTTTACATGTCAGGTGTCATTCATGAAGCAGAAGACACTCTTCCAAAACACCTGGCCCCACTTGTATAAAACATCTCAACTTGAGATTTCCTCAAGTCGAGATTTTCCTCAGCTGATATCTCCTCGAAAACGGCTTGTATAAAATTTTCTCAAGGAACAGGAGGAAGTCATCGGCTAGGATGTCCTGAAATTCCTCGAGGAATTTTCATACAAGATATTTTCAAGGAGATATTAGATATTAGGAAAATCTCGACTTGAGGAAATCTCAAGTTGAGATGTTTTATACAAGTAGGGCCAGGTCTTATTCTCCTTGTACTTTTTCATGAGTCCCCATGTAAATCTTTCTTTTGTTCATATTCTGTCCTAGTTTCATGGAATTTGAGTTTGGATTATGATTATGATGCAATGTTGGTATTTTCTTGATGTTTTTTGTTGTCAATCATAACGTCGCCTTCAGCTTTAAAATTCGCACGTGATGTCCCGAGATTTCTACGTTTTGTAGTAAAACAAGTAGGTCGTTCAGACTCGTAGGAAAAGAATTCACACTGAATCGACCAGTCGCAGTTATATCACAGGTGTGAAACAAAAAAGAACAAAGCACGCAATAGCTTTACTGAATGGTAAATAGTATGATTAAAGTATATTTCGTAATAAATACCGGCAAATTATGGCTTCATCAATGAAACTGAAATAGGCTTTAGTCAGGTCTACGTACCTCCACCGTTTTTATATGCGAGGTAGGGGAACCTCCAAACGTTGCCAAGTCCCACTGCGTACCCTACACACGTAAGGATAAACTCTAGTTTCCCTCCCCAGTTTCCCCGCTTCATCACTTCCGGTTCCTCCCTCACCAGGACTGCCCAATTCCGTGAATCCTTCAAAACACATCCGCAATCTTTTGTTATTTTATGATAACTCTCGGATTTAGATTTTTAAAAAATCAACTGATACTAGAAGAACGTGAAAATTCAGCGTTTAAACATGAAAGATCGCTTTTCATCATATTTACATCTGTCATAACGCTTCTTAAATTAAGCAATGAGTCCAGTTGATGAAAGTACCATCCCAAAAATACGCTTTATAAGCTTTGTAAAAGTAGCAAACATTGCACAGCAGTTAAATCCTAATACAAATACGGGAGCGATAAAACTTACAGAAATTTATTTTATTGATGAAATCTACAGCAATTTTGGGAGCGAGTTTGAGCCTCTGACTCTCATTGAACTGACATTTTATTTTTTTGAACTACTTACTGCGCTTTCCAGATCGTTAACTGAAGCTATATTCTTCATCTTTGATGTTATCTCTACAACAAGCTGGAAACTATAAAGACACAAGGTATTGATACTAGACATAACGCTAAAGATCTGTAGTGTTAACGATATCATACCCTGCAAACAATAGGAAGTATAAGATAGTAAAACGTATATAATGTCAACGGCATCTCAACCTGGAAATAATAAGAAGTTTATTACTTATGCTAAACCTCCATTACGTCATCTCAACCTGGAAACAAAGAGAGGTATATTACTTATACTAAACCTCCATTACGTCATCTCAACCTGGAAATAATAAGAAGTTTATTACTTATACTAAACCTCCATTACGTCATCTCAACCTGGAAACAAAGAGAGGTATATTACTTATACTAAACCTCCATTACGTCATCTCAACCTGGAAATAATAAGAAGTTTATTACTTATGCTAAACCTCCATTACGTCATCTCAACCTGGAAACAAAGAGAGGTATATTACTTATACTAAACCTCCATTACGTCATCTCAACCTGGAAACAAAGAGAGGTATATTACTTATACTAAACCTCCATTACGTCATCTCAACCTGGAAATAATAAGAAGTTTATTACTTATGCTAAACCTCCATTACGTCATCTCAACCTGGAAACAAAGAGAGGTATATTACTTATACTAAACCTCCATTACGTCATCTCAACCTGGAAATAATAAGAAGTTTATTACTTATGCTAAACCTCCATTACGTCATCTCAACCTGGAAACAAAGAGAGGTATATTACTTATACTAAACCTCCATTACGTCATCTCAACCTGGAAATAAAGAGAGGTATATTACTTATACTAAACCTCCATTACGTCATCTCAACCTGGAAACAAAGAGAGGTATATTACTTATACTAAACCTCCATTACGTCATCTCAACCTGGAAACAAAGAGAGGTATATTACTTATACTAAACCTCCATTACGTCATCTCAAGCTGGAAACAAAGAGAGGTATATTACTTATACTAAACCTCCATTACGTCATCTCAACCTGGAAACAAAGAGATGTATATTACTTATACTAAACCTCCATTACGTCATCTCAACCTGGAAATAATAAGAAGTTTATTACTTATGCTAAACCTCCATTACGTCATCTCAACCTGGAAACAAAGAGAGGTATATTACCTATACTAAACCTCCATTACGTCATCTCAACCTGGAAACAAAGAGATGTATATTACTTATACTAAACCTCCATTACGTCATCTCAACCTGTAAACAAAGAGAGGTATATTACTTATGCTAAACCTCCATTACGTCATCTCAACCTGGAAACAAAGAGAGGTATATTACTTATACTAAACCTCCATTACGTCATCTCAACCTGGAAACAATAATAGGTTTATTACTTATACTAAACCTCCATTACGTCATCTCAACCTGGAAACAAAGAGAGGTATATTACTTATACTAAACCTCCATTACGTCATCTCAACCTGGAAACAAAGAGAGGTATATTACTTATACTAAACCTCCATTACGTCATCTCAACCTGGAAATAATAAGAAGTTTATTACTTATACTAAACCTCCATTACGTCATCTCAACCTGGAAACAAAGAGAGGTTTATTACTTATACTAAACCTCCATTACGTCATCTCAACCTGGAAACAAAGAGAGGTATATTACTTATACTAAACCTCCATTACGTCATCTCAACCTGGAAACAAAGAGAGGTATATTACTTATACTAAACCTCCATTACGTCATCTCAACCTGGAAATAATAAGAAGTTTATTACTTATGCTAAACCTCCATTACGTCATCTCAACCTGGAAACAAAGAGAGGTATATTACTTATACTAAACCTCCATTACGTCATCTCAACCTGGAAACAAAGAGAGGTATATTACTTATACTAAACCTCCATTACGTCATCTCAACCTGGAAACAAAGAGATGTATATTACTTATACTAAACCTCCATTACGTCATCTCAACCTGGAAACAAAGAGAGGTATATTACTTATACTAAACCTCCATTACGTCATCTCAACCTGGAAACAAAGAGAGGTATATTACTTATACTAAACCTCCATTACGTCATCTCAACCTGGAAACAAAGAGATGTATATTACTTATACTAAACCTCCATTACGTTATCTCAACCTGGAAATAATAAGAAGTTTATTACTTATGCTAAACCTCCATTACGTCATCTCAACCTGGAAACAAAGAGAGGTATATTACTTATACTAAACCTCCATTACGTCATCTCAACCTGGAAACAAAGAGATGTATATTACTTATACTAAACCTCCATTACGTCATCTCAACCTGGAAACAAAGAGAGGTATATTACTTATGCTAAACCTCCATTACGTCATCTCAACCTGGAAACAAAGAAAGGTATATTACTTACACTAAACCTCCATTACGTCATCTCAACCTGGAAACAATAAGAAGTTTATTACTTATACTAAACCTCCATTACGTCATCTCAACCTGGAAACAAAGAGAGGTATATTACTTATACTAAACCTCCATTACGTCATCTCATCCTGGAAACAAAGAGAGGTATATTACTTATACTAAACCTCCATTACGTCATCTCAACCTGGAAACAAAGAGATGTATATTACTTATACTAAACCTCCATTACGTCATCTCAACCTGGAAACAAAGAGAGGTATATTACTTATGCTAAACCTCCATTACGTCATCTCAACCTGGAAACAAAGAGAGGTATATTACTTACACTAAACCTCCATTACGTCATCTCAACCTGGAAACAATAATAGGTTCATTACTTATACTAAACCTCCATTACGTCATCTCAACCTGGAAACAAAGAGAGGTATATTACTTATACTAAACCTCCATTACGTCATCTCAACCTGGAAACAAAGAGAGGTATATTACTTATCAACAGAGGGAAGGACACTACATAACCTCCATTACGTCATCTCAACCTGGAAACAAAGAGAGGTATATTACTTATACTAAACCTCCATTACGTCATCTCAACCTGGAAACAAAGAGAGGTATATTACTTATACTAAACCTCCATTACGTTTGTAACAATAAAAAGGTATAAGATATACTACTTACAATAAAACCTCCATCACGTCAATAATGCCTTGCCTGGAAACAATAAGGGGTATAAGATATAGTACTTGTACTAAACCTGCATAGAGTCAAAGACGTCTTACCCTAGAAACAATAAGAGGTATTAGATTTTTAAAACGTTTATTACAGGTAATAGAATAACTTAAGATTCAAAGACGGAAGGGCATATACACTACCCCAGAATCAATAACAGGTATCAGATATACCACTGATCAACAGAGGGAAGGACACATCTATTACCATAGAAACAATAACAGGTATCAGATATACATTGGCTTTTTATTATAACTACTTAAAAAATAATTTTTTGTTCATTTTACGGTTTTTGTAACTGTAAGATATGTTTTTAATTTCATAAATAAATACAAAGTCACCCTCTCTGTAAGGGTGGCCTTTTTCATTCATACTCATTGTTGTGTCGTTTCTTGTCGTAGTGTGCAGATACATAAAAGGCAGCTAAGGCATTAGCTTAATTTATGTATCGGAAACACTATACAAGATAATTTTATTGTCAATTTTTTTGTTAAATAGATATACGAGTTATTTCCCTTGATTTTCTTTCCAAAAATAACTAAAAGTGTTGTCCCTTGAATTAGAGGGTCATCGTCATCTGATTGGTCAGTTACTTTCGCGCGTATGCTGAGACCCTTCTCATAATGCAGCCATCTTTAATTGTATCAATACGTATTTCAATTAGTGGAGTGGATTTGCATTTGTTATGCAAAATTTACCCACCCACTTCCACCCTATTGTCTCTTCTATACTAACGTTATTTATTATAAGCAATTGTGGCGGTTTTTTTTTTGTTAACCCCACATTGGCTTTTTATTATAATTACTTAAAAAACCTCACATTGGCTTTTTATTATAATTACTTAAAAATAATCTGTCATCCTCTCTGTAAGGGTGGTCTTTTTCATTCATACTCATTGTTGTGTCGTTTCTTGTCGTAGTGTGCAGATACATAAAGACAGATATACTTTGTTATAACGATTATCTGATAATACACTTCTGGAGACGGGCAAACGTTCACACGCTCGGAACATCTTATTCTGTTATTCGTAAGAGTCTCCGAGTAAATATTTCATGTTTTGCCATTTTTTTTTTTTTTTTTTTTTGTCTATTTTGTGAACATGTCGGTATTTTCCTGTCGTTTCTGTGACACTGGTGATAACTCTTATCATTTAAAATGTTTTCAAGTTTAGGCAGTAGTACTTAAAATCTGAAACCTTAAAACAATCTATATAAAAAATACCAACATTTCAACAGTCTTAACTTAAACTCCAAATCGATAGAATGAGAGGAAAACCTTCTACACTTTGTATCATCTACCTTTAAACATACGTTTCATAGACACCAGAAACAAAATTATTACAAAGTTGTTCGTTATGATGCAGAGAACAGTCACAAAAAATTAATTTGTTTTCGTTGAAGTCAATGAAGACCAGAATTATGAGTGGTACTCAAATTGATTAAATAGATGTAGTACCTGCAGGAGCCTCACAATGTCACGAGAAGTGAGTAGAAAATATATGACACCTTTACAACCTTTATCATTTTCAGTTTAACACTATTTTTTTAAAATTTGGAAACAACGGAAACATGCCGAAGTGGCTATTATAACATCGACTCACACATAAAACTCGACACAAGACTGTTTGCATACTGTCACGTTCACACCGAAACTAGACATTTTAAAGGAGTCATCCTATTATAACAAAGAAAACATACAACGGTTTCGATGAAACAAGGACTTAATATAAAAAGATAACGAGTTGTTTACAAAACAACAAAGAAAATATCGACATATTAAGAGAATCATAACTCAAACAACAAATAAATAAAACTAAGGCTACATACCACCTAGCATACTATATGTTCTAACATGAATAAGATTATACTGAAATGTCATGA